GGGGGGGGGGGGGGGGGGGGGGGGGGGGGGGGGGGGGGGGGGTGGGGGGGGGGGGAGGACTGGGAGGAGGAGGATTGGGATATCCCGGGGGTGGGTTCGTGGGGAGTCGGTTTCATCGGCCGGGCGTTGGGTATGCGAGGGCACCGGGGAGGGGGTATGGAGGGGGATTGGGGATGCCGTTGATGATGCCGTTGATGGGGGGGGTTATGTTGGGGGGGATGATGGGGTCTGCTGCTTTTTAGGTAGCAGGTCAGGGTATGGTTGGAGTAAGAATTTGTTTATTAAGTTTATGCTGAATATTAAACAGCCAATTATGTGAGTATTCTATCATTACTCTACGCATTCGGCACCCAGCCGGGGTCTGCCAGCTCGAACCCGCCGTTCGGATCAAAACCAGGGGCAACTGCTCGTGTTAGCATCGCTTGCTCAGATCGTGAAAAGAACAACTTAAGAAAGAGACAAACGTACCAGTCGTCCCAACCAAAGTCCACGCCCCCCAACTCCTCGCCCGCTGCCACTCTCCCTTCGCGACCACCGCCTGCGGCCTCTGGGTCGTCCCATCCCCCGCAAACAAATCCGGCCCGAGCACGACCTCCCTCACAGGACTGCCATCATCCAACGCCAGCTCCAGCGTCAGCGGCGCACCCGCATAGTAATGCCACACCTCGGCGGCATCCGTCACGCGGTGCCAGTTGGAGTGGCCGTCGCGGCCTTCGAGGAGGTAGTAGATGGCTGTGCTGGCTGCGCGCGGGGTGATGGGGGTGGGCGTGTTGGTGGTGGTTACGTTGGTGGTGAGGTCGCGGAAGGATTCGACGTAGTAGCCTTTTTCGGCGTTGGGGATGAGGTTGAGGTGGGTGATGATTTCTTGGGCGGTGCGTTGGTTGATGGGTTTGTTGTTGTGGTTGTTGTTGATGTTGATGTTGACGTTGTCTGGAGAGGGAGAAGGGACTGCGAGGGCGGTTGAGAGACCCAGGCAGAGGGTTAGAAGTGTCTGAAGGGGGGCCATTTTGACGATGTTTTCACCAAAGAATTACAATGGAAGGAATGTGATTTAGGCCATTGTACAAGAGACGTCGGCGTCAAGCTCGTATTTATCATAATTTCGGCAGCGGTGAACACGTCCACGGTCCGCGTCGATCCGTCAGCTTACTGCGGGCTGTGCAATGAAATTACCAATCGAGCCGGAGTTAAGACAATTCGGGCAATCGTGGGATTCGCTGTCTTGGATTAAATTTAGAATCGGGTGGGGGCAAACCATTTAGAGTTAATTCTTGACATGACTTCAGGTGTGTTGAGTTTTGGACTTATTTATTTCCATGACGGTGATTCAGGTTTTCAGTTGCAGGAAGGCTCGATGTGAGTAATTAGGTACCTAGGCAAGGTTGAGTTGGGCAATTCATGTTTAGATTACCTTTCTCATTTATCAACGAAAAAGTAGCATCGCCTTGGACTTGGTTCAGTATCAAATGAATTTCAGTAAATTCAGTTGATGAGGGAACTGCCATGGCCACTTGGTTTGCAAAGCTCAAGAAAGTGTGCAGCAGAATTGCCGGACGGTCCGGTCCGCAATTTTCCCCATCTGCTGAATTGCATGCCCATTTCCTCTTTGGGACCATCATACGTCCCTCTGAGTGTATTGATCTAATGGAAATGGGTTTCTCGGATTCTATGACTAGAGTATGTATGTCCCTGACACTGATGCCTATGACGGCAAAATGTTCTCAGTACGGATGCAATTTATCCTGTCAATGACTGCCGTTCATAGTGTTTCATGACGTTCCAAAAATTAATTAGGTAATTACTGTCCATTAACCACATCAAGTCATTAAGACTTGACTGTGGTACCTACTCATTCGTTCTCAAAATTCCGGGTTGGGCAACATCCATACTGATTTGCATTCCCCAAATATCGAGCATCCGAACCGGCATTGAGTCACGCCGATGCACTCCTTTCCACTTCTCCAATAACATTTCGTAGCCAATAAAATCATTTGTGAATAGCCACTCTCCACAACTCAATCCAACTCTCAACTATTGTTAAGTTTCTAATGTATTCGGCCTACATCCCAACAACTCAAATCTAGAGATCCAACATCACCCACCAAACCATCGAGTTTCCCTAATCAACCTACCCGGAAACAACAAAATGTCCACCCACCACGACCCCGCCCTGTTCGCCCTCTGCGTCCGCGCCCTCACCCACATCCCCCTCACTGACGACAACCACACCGTCGCAGCCGCCGTCCGCAGCCGCCGCGACCCATCCCAGACCTTTGTCGCCCTCAACGTCTACCACTTCACTGGCGGGCCCTGCGCCGAGCTCTCCGTCCTCGGCGCTGCGGCTGCGGGGGGGCTGCTGGCTGATGATATTGAGACTATCATGGCTGTTTGTCGGCGGGTGAAGCCCGGTGCGTCGCCAGGGGTGGATGGAACGGCGGTGTTTAGGGTGATTAATCCGTGTGGACGGTGTTGTCAGACGATGTTGGATTATAGTCCGAGGATGAATGTTGTGGTGCTGGATCGGGAGGGGAAGGAGGTGAGAGTTGGAGTGAGGGAGTTGTTGGTGTATGATTCGGTGTGGGAGGATGGGAATACGGGGAGGGAGGAGAAGAGGTTACGGGATGAGACGGCTTAGGGGTTTTTGTAATCAGGTGGAGAGAGATGCCACCTCGTTATTGTCCCCCAGGTTATTCGATGCTGTTCTTGTTCTCTGTTTCGGCCCACTGTCCCTGGATGTAGCTTTGTCCCGTTAATTTTGATTAATGAAATGTAGCATTTGCAAAAGTCCCCAGACTAGGAGCGCCATTGCAGTCAATTTGTAATCGGAAAAGCTGCATTGGAATCGCTATTTCCGCCGTGATTGACTAGATGCGGACTATGAAAAAGGCCGTCACTCTGCATATTCCATCTGCAAGGTTGACACTGAAGCCATCACCAATGTCGATAAATGGGAAAGAGAGCTCCCTCGCCTTGCGCTATGCAGAAAAGCGCTTTGTCGGTGCCGCCTCCACAACTCAAGGCCTGCTTAGCATAGTGGCTAATGCGTTGCACTTGTATCCTCGACGACATGCAAAGATCACAGGTTCGATTCCTGTAGTAGGCATTTCTTTTTCGCTCCACTTCCTGTTTTCCATGTGTCAATCTCAGTTTATTGCACCGAGTGGTGCAGGTAGAAGCCTGTTATAGCTGGCTAGCTCGTACAAGGGTCCTCCTGATCGAGGCAAGCTAACGTGGGGACAACGACTTCGATGCTCGACACATATTTTCTGTCAACGACCACTTCAGGGGGCCTAACTATCCGGCTATCTTTAAGTATTTTCGAGGGGGCTGGCTGTATGGATGCTTAGTATGGGACAATTGTTTTCGCTATGTCTTTTTCGATAATTATTAACATCTTCCTACACCCTATAACTTGTTTGCCGATGACGTTCTCGAGTTCGGCTCGTTGAATCTTCGAGAACTTGGGTCCTATCACAGTAGAGGTTGGAGAGGTCGAGATGCATATTAACTAGCCGACTTGGATCAAGTCAAACTCCTTCGACATCTTCGGCGCTTCGCGATAGGACCAAGATGCAGCCTGGACCAAGCTGGACGGGATCGGGTTCAGCCGTTCCGACGAGGATCGTCCCGGATGGAACCTCGCTGCAGCCCACCCCCAGCCACAGGATGCCAACAATCCGTCGGCTGCTGCTCGCGAATGACACGGCCGTCTAACGGAAAGCGATACGTTTGATGCCATACAGCGACGACAGCAATCGGCATGACTTCATCGAAATTCTCGCGCTTGGTGGATCGAACGAACCGTTTGGTGGATCAAACGAAGCGGACACTCTCCCGAGAGCCCCGCACGCTGACTCAGACTGTGGAGCACCCGCAAGGCCTGGACGTTGTCTCTGAGGGCCACGATCCGATCATTGAGTACGGATATGTGCCATCTCTGTATATTCCTGTTCCTTTCTGGCTCACAACGGCAGCATAGTTACCATTCATGGCCTCAATGGCCACCGAGAGAAAACATGGATGGCGGAAAACGGCGTCCACTGGCTCCGAGACCTCCTCCCCGAAGACCTCCCACAAGCGCGCATTCTCTGCTGGGGCTACGACGCGAATACCCATACTAGTAGTGACCGAGCGAGCTCACAGTATCTCCATGACTACGCGATAACCCTGGTGTCGGACCTGTGCAGGAAGCGAAAATTGACGAATGTAGGTGTGCACCGGTTGTCATCTTGCGCTGATACTAAAGCGCCGTTTAGTCTACTGACCGGCCGATCATTTTTGTGGCTTACAGCTTGGGCGGGCTCTTCCTCAACTAAGAGTGTAGGTCAATCCGCTCGATTGCACACACAAGCGTTCATTGACCGATCCCGTAAGGCTCTTATCCATTCTGACGCCGCTCGGCGGGGCGCCTTGCCCGAACACCGATCCATCAAGTTGTCGACACATGGAATTCTGTTCATGGGGACTCCCCATCGGGCGGGCAACTTCTCGCCAATTTAACGTCTCTCTTTGTGGCAACCGATGACCGGCTTCTGAAGCATCTCGAGTGGGATTCAGAATGGTTGCAACAACAGCAGCAGCAATACGCACCGATCAGCAACGACTTTGTGACAAAATATGCCTACGAGGAGTATAAGACTCCAACGGCTCTAGGACGTAGCATCATGGTTCGTGATTTCTACCGCCACCATCACCACTGGTACTGATAACATTACGTGGTTCCAAGGGCATCAGCGGTGGTGCCAGCACACGCAGACGCCGAGCCGATCGTCATGCACGCAAATCATACATCCATGGTTCGGTATTTATCAAAATAAAACGGTGGGTATATAACGATATCACAACACCTCCAGATCATGGCCAGGGGGGCCACAGGCAATATCCGAAAGCGATGGGAGGCGGAAGCAAGAGTTGATCACGGTAGGGGCACCTAACCATGGGAGTACCCAATCTTACACTGACGTTGTCTATAACTAGCACGCGGCAACGTCAACCGTTTCACCATTTCTCGAAACCTGCTAGGAACGACCGAAACGAGCCATTTTGTTCCCAGAGAAGACGAGGCTCGCATGGATGCACCAAAAGCTCTGCCGCCAGTCAGGGCGTTGCACTCTAGTCGAACATGGTCTGCGGGGCATGGGCAAGACACAGCTCGCCATCGCATACATGAAGTGGCACAGGAATGATTATTATGCAATGATGTTGACTGAACGCGAGAGACGAAACATCGTTGAACCACAGCTTCCGGAACGGGGTTATAAGGATCTTCCGGGAGCACCCTAATTTAGAATACATACAGGTCGCAGTGTCGGACAAGGCCGCCGATGCATCGATGGCTGTCAGGAGGTGACTAGACGAATCTAATGAACGACCGATGGCTGTTGATTTACGACGATTATCACTCCAAGATGTATGGCGACACCAACGAAGCTCCGGTTGGAAACGGCGGTAATTCAGGGTGGCATGATGAGGCGGGTCAGTTAGCGCTAGAGGGCTATGATATTCGCCGGTACATACCTCCCGGAGACAGATCATGGAATGGTTACTGTGACGACGCGATCATCAATAGTTCAGATTCTGCCGACCATATCTGGTCCGAGTCAAGTCCAACGCATGCCGTCCTTGTGCCTCGAAAGCACCTGAGGGAGCGTGGCTACGAGGCGGATAGAAGAATAATTAGGTATTGTGTCGCCGGCTTTGGCCCCGGACAGCGGCCAGTCATGCCTGTGGTCTTTGTGCGCCTATCGAAGACAGGGTCGAGGCGAATGGTATCCCGCACCGAGCGATGCATGGAATTAATTACTTCCAATTAGCCCCGTGAGATGTCTGCTTCCATGCTGATTGGCCAACACATTGGCGTTTGTGATGTCGCAGCAGGTAATATCAACAGTGCTGACTGCCAGGCTGCCCCGCATCACGCCTCAAGCATGCAGCATGCTGCATACCTGGTAACATCGTAACGCCGTCGTTCGTAACATACGCCAAAAGGCGCCCAGTGATTTGGAAATCGAGGCACGCCCCGGCCTTCAAACATTCAGTAACTGATAACCGCGATGTCAACCTGCGAGCCTCTCCAGGGCAACTCCGATTTCTACGGCCTTGGGATCCGGTTGGGTATCTACCTTCAATGGGCTTCGGCTTGGGTCAGCCTGCTGCTGAATCCGGAGTCCGCGCAAGGCGTACTGGACGCGAACTCGGTGTCGTTGTTCGCCGTGGTCATCGCCACCATCGTCGCCGCCCGCCAGAATGCACCCGCCATTGAGTTGTACATCATGTTGCAAATTCTCGTGGGCTTTCCCGTCACAACCCTGAGCACGTTTGGCATCCGCATCTGGTTGACGAACCCCGCAAGGCTGGAAGAGCTGTTACGAAAAATAGTCCAGGCGAAGCAGGCAATCCGCCAGAGCGCAGGGGAGGAGGTGAGGCAGACACACGATGAGCTTGGACCGGACGCTGGTGAACACTCGCCTGCCGCTGCCGACGGTGTTATTCCCGGCCAGGTTTCAATTTTCCGCACCTTGCCGGTTTTTCCCTTCCACACGGTTCGGTTCTTGTCCCCGCTCAAGTTTCCGGGGCTCTCGTGGTCGGGCGTGACCTGGAGGGTGATAACAGTGGCTATGGTCGTGGGATACAGCGTCGCCTACTGGTTTGACCCGAACGGCCACGGCGCGCACGAGCCGCCCAGTCCAGGTTGTGAGCAGGCCCTTGTTTTCATGTTCTCGAGACAACTACTGGAAGGGCCCATAGTCACTCTCGGGCGCATGGCGGCGGTCTTAATGGCTGCTATTATCGTCATTCCGACTGTGATTCTGATAGTGCTTACCATCCGCCTCACTGAGGACACCGTGTTGCGTCTCTACCGCGACCTTTTGTTTTCCCTCACCTCATCGGCGCCTCAGACTTTCAACGACAGCTTGCGTCGGATCAACCGTGTTCTCGAGAACAAGTCGCTGTCGCTGGGGATTCCACGAGAGACCATGGCTGCGCCCTTGATGACCGCGAAATCACTTTTAGATTTGATGGAGTTTATGTCGGCGCCTAACGGTGATAAGATCCGATTCTCGGACGTTCTCAAGGTTGCGGTGTCGCTGGGTATGGGCAGACCCCCCAAGCGTGACAGGCAGCAAGACGGCAGCGAGCACCACCCGGATCTAAGCAGGGCGAGGAGGATGCTGACGGGATGGAACTGCGAAACGTAGATGCTCCCTCCTACCAAAATACAATTCCTTGTTGGTGAGTGGCTTTGTCGCCGGATTAATTGATACTAATCATTCCTCCATTGATAGGCCGAAACAGCGGCGTCTGGGCCGAATCTGCATCGTATGGAATGTCTTGAACGTGCTCAGCATCGTGTGGTTTATCACGAGCATAGAGACGACCATCCTCTGGAACAACATCCAGGGGGTGCACACCATCGATTCCACCGGCCAGCTGATCCCCTTTATCATTGGTGTCGTGAGTGCCTCTCAGGTCCTCAAGAGAATTGCCCTTCTGGCCTTGGCAAGGGTGAGTTCGTCTGTCCTCCATATTCATCCCCGCCATCCGTGATCTCTATGCCGGACTACATTTCATGCACAGTACTTACGAGACTACAGAAATATCCGGATTGGGCCGAGACACAACTGGAGATCCACGAGGACGGGAACACCTTTGCCTTCTTTCGGCTTGTGAAGCCCCCCGAGGCAGTACAGACTCGGGAAACCCAGGAGGGGCCCATCGGAGAGGAGACTAAGAGGAGTACCACCACCGTGTAAAGCGAAGTAAGCAAAGGCGTAATGAACTCTCTTTTTGAACATTGGACGAGACGGGAGTCTGGATACACAGGTTGGAGCAAAATGTCCCCCAAGACACTCCAGAGGCCTTACAACTAACTGTATGGTGGGCCCGCGGGGCTTGGGCAGGCTCACCTCTAGTAATAGCATAATTACCAGGTTGTTCCGCGGGCTACAACTTCAGAGGTCTCGAATAGTAGGTAATTACCAGGTACACGGTGTCCAAGTAACAGTCCAAGGCTACAAGCGACAAGCAATGAGACGTCACTCCCAAATGTTTATGTGGGTCAGAGCCGGTTCATGCTTGGCACGAACAAACCGCACTGCCACAGCAGGACGACATCGACAATCGACTCGAAAAAGTAAAGCGGTGCCGGGAGTCGGGCCGCTAACCTGGTACCCAGCGGTATGCCAAGCGCTCGGTGGGATTCATCGGACCTTTAGCGTTCAATTGGCAGCGAGAGAAGCAGAAGGGGGACGCTGTTTTAGGTGAAAATATTCCTGAATCTTTCACGACCGCGGACGGGGCAGCTCCTTTGGGTAGGTGGGTGGGCTGTCACTTACACCGGGCGGCCTATTCTCCGCCAACCAGCCATGGGGCTAAATGTTACCCCTGACATTCGATGTCGACATGGAAGGCGATTGCTAGGATGGAGCTAAAGCAGCAGTGCAGTTTTGAAAGCTTGATAAAGACTTGTCTCGCCGTTCTCATTCAGCGCCGCTGATCGTGCTTCACTTGGTACCCCTAATTCATAAATCAGTCACCACTGCAAGGCCATCTACAACCGGACAAATCACCAAAATGGCCCCCTTGTCCACCACCCTACTCCTAGGCTCCCTTGCCAGCCTGGTTGCAGGCCATGGCTACCTCAAGAGCATCACCGTCAACGGCGAGAACTACCTTGCGTGGCAGGTCGGCCAGGACGACTATGTGACGCCGCCTCCGGTACGATACGCCCGCAAGCTGGCTGACAACGGACCGGTCCCTGACTTTACTACCGCGAACATCACGTATATCCCCTCCTCCTGCTAGAAGAGTACTTTGGGGCTGGAGGATTGTCACTAACGAGAATCATAGATGCGGTGCAGGGGGTAATATCCCCGCTGAAGGGGTTATTGAGCTTGCGGCTGGCGATACAGTGTATGTATTCCCATCTGCCGGTCTTGTTCTATATTCGCTAATCGGTTCTTTCAAAGAACGCTCAACTGGGACCAATGGGGTAGCAGTCATTCCGGGCCAGTCATGAAGTAAGATCTCTTTTCTTTTCAATACCCCATGTCGTGTGTTTCTCTTCTTTCTCTCCTTCTCTTCTTTCTCTCCTTCTCTTCTTTCCTGTTTTTCTTTTCTTTCTTTCTTTCTTTTTTCCCCTTTTCCTTTCTTTCTTATTTTCCCTTTTCCTTTCTTTTCCTTTTTAGACTAACATATCAAGCTACCTCGCCCACTGCACCAACGACGACTGCAAGTCCTTCGCAGGCGACACCGGCGCAGTTTGGGTCAAGATCGAACAGCTCGCCTACAACCCCGCGGGCAGCCCTCCTTGGGCGTCCGACCTGCTCCGCGAACAAGGCGCCAAGTGGAAGGTGATCATCCCGCCCACGCTTGCGCCGGGCGAGTACCTGCTGCGGCACGAGATTTTGGGCCTGCACGTTGCGGGCACCAGGATGGGCGCCCAGTTCTACCCGAGTTGTACCCAGATCCGGGTTACGCAGGGTGGTAGTGCGGAATTGCCGGAGGGGATTGCGCTGCCGGGGGCTTATGATCCTGATGATGCGGGTGTGAGTACCTATTGTCTGACTTTGGAGTGCAAAATTTGGGCTGAAGATTGCTGACGGGTTCATCACTAGATCCTGACCGAGTTGTGGAGGATTAATCAAGGACAGATCAACTATACGGCTCCTGGGGGACCGGTCTGGAGCGAGGCCGCGCCGGACGCGAACAGAGAGGGACCATGAGGCAGAACAAGTGGCTTTCGGTTTCGAGGTAAGGGCAGCCATACAAGCGATATCAGGAACCAAATAGGTCAAATAGTACACAGTAAATACGCCATCCTGGGATATCTCTAAAGTCGAGGTCTACAGAGCTGCAGGTTAAGAATGCTGTTACAATACGTCACTGTTCTGGCTTCAACACCCGAATCGGCAATCCCTCCTTTTTTTCCGTCTGCCTTTTCCGCTCCTTCTCCCCATCCCGCAACCGAACCGGCAACGGCTCTTCGGTAAGTCTTTGCACACGATGTACTGTGGCCCTACCGACATGTACTTCGGGCAAATCCGTGTCTTGGTAATCCTCAAAGTCAAGCAAATCATCCGGAGTCTCCTCCTCCCGCCTGGCCTTCTTGTTACCATGTTCCACGTCCTTCTTCTTCTCCTCCACCCGCTTCCTCTTCTTGTGGCCCGTATCATCATCATCCGACCCTGTCGCCGGGTTCCATTCCCCCCTCATTGCTCGTTCCAGTTTCCGGCCAAAGATGTGCGCCTGCTGAATCTGCACGCATTCCGTGTTCAGGTTATAATGCTGACTGAAATATTTTTCAATCATCTTCTCCAGGTCAGCCTGGACATCCTCCTGATGCTGCCTTTTCAGTGGATTCCACTCCGCCTTGCTCTTGACCGGCATGCACGCCGTCGATGGCTGTGTCCACCGAACAGACCTCGCCTTTTCATCCACCGGCTCACCATCACCACCGCTCGTTACCCCATCACCCCGCCGGTAGGCATCCACATACCTATCTGCCAGCGCGATCATCGTCCCAAACACAAAATCATTCGGCGGCCAATCCACCCAATCCTCCCCCGTCCTCCGTGGACTCCGCATCAGCATCTCATCCCACGTCGCCGCAATGGCTGTCGGTACCAACCTCTGCATCTCCATCCAGCACCTCACCAAATCGTCACTGTACCCGCGCTGGTAGATATCATTCGTAGGCGCCACCCGGAACCGCTCCGTCCCCTCCACGCCGTCCTGCCTTTCGAGATTCTCTTCGCTTGCATTAAACGACGGCACCATCATGCACAACAACGCCCTGCCCAGTTCACCCTTATCCTTCCATGTCGACGGTTCCGGCAGGCCGGGGTTAACGGCCACGCGGAGCTCGCCGTAGCGGTCGTTGTGCTCTTGGAAGGACATGCCAAAGTCGCCGAGGATGATTTGCGGGAGGGTGTCGGTGAAGCGTTCGAGGGAGGGGTCGGCGCGTTTTTCGGCATCGGTCGGGTAGTGCAGCCAGATGTTGAAGACGTGCATGTCTTGGTGGCAGATGGGTCGCCAAGGCTGGGGAGGTGGCGGGTTTCCCTGGCGGGCGTCGTTGACGGGTTGGTTGGGTTGCCAGATATGGTTTTGGTGTTGGAGGTTGTAGGCCCGCGACGGGGTGTACCCTGTGTGCAGCCAGCAGAGGGCGCGGCCGACTTCGGCTAGGACGTGCCAAATGAAGACTTCGGGGATATTTCCCCCAGTCCAGTCGCGGTAGTGCTGGATTAGGTGGCCGAGGGTGCCGCCGTTGTAGTACTTGTAGAATAGCGTGATGTCGTCTTTTTGTCTGGGCTCGTCAGGCCCTGGCACGATGGCTTTGCCACGGGCATCACGGGGCTGGAGCTCGTGGATCTGGAAGGCGTATAGCTGCGGGAACGCTGTCGAACCCTCGTTGACGTGGTCGTACAGCGGCAGCTGGCGTTGGACGTAGGGGTGGGTGGTGGTTGACAGCGTCGACTGCTCGATCTCGGCCGGCATGGGGTGGCGGTTATCGGCCGCTTGTAAGTACCGGTCGATTTTGCATAGCTTCTTGATCACGACCAGCTCCTGGGGCCGGTCGAGGCTGGCGTAGAGCGCCACTACTGGCCTGTCGCTTTCGGACGTGTCAATACTCTGTAGCCAGCGGGTGAACACAAACCCGCGCTGCCTGGCTTTGAGGTACTGTGTTGATTCGTTGTCCTCTGAGGTCTCTGAGGTGTTGAGATGTTCCTGGGGTGCAATCTCAGGCACTTCCAGGGGGTAAAACACCAGCGTCTGGTGAGAGTATTGGACTGGTGCCATGACGTTGGCCAGCGGGAAGGAAACAAGAAGAAAACACAGCAATCAGAGACCGTCGGTAGTGAGAGTTGTGAGAAAAGAGACTAGTTTGAGTGAGAGGGAGAGTGTTTGTTATGTCGGAACCTCATAGTTGGAAGTTGACTCGAATGCGACCGAGACTTTCAGTCTTCAGAGCGTTTGTTTGTCTGGCCGCCCATTGTAGGCTGTCTCCAGACGTCCATTGTTGACTGACTTGACTCAAAATAAAGGAGGAGCCGAAAGCATCAGCCCAGCACACGGATTATCCGGACAAAGCACAAAGGGATACCGCTCAAGATGTAGGATCAACTAGACAATGGCATGCTAAAAGACTTGCCGTCGCCACCTAATATGCATTTGTCGAATGTGTTGTCGAACCCGATGGTAATGATAATTTATTTAAACCCAAATTTTAAGCAGGGGAGCTCCTGTTGTCTTACCTGTCACTCAGACTCTTTGACCTCATTTGTTCGGACCACAGGCCAAGGGAGCATCGCCACTACCCAGGCCATTTCAAGGCAGACTCTCTTGAGGAAGTTGCTGCTGGGCGCTGGCCGGCCGTGAGTGTGCACTGTGCAGTGATTTGCATGGATAGGTCGCAATGATGAATCTTGTTGTTCTTGAAAAATGATACTGGACCTTGTAGTAGGACTGTCCGATCGATCAGCGTGCAGCGAGAGTATGTAGTTTGGTTAGTTAATACATCTAATTGTTGGGACCGCCGTCGTATTTCATTGTGGGTATTTGTGGTGGTAATAACCCTAACCCTGTGGACTCTGCATTAATCACGTGCCGGGTCCGCACTTTAATGGGCGCGCGTCCGTCGCGTCTCCTTCCGTCCCCACGCTCACCACCACCAACGCGTCTTTTTCGCGACTGGAGCTCCCTTCACGCCTTTGTGATCCATTGGACCTTATTGGCTGTGGGCCGAGCTCTCCGACTTCAGCCTTGCCTGCAGCCCCATCCGGTCCTGCGCAACCTCCTTCTTTCCATTCTCAATTCCAACGCCCCGGAAAATCCCCAACCACACAACTCCGCAACGCCGCTTCCTGCTTCGCAATTGTGCAACTGCGCAAGCTCCGCACCCGCCCCGGCCGACCGAGCTTAGTGCGAGTACCGACCGAAACCAAGATACCAATCGCTCTCCGAGATTCCTCATCCTCGAAATATTCGGTCAATCACATCGCGACCATGGCCGCTGACCACCCCAAAGCGGGGATATACAGCGCCACCTACAGCGGCGTACGTTTATCTCGTCGTCGCACTTGCCCCGCCCTGCTAACCCGCATGCGATACTCTAGATTCCTGTGTACGAGTACCAATTCGGCCCGGACCTCAAGGAACATGTTATGCGTCGTCGAGAGGACAATTGGATCAATGCGACCCACATCTTGAAGGCTGCTGGCTTCGACAAGCCCGCCAGAACCCGCATTCTCGAGCGTGACGTGCAAAAAGATGTTCACGAGAAGATTCAGGGCGGTTATGGAAAATACCAGGGTGCGCTTTCACCCTGACTTTTGTTCGCTGTCGCTAGCAACCCGCTGACTTGTTTTCCTTTCTTCTCCGCAGGGACGTGGATTCCTCTTGATCACGGCGAGGCCCTTGCCCAGCGTAACAATGTGTACGACCGTCTTCGACCCATCTTCGAGTTCCAGCCGGGCAACGAGAGCCCCCCTCCCGCACCGAGACATGCCAGTAAGCCAAAGGCTCCCAAGGCCAGGCCTGCTGTTCCAAAATGGGGCAGTAAGGCACAAGAGAAAAAAGCCAGCCTCTCCCAAGCCGCCGTCCTCGCACATGCCCATCACCAAGGTGCTGCCGTCCAAGAAGAGTACGACAATGCGAGCCAGATGAATGAAGATGACACGCCGGACAACCTGACCGTCGCCTCGGCTTCGTACATGGCCGAGGACGACCGTTATGACATGTCGCATTTTTCTACCGGTCATCGCAAGCGCAAGCGGGAGGAGATGCTGCAGGATGTGACGGAGCAACAACACTCAGTCTACGGAGATGAACTGTTGGACTACTTTCTCCTTTCTAGGAATGAGCAGCCTGCCATTCGGCCAGACCCTCCCACGAATTTCCAGCCCGACTGGCCGATTGACACGGAGCGACACACCGCGCTGCACTGGGCGTCGGCTATGGGCGATGTCGAAGTGATCAAGCAGCTAAAGCGTTTCGGTGCCAACCTGGCCTCGCAAAACGTCCGCGCCGAGACACCCTTCATGCGTTCCGTCAGCTTTACCAACTGCTATGAGAAGCAAACCTTCCCGACCATCCTGAAGGAGCTGTTCAGCACCGTCGACGTGCGCGATAACACCGGCTGCACGGTCATCCACCATGCCGCCATCATGAAGAGCGGCCGTATCACCAGTCAATCATGCGCTCGGTACTACCTCGACCACATCCTCAACAGGCTCCACGAGACTCGGTCTGCTGAAGACATGCAGCACCTGATCGATGCTCAAGATGACGACGGTAACACCGCCTTGCACCTAGCTGCCATGCGCGACGCTCGCAAGTGCATTCGCGCGCTGCTCGGCCGTGGTGCAAACACTGACATCCCCAACAACCAAGGCGTGCGCGCGGACGAATTGATCACGAAGCTCAATGCCGCCAAGGCGAAACCCTCGCGTGGACCGCCCCAGCGTTCCTCGAGCCCGTTTGCGCCCGATTCGCAACGCCACAACAGTTTCCGCGATGCCATGACCGAGTCGGATAGCAAGCTCCAGGCCAGCTTTCGCAGCGAGGCCGCCAACACTGTCCAGTCGCGTATTACTCCACTTGTCCTCCAGAAGTTCCAGGACCTTGCCCAGAGCTACGAGGCCGAACTCGATGAGAAAGGCGAGGCGGAAAAGGAAGCCAGGCGGATTCTGCTCAATACCCAAGCTGAGTTGGCCAACCTGCGCACCTCGGTCGCCGAGCTCGAGTCCCGCCTTGAGGCCGACGATGTTGCCGCCAAGACGGAAGCCGAAGCGACCGAGACTGCCAAACAAGTCATGGCCTACCTCACACACCAAAACCGTCTCGCGATCCAGGGTGCCATCACCAAACAGCTCGCCTCTGTCAACGGCGACAAAACCAACAAACCCTCCGAACAACCCAACGGCCAGCCGCCCACCTCCGATCCCACCTCCAACCCCACCACCATGGATAAGACACCCGCGGAAGCAGACGACAACAGCTCTCCTGAGGAACGTTTCCAACTCGCCACCGAGCTGCGCGCCCTGCTCCAGGACCAACGCCGTGCCGAGGCCGATTACGTCGAAGCCCGTGGCCAGACAGGCACCAGCGAGAAGATCGACAAGTACATGCACCTGCTGCGGTCGTGTCTCCCGCCTGAGGACCAGGAGATGCTGGACGAGAATCTCGATGATATGATCAAGATGATGGAGGACGACGTGGATGTTATGGACGGTGAGGGTGCAGCTGGTCCTGGTCCTGGTGTTGGTGCTGGTGCGAGTGCTGGTGTTGCTGCGTTGGCGGCTGCTGCGGCTGCCGCCGGTGCGGTGCCCATGGATGAAGACCCGGCGTCGTTATCGTTGCCTATTGCTCCTGGTGTTGGTGCCGTGCCTGCGTCGTCGATGGGTGCGCCAATGGGTGTGCCGGTCGGGTTGGGTGTCGAGGTGTCGTCTTTGTGAGGAGTGTTAATTGTCGAACCAGTGGACCAGTGTTGCTTGACCTCGGAGGGTCTGGGCTTTTAGCTGATGGTCAGTTGGCTGGAGTGTGAAGAGATGGTTTGTGGTTATTTCTTTGGCACACATGGCTTGGGCTGGGCGACTATATGGACGTGAGGACGGCAACGCATTGGTGGTTGTTTCTGAGCATGACGTCCCACTCCGGTTACTCTCCGCGCCTTGCCCCCTCGGTCCGCCATACGATTTGGACGGACAGAGAGACAGGCAGACTTGGAGAGACCGCCGAGTCTGGATGAGAATCGGGCTCATGTCAGGGCGTTGTTGGTTTTTTTTTCTCTTTTTTCTACTGCTGTTTTTACTTCCTGTTTCATCATCATTTGTCTTGCTTCTATCTATGTTGGCCTTTTTGCTTTACTCAAAAACCCTTTCATTCTGTCTGTCTCTACCAACTTCACAAAAGAGGGAGAGAGAACCTGGAGGATGGATGCTGTGCTGGGGAAAGTAACGGATCACGTTAACATATTGATCGGTAGGCGGGCGTTGTATGGCTTGTTTTATATTGATATTTATGCCGGTTTCATGTTCGTTCCTTTTCTTTTCCCTTTCTGTTAGTGGTCCTTGTTGTTGTATCTTGACCAGTTGCATTTATTGCACGCCTTTTGGGGCACTCGTGCTGGGCGGGCAGGCGGAGTAAGGATGAGGTGGTAAAGACGGCGTACCCTATAGTATCGTCCTGTGCTTCTAGGATGATGTTAGGTTGTGCTATGCTGCTCGTTGGCTGGATGCTTCCCTTGATGTTTTTATCGGGGTATTAAGTCATTTCTTCTTTGAGTTACTGTCTTTTTCCTTCGTTTCCTTTCTCTCTCCATTTCCTCTCCCCGGATGATGGGTGATCTGGGTATGAAGGGTCGGGGAGAAGGGGGAAAATGAAGGAAACACGGAGATGCTGCGCGGAGCGGCTTATTTGAGTTCAGGGAACGGATGTAGATACAATGCATTACATACACGCGCTATGCGGATGGGCTAGAGAATAAAACGGAGTCGTACTCGATGCGGAGGTGCGGGTGTGACTGTTGTGAGTGATGACAATGAGACATAGTCACGGTGGGAGAATAATGCGAGTGGGAAGAGATCGGAGCAGAGGGCTAGAACGACGATGTTTCTTGTTTGCTTTGTGAAAGTTGGATATACTACTGGAACATGACCAACAAAGTGACTTATTTGCTCGGCTACTCTTGCCGAAAGCTTCTTACGTTGAAAGGCACGGGACGACGTTGACCCTTTACAGCTCCAACTATGCCTTGATAACCTACTTGCTTACCCGATTTGAGTGGTGCGACCAGTGAGCCTGGCCAGCGAAAAAGCCTAACAGAACACCGCCTCCCACTAGAGGGGTTTGTTCTCGGGGGATCACATATCACCCGTCACTCCTTGTGACAGTCCAGATGCTCATCCAGCCCACCACAACACCGGGGTCAGCTCTGTAACCAACTCAACACAGTCGTTCGCTGAGTCGTCGCTGCCTAGTTACTCGTATCCCACACCCTCTAACAGCCAGTGTCTGGATTCTCTCCCAGGGTTCGTGTCCCACATTCTGTTCCGGCCACGGCTTGCTTCATAAAAACGGTCGAGAACACCAGCCCAAGATACGTTTTGTAGATCTGACAGACTTGTGACAGTCCGGCTAGCAAGGCGGCCTGGTGACGGGTGATGAGTAAACACCCCGTTTCCCGTCTGGCGCAGATATACCCGTTTTTGGAAATGGTTGGAGGACAAGCTTTGTTTCAGGAGGTTTGTGAGATGGATATGTAAGCCGATCTGCCGTAAACACGGCAGGGAAGGCTAAGCTGACGCGGCTGTGTTAGTGAACTCAATAACTTGACGATTCTGGAGTCAGCTGGCTTGTTTGTGTAGGTAGGTATATCAAACCCGACTGATATGGCGTTTGCGTTGTGAGACAGCGGATTGTGATGAAGGAAGGGGTCCAGAACGTCTGCGTCTCATGCACTGGGACTCGTAGTCATGGATCATGGGGCGTGCCTCGGCTGGCTGGCGTGGGCTGACGCTATTAGGGCCTCGGCGGGAACTTCCGCCTTCCAACGATCACCGGCAGCCTTCTCGATCGTGATGAGACCTTCCCCAAGCCCTCATGGCCCAGGCGGAGAAACCTGCATCGCTCCCAGCTTCCTTTTACTGGATCTTTCCCAGAGGTCGTTGGACCAATGGTCCGCTCCAAACAGGGTGATCCACTGGCGAGCCGCCACCGCGGAGCCTCTCGGTAGTTTCGCCTGCCTTCACGGTCGGGATGGCCAAGTTGGTTGGTCCCAGGGACAGCTGGAGGTTCAGGCGGTCTGCTGAGAAACCTAGCTCTGGCATCCTATTCGTGATCTATCCGGAGACGGGACGAAAATTTATCACTTTTGTCGTCGCCTCGTTAAGTTGCGGCCGATCTATCTTGCTTGACCTTGGCAACTTGGCTCGGGCGCTGGGGGCCAACTTGCGCGTCACGAAGGCAGTGAGGTCGGCCCACGAGAAGGCAAAAAGACGTGACGCAAGCTATTGTTTTGCTCAGCCTCAATCATCAACACGAAAGCGGAGCAGGCGCTTTAAACTGGAGAATACTCAGCCGTTTTGTGGGTGTCCCGCCGAGTCAGAATGGAAATACCCCCCTTCTCTGGCCCCTCTGCCCTCGGTCTGGCCAACACCGAGACCTCCGGTCAACCGCAGGCACCAAGGCTGGCAGGGCCGAATCGTGACCCGGCAGTCTCGGAAACGAAGTGCCCGGATAACGTATTCCGGCCACTTAAGGTCGGGATTGCGGTTATGTGAGTTGCGACGAGGCGTGCGACTGGATTGTTGTTTTTGCTCGGTGCAATTGAGGTGTTGGCTCGGTGATGTGCGCTGATTGGATGTTAAGTTCCCGTGGCCTCGAGTCGGGTCCTGTTGCGCCCCGGCGCGCGCCGTGATGCGACCGAAGCGACTACGGTCGCGCAGATGGGCCGCAGAGTCGCGGTTTCCAATAAACACGATCCTCAACACAAGCCGGGCGGCGGGTGGATGAGAAGGAAGGTTGGCGTTGGGTGGTGGCAAGAAGCGTGTTGGGTCGGGGGCCGCGACCTTGTAGGACACGAGCGAAGGGAGCTGAGTTCTGTGTGTGGCCAACCAACCGATGGCCAGAGACCAGGAATGGCGGTCTCCATCCCCGGCTGAAGGCGAGAACAGAGAGCCAGCATTCGGTTGTTTTCTGAAGTGCCGAGTCCTTCGACGAGGAAACTGGGAAACGCATGGGGCCAGGAAATGAATGCTACCGGTTTCAGTTACCGAAGCGGGAATGAGAAACGGCGGTCAAGGACATCTCGCTTTCATAGCTTCTGAGTTTGGTGGCTGTCTTTTTCTTTGCGTGCAGAGACAGACAATCATCCCACACCTCACAGTGCGACGACATGGATGCGCCGTCCCATTTTGCCCATTTTTGCTTTGTGGGGGCTTGACATGAGAGGAGGTGGGGCCGACAGGGTTCCGGTCCGTAGGGCTGAGGAAGGAAGGAGGGGACCGACGATCATTCCCTGTTTGTGCAACATCCGCGAGCGGGCCTCGAAAAAGGTCGTGACCACAAGAAGTACGACGAAAACGACATGCCGTTCGGTGCCTTCGGGAAAATGAATAACTCGTGTAATGGTTCTTCGAGTAAGCCGCCTTATCAGTCCCCGAAATGGGATTGCCCTCTTTTTTTCGCCTGGCCGCGGGAATCTGCGACGAACGAAATCACGAAGGTATTGCTGATCGGCCATAGCCATTCGACGAAATCGTGTTCCGGATAAGGAAGTTACTACACGACAGAGTACCCTTAACTCTTCCAGGTTTCTCTCAAAAATACTTCGGATTGGCATTCAGAAAGCGAAGAAACCTGAACGGAACCTACCGATCTTGTTGAATCGCGCCCCTAACCGAGCCAGAGCTAACGTTACTGCGACCTGAACCGCCTGTTCTCGCTGGGAATCGGCAGGAGCATAACACGCCCATGGCGCCTTCCTTCCGAAGCATCTTGGTAAACTGTAATGAGGTTTCTTGGAATTCTCGGTCGTGGCTTCCTCGTTCTTTAAGCAGGCCAGGTATCAAGTAGAAAAACTCTCCATTCCAGGGCATCTCCCCAGGTTTTCTTTCCTCCTCCAACACACAATCGCACGCACAGAATAGCCGGAGAAAACGTACCTCCAAGGCACCACCATCTGAAGTAAAAGACCCTTGCTCCGGACGTTAGCGGGAAGAATCAGAACAAGGTCATCTGTTTCATACCCCGAACCAAATCCTCTTGCAGGGCTGGAATGACTTCTGACATCAGATCCATGGATTCGCCAAAATGCCCCCCGCTTTAAACCCTCGCTCCAGCCCCCTGCGAAAAGATGCATGCACGCATCACCCACCGCTGCAGGCGCGGTGTGCCGACATCTGCATCAGCAATCCATGTACGCAACGTCGCCCTGCAGCTCAAAGATCATTCCTCGCCTTTTCTTTTCGGGTGAGATTCCTTGCGAGGGCTAAAGGTTCTTCATCACGGGTTCCGGTAAGATTGAAATCGCGGCAGGAAATGCACCCATCGGCCCCCACCTTCTAAACGCTGAACAGCGACAGGGAGAAAGACGCACAGGCGCCTCTGCAGCCACCATTGGCGCCGTGCCCAGAGCATCCTGGCGCTCACTATTCCGAAGCGCCTGTCCTTGTTATTCCAAATATTGTACATCCTGCTGTGAAGGAGCTTGAGAATCCCTCCGCTCACACGCCGCCAACCTCCCGCATGGAGGTTTGGAGGTTCCAGCCCAGGTTAAGCTTGGACTATCCCAGATTTGGCTTCCAGGTTGCTCCAGGAATGCCCCGCGCACCCCAGACCCAGGGTTACACCCTGCTGGCCTTCGTGAGACTTTCACCAGTCACCTCAAGTTGTCGTACTTGCTCAATCTGACAGGTCCGCCGATCCGCCTGCCGTTGGCTGTTCAGCAACAATCAGCATTGCGCTTGTGAGAAGTCCAGCTTTCGCCAGCGCGCCAAAATGCGCTATTTCTGGGTTGTACACTTTAGAAACGCGCTGAAAACGGCGATCCTTCCACGGTCGGTCGGTCAGTAATCGCGGAAACCAAGGAGCCTGGGGCTCGCGGACAACAGCGGGACTAGGGCTTTGTCCTCTCCGTCCCCTTTCGGCCAGGAATTTCTCGGTCGAGAAGAGTAAGTGGTCGCCGGTCTCGCGATCCAAGGCCGGACTCCCCCAGCCTCCCCCCCTTGCTTGCAGACAAGGCTCGTAGGGCAGGAACAAGCTTAACGCGCACCGGAAACCCACCCCATCCTTGGAGGATGCCGAACGCGGTAATCCCGCCATTAAAGACATGATCCTCGTGCTGACGGAACAGCGGGGAGGTCGCATTGGAAGAACACCCTGCTCCGGTGCTTTCCGCCAACTTTGCCCGCATTCGGTCTCCGACTCTCCATGCACGGGAGACGACACATAGATGACCGGCGTGTCCATCGGGAGTAACCAAGGCGTGAGGGTGTGCGCCTAGTCCTCGGCCCACCAGCGTCGCACAGCAGCCCTAACTAGATTGGTCGCTCAGCTCGAGGCTCGCGTCCAGACGAGAGCTGACCTCCAGACTGAACAGAGGGAACAACCCGAACTAGTGCCATTGGGCGTTAGTCCCAACTGTCTCAGCAGGTCTTCGATCTGATCTCGCCTTTTCCTTCGCTTGTTAGCCCGTGACTTTTCTGGATCCAACTGGGATGGCGGTCAGCGATGAGAAGGCGCATAGTGGGTTCGCCTGGCCAAGGGTTGTTCGAGCTGTATAAGTCTCACGACTTCCCCCTTGGACCAGTGCGAGAAACCCGAGCGAGGCAACCGTAACTTGGACACATCGGCACGGAAGTACTCGTACGTTGCGGAGCATATTGCGGAGCTAGGATTCTCTCGTCATCTCCCGTTGCCGGCCTCTGTTTTGACTTTGACGAATCTCACGCTTTCGAGTATTTGTCAACACGCATTACGCTGGCGCCTGTCGCGCTTGTGAGACCTCACCTCGCGTGTAAGTGACCCTTCCCTTCCGAGCTCAGGCGTCCGATTGGGCGATGCTGGCCATGTTCCTCGCGACCAGGTCATGAGGGTTAACGCAACAAGACAGCCCGTCGCCGACCCCAACATTGCTCAGCTTCTCAATTGGAGGGGACGATCATTCCATCCCTCTTCCCTACCTTTTCCTCTCGGTCTTGCGGTCTTTTGGCCTTGGAACTCGGCCGGGTTTCACGTGGTTCTCCAGCGTCAGCCATCGAATGGTGGTCGATTCAGCCCTGGGTGGAACCCTCAGAAGAAGGCCTCCAGCGGGTACCCCGGCCCTGAAGCCATCCAATTTCCGTGCCACCACCCGGCCGCCAGGGCCAACTGCCTGAACCCCCCTGATCCAGGAGCGTATCCGCCCCTCAAGCCGGACGAGACCCCCATCGAGGGACCCCCAAAGGAACAGCCATTTATTATTCCCTTCTTTTTTGTCGACCTTGTCACCTTCTCCTTCTTTCTCCTTTAAAGGTAGCACTGCCCCGATGCCAACCCTCACGCCTGCCCACGGTCATGCCCTGGCAGGAACACTTCCGCACCGATATCACCACAAACCGGCCAGCACGCATATATGCCTCGTCGTTGGCGTTTTAGCGATCCTAGTTGCCACCCACTGGGTTTTTGCACGAAGACGTGCCTCTCGAGCGGCTATTATTGATTACCAGCCATATGACGAAAAGAGGCAACCCGGCAGCAACTGTGGTCCCAAGCTGAGAAAAGAGGACGGTGTGTGGCTGTGCTCCGGCCCAAGAGCGGGAACCGGACAGGGTGCTCAAGCTTCACCCAAAGGGGGTTTGCTGGGGTACGTTCCCCTCACAGCTCTGCGCAACCAACCGGGGACTTTGCTCGCACTGCCGAGGATGGATGGGAACAGGGACGAGGCAGAAAGAGGCCATTCCACACGCTTCGCACGCCCAAAATCACGTGGTGTCAGCACGACCACCCCCCAACCAGCCCACGATGCGCTGTCAATAACCGCGGGGTCGAGCTCCGTCACCATCACTACCCGGCCAGCCGGCAGTTACTCGCCGCGGGATGCTCCGCGGTGCTTATCGCAAAGACACCAGAGCGGCCCCTCGGATGAGCCAGCCCCGGGAGAGGAGCCAAAGGGCCCCATTCCCATGGCTGGGGGGAGCAATCCAAGCCAGGGAAGCCCGGGCGCCGCGCAGCAAGACGGTGATTCTGTAACGGCGCACCAGCACCATGGAGAGGAGCATTCGGCCCCGTTTCCGGGAACAGAGTTCGGCATCTCCAGGCACTTTTCTCGGCCGCCACCACCACCGCCATTGACACCCCCAACACTCGACAGCACTTTCTTCCCCTTTGAACACCGCCGTCCGAGCGATGCGGTCTCCATCCCTCCATCGTTCGACTCCAGTTTCATCCACCAGCCAAATCCCGAGTATGGGGCAGCCTCCAACCCCCTGGATAGCCCGAATCTGAGCTCCAGCCCACCGACGGCCGCCGGCACGCTCCCTCGGCTAACATCGTACACCAGGAGCGTCCCCGTCGGCATGCCAGGGCTCACCACAACTGCCTCTGCCGCCTCTTCGTCTAACGAGACGATGACATCAGGGAGCACGACAGCCTCCTCTTTCTCCCCTTCCAGCTACCCACAAGCATCCCCACTACTCCCCCCACCACCGCCAGGTCAATTCGAACCACCAATGCCACGAACGACGTCATCTGGACCGTCTGCGCCACCCAAGTACCAATTCGTGGGGGGCCCGGGCGGGCCCGGTGTGTTGCTGTCACAGCATGAAATTGACCTGCAGGGCGAGGTTATATCGGTGGTGGATGATGCTGGGCACGGGTGGAAGCGCCATACGCGGGTGTATGGCGGCGGTGTGTGTTTGGCGTGTGTCGCGGCACAGAGGAGGGGGGAAGGCCGAGGGGGGTTTTATGGGGACAAAGTTCCGTTGGAAGATCGGAGGTAGGGCATACAACACGGTGCTTTTCTCTGGCAAGTTCCCCTGGGTTAAAGGGCAAGTGCTCGGGTTTTTTTTTTTTTTTTGAGGTCAACGTTGGGAAACAGATCTGGATTGGATCGTGTTTGTATGGGCCGTTGCACGCTGTCGCTGTGGGTCTGTCATGCACGACAGCGCCAAAAGCACCGAGTCGCCCCGCCGACGTTCGCTGGGTGGGAAGTGGCACTGCATGGGCTCGCAAGGGGTCCTGCATGTTCTATAGGGCCTCCACTGTCTTGTCTCCCGTGGTTCGAACCGCTGCATGGGCTACTGCGGGCAGGGGGTGTGATGAGGCAGGCTTGTCGTTGAGCTGGGCAAGCCAAGCGAGGTGGGAGATGCTGGGGACGGAACCGCCCAGATACGACCTTGGGTGGAATCCGACTCGCTCCCGGGGATTGCTGCTTGATGATACCAGTGGGCCTAGGTAAGGTACCTAGGTACACTACATACTTATGACTGTTACGAATCTTACGAATCTAATGCTACTTGACATTGTTGGATCTTATACGACGCGCGTACCGTACTGTGTTTGCAGAAGGTCGGCGGCACAGTAGAATCTGCCGCGAATAGCCTTCTAGTCGCAGGAGCTGGGGGTTCCTCGTTTAGTGCCTAAGTCATTGTTACACGCCCAAATATTTGTAGTCGGTTTCATATGTTCGGTAAACTCGGCGCTTTGGAAGTCTGAACCTGACGACATTATATGTACGCAACTGACACGCAGTTAATGCGCAGCGTGGATCTCGCCCGAGTCGACCTACCGCTGGTGTTTGAAAATATATTCAGCAGCCAAGTCGGATTTCCAGCTTTAGGCACATGGTAACGGAAACAGGGTGTCGACATGTTGGCCGCCGCTACATCCAAAACATCTCCATATCAATTAACACTCAACAATATTCCCAATCATACCCAGCGTACATGGGTAATTGGTGACTGAACACGGTACCCTATAACCCAACCGACTTTGGATGGTAGGCTATTAATAAAGCTCTACCCCTTGGAAAATCAAAAGCATGATATCCTAAACTGTGACCGAGGGACAACGCCATGCTTCAGTTGGCAACTATTCATCACCGAGGAAGCGGGTTTGTTACCCTTCTCATCATGCAAGTATCAACCTTACACTTCGCTTCCCAGGATTATCGGTTTGGGCCCGACAAACCACTGAAGGCTTCACAAATTCATATCCTAATTACTGAAATGACAGGATTTGGGGATCACAAATTCACACCTCTCACAACATGTTTGTTGCCTAGCCAGGATTACCATTCAAGTCCATCCACGTCGTCGAAAACCTAATTAACCTTGAGTCCCAGTGATGGAGTGGGCTCCACTGGATCTTGATGATTATTGAAAAATCGTCTGATAGATGATATCACACCCTATGAACCCAAGAGCGAGCCATCTGGCTCGCACAAGAAGGCTGTAGACGGGACCACGTAGTTCGAGTTAAAGTAATTAAATAAAAGGCACAACCTGGGCACATTCCGCCAGAACCACTGCGGTCAGCACTTAACTAATGGAAGTGGCTTGTTGCAGATAATTAACAGGCCCGAGGCTGCTCAATTGGTTCCAGAACTTGTGTTGTTTGCGAGTTTTCCGCATTCAGTGTTTGTTTGTGCCTCTGGATGAGATCATTCTTCCTTGGGGAGTAAGTGATGGAGTTCCAAAGGCTAAGAATCGGATGTCTCGAACAGGCTAGTGACTGAAGATTTAGATTGTTCGTGATAGGGGCCGTTGTATATGAAGAGGGAGTGGATTGGAATGTAGATGAGGCATGAGATGAACTGTATCCTGCGTGTTTTATTCACCATCAGTGAGCTTTCGCTTTGCAAGTGCCTCACGCATTGGGTTTGTCTTCTTTTCAGTGGGTCTGGTGCGGACTCCCGACCTATGGCCTACCCTCTACAACAGTGTCAAGCAAACAAGAAAACGGGATGTAGTCCCTCGCCGCTTGTCGGCCTGAGAACGAATTGGCTAATGATCAAGGGAGGAAAGGATTTTGTTCAAAGCTTTTGTCCCCACGCCCGAACAAGCTCAAATCCTCATCCATGCACACTACAACCCTTCTTTTCACCAAGTTGTCTATTTTCCAACCTTTATAACCCTACTTCACACTTGACACCCTCCACCTTTTTCACCCATCAATCAAGCATCACAGTAATCCCAATCATAGCTCACACCCTGCTGAACACCGTAGTGCTCCTCCTGGCCCTGCCACGTCACCTTATCCGACGTGACGGTACCCTTAGCGCCCTCCTTGGTCGCCTTGACGGACAGCTCGGTGCGGTACTTGATGACACCTGTGCCGCACTCGGGCAGAGCCCACTGCACCAACTTGTCGGCGGGCGGGGTGATGTCGTAGAAGGCCTGGTCAGACGAGCGCGGGCCGGCGACGGTGAGGGTGTCGACGATCTAAAATGGGGGTTAGTTAATTATTTCTTTAGTAGTTGTCGGAGAGGAAGAGAGAAACAGAAACAGGCTAACTCACCTTGTCGTCACCGTCGGTGTCATACGTAAACGTCCAAGTCGCCTCAACACCCTCCTCGAGGTCATAGTTCGCAATGATCTCGGTGCCATTCTTGTGCAACTTGAGGCGGTACCCAGCCGGGTCGGCGGGATCGGTGCTGGTCTCGGAAAGCTCGGTGTACTTGAGCGTAGTCTCGCACCAGATCGACGCCTCCGGGTTCTCGGTGTCCACGTTCAGGCTGATGGCCGGGTAGGCGAAGTGCCAGTAGTAGATCTCGGAGCCGTCGACGGTGTTAGAGCCGTATGTGGGGCGCGTGCCGTAGCCCTCCGGGCCGACGTCCGGGCAGCCGGGGCCTTCGAGGGCGGTGATCTCGAAGAGCCAGTTCCACGGCAGGATGCGGACGGGGTCGCCGTCTGCGGGCGCCGGGCTGGGCCGGGCTAGCGCTGTGGCTAGGAGGGCGGTGAGGACCTTGAAGCTGGACGGCATTGTGATGGCTGAATTGATGACTTTCAAGAGGAAGAGAGGTGAATAGGGTGAAGGTTGATAGAGTGGTAAAGAGATGTTGTCAGAGAACGTGGAGCAGCAACCCCTGGGGATCTTTATATAGACAACTAACTTTAAGCTTATAATTAGTGATCGCCAATATCAGATCGGGGACTCGGTATTTGCGTACGGTTCCTGACTATCCACTCCATCTCGATCTCCTGTCAACGGTCTGTCAATCTACGGAGAATGCCTGTCACCATGTCTTGGCTGGGTTGACAGGTCAAGACTGCGCTGCGTAGCGTTCGCTTAGATATTACCCCGCGTCATGGTGGAACGACCGGGACTCGTTTTTGACAGAAAAACCGGAGGTTAATGGCCCGAATGCTCCCAAGAATGACACAATACGAGTTATTTTGCTCATCGGAGCGCCGGCGACAACGTAGGCGATTCAAAAAGGCGAAGGAGAACCACCTCCGCCGCCTGTATCAATCCACGGTGAAGGCCTGCAGTGGCTCACTGGCTAGTTAATATCTGTCGGGAGGTCCCGTTGAATACGACCGCTACGCGCAGCGTTACATTTGCTGGCGTCTGAGCAACACTCGGAACAGACGAAAGCGTCAAGTTACTATAATAAAAAGTCCGAGAGCTCGGATTTGGTTCTGACCTGAGCAAGATCTGCACCGTTGAGCCAACCCGACAGGACGGGCGCCGGCTAAAAAGAAAAGTCCCAACAGCAAAGTTCCAATCAACCCCGACTCTTCCGATAGTTCTCGCGGTTGAGGCAAAAGTTGTTAGTTGACTCGGCCGAGAAGTCGGATGTGTCTGAATGTCGCCACAAGTTCAAGTAACAATTGCTACTACGATTGGTACGGTTGACACTATCTTAATTGAGACTATTCCCCTCGACTGCAGTGCAACCGGAGACCGGGACCGTGATGTCCGAGTACTCTCATCTCAGTGAGCGGTTGTGGGATAGAAGGGCCGGGGAAAGAAATGATTTGTTTTTGGAACTGTCCATTAGGTATGCTTGAATATGCCTACCACAGTATGCCTAGTCATACATTACATGCTTAGCCGCCCGGGCCAGATCGTGAGAGATGGTTTCGGTCCCGAGATGCTTCAGCCAAGACTTGGAGCGAAAGCGGTGCTTGCGCAGTTGGAACAACTAGGCATCGGTCTTGCCTAGTCCTCGCTTCGAAACCGGGCCGGCGGCCAGAATAATCGCCACTGTCAGAATCTTCATGGTTTGTGTATGTACATGTACATGGGTAGTCAGTGAGCCGCCCCTTTCATAGATTCAAGATGGCCCGAGTTCCGCCCCAGAAGTGACACCGGAACTACACCGTTAACTCCTTAGTTAAAAGATTCCAAATATTTAGTTTCCCAAATAGGGAATGCCTTTCCCGAGACCTTTTCCAGCCTCCCAATCCATGCACCCTGCCGGCCATGCGCCCTGCTTGGTCCCGTAACTGGCATTTTTCTAAGCTTCTTGGATGTCCTACTCGGAATAGGTGGCTTCAAGCATACGGGCACAGAAGAGAAACGATCAAGTGTTATGGTAGGTCAAGGAATACCACCCAGCAGGCAGAGACTACACACGGTGTTGACATATCCAGGTGTTATTCCGTACTTTGAAGAGCACCTAAGTTGCATGTAATACCTAATTAGGTAGCTGCACACCGGTGAGGTATCAGGTAATTAATGCAGGTAAAATCTTGATTTCCGAGACAAAGCGACCAACCCACCTAGCAAATCCTAAGTGATCGAGTAAATAACCATCAACAACCCCCTCTACGAGTTGCATCAACCACACGCTCCACCGCTATGCAAATAACTGGGCCGCAAAAACATTTTTATTACCGCTACCCCTTCCCATGACCCTCACGTCATGGCCTACAACTCCCCACACCCCATGCACAGTTAAGTACTAGATACTAAAGCCGGGGCCACAACACCACCTCAGACCCGAGTGATTTACATCACCGTGGAGCATGCAACCGCTCCACAAGCGAACCATGTAATGTATCATCATGAACACAATCTCGTGATGATGCTGCGATATGACCTCGGTTGACACGCTCCTTGAAACTCATAATCAAGCTTGAACATTGTTATCGATCCTCGAATCTTGGGGCGGAATTGAGTGAGTTTGGGAGGTTGGCCCTTTAATTGCGAGTTCAGTGGGTCTTGTCGTTTTTAGTGACCGCAGGTTTGGGTGTTCTGACTGCTAACGTATCAAAATTGGTGTCAGTGGAAGGGGTGGCCATGGTTCATCCTCGGGCAGGTCCTCGTGCATTCCCAGTCGAGACTGAGATATTGTGGTTCTTGCCCGTTACACCGACAACCCCCCTTTTATTCCTAGAGCTACTTGGAAATTCTAGGGCAGTTCTGAGGTCAAAATATGATGTTAACAGAAGACATCTACCTGCCGCAAGGGGGTGTCGTCAAAAGTTATATACCTTCTGTTGATTACTGACTTTCTCACGACAGACGACACATAACTTTCTTCTTACTAACTCAACCAGTGCCATCCCTGAACTGCCTCTGAGTTCGTCCCTTTCAGGACAGTTCGTCTTCCAACAGTTCGGACGGATGTGGGGTCGTGAGGTCAATGCATGAACATGACTCGGGTGTTCGTCTGAGAATTTCCTGGAAACCACGTGTCATGACATCTACCGGTGGTAAGTGTAAATAGCAGGTAAAGGGGAGGGTCCGAGAGTCTGGAATTTGAGGTGGTCCCGAGTATCTATGTCTACATGGAGTGGCTTTGTTCCTCAGCGTATACCGCAGAGGGCTATTCTTTAGCTTCACCCGTGCTAGGGTAGTGCAGGTTTTAAATACAAACCAAGCTTTTACTAAATAATGAACCAAGGGCTTGAACTTCTCGTACCGCCATTGGCCTTGCTAGCCAATAAGCCATAACAGACTGGAGTTGATGCGGCTTTGCCTTGGTTGTTACTGCAGACTTGTTCTTATAAGACTTGTAAACATCCTAAATTGTCGGCTGGTAGTGGTGGTTCAATTCTTGACTTGAGGGAGGCGTTTTGGCTGCTGGCCTGGAAGGACATCACGGCCGTCGCAGAAGGACAGAGATTCTTGGAACAACATGGGGTTTGGGTTGCGTCTGAAGGCGGATGCGGACATGAAGTTTGACGCGTATGTGGGAGGAGAAAATGGCCTGGTGGCAAACGATTCAAACGAATGTTTCGGTTGTTGAGAAGGTTTTGGACAAATGGGGACAGGATGGGCCAAGCCTTTGATCATACTCGCCCACACGAGCCCGTAATTTGTGGTGAGGCAGGGTCACACCCGTCTCTTTCAGCCTCCTTTCGAGGGAAGAACCATCGGCGGTACATACAGAGCAATACCATCGACTAACAATTGCCAAGACCATCCAACACGATGTTTGGGACTGCCCCACAAACTGGTTTGCGAATGTTTGGCGTGGTTGAACAAGCGTCCGCTAGGATAAGCCTGCCTCGCCACATGGCGGCCGATGTCGAAACATTCGATGATGAAAAGGGATGGATAGGCAAGCATGGTCCCTGTTTTGTGCGATCGACACCAGTTGGACTTGGTTGGGCCGTCTCGCCGGCTGGCCAACTGGTCGCGGTCACAGAGTCTGCGGCACAGCAGTCGCGGCATTTGGGGAACTTGTAGCGACCGCTATCTTTGGAAAGCCTTTCCCACCGGGGGAAAGGCCAGATTCCAACCGTGAGCCAGGTTACAATGCATTTCCGAGCATCTGGACGGCTGGCAAACGCAGAAAATAAATCATAGACCAACGGCTGGGAGGTCCCAGGTTTTTGCGAATCACATATTAAGCGCGCTGAATTCTACGGTTGACATGGCGGTGGGCGGGGCAGAGCGTGATTCATGCAAAGGCTATGCAGGGTCCGCAGATGGTGTTTCATCGAAGCCTGGGAGAAGGGCGGCTCGTCGCGGGGTTTGCCGGTTCTGGCGGCATCGGGCGAGACGGCCTGCGGAACGGGGCCGGGTTGGAATTTGTTGGAAGTTGGGTTGAGCACCGTTGGGCAGATGATATATGTTGGCCTGCGAAGACATCTAAGATGCGGAGAAGGGGCGTATACTTACATAGTACACGAAACGGCGTGGGCGTTTCTCCAGTCCTTTGACGAATAGTTAACGATGACGGTGGTTGGGCTGGGACACGGGAACCTTGGCTTCAAGCAATTGGAAAGCTTGAAAAGGGAGGAGTGCGAGAAACCCTAACCAAGTTCGGCTCTCAAAGCTGCAGCTTGTGCGACGCCCCAGAGGCGTTGCGGCTCCCGGCCCCAGATCTCGGGCCAAACTGATCGCGTGCAGGACACTGCATCGGGCCTGCTCGGGTAGCCATTCCTCTCTGATGTCCATGTTTCAAATGTTGTTGATGGCCACACAAGGACGGCGATCTGGGCCCCCTAAAAGAGCGTTTCGGGCCCGCCAAGATGGCCACCCCAGTGTCGTGCCTTGCCAACTGCCCAGTGTGCCCGAGTCCCTGGCGAGCCTGGCACTGGCAAGCTGGCTGCCATCGCTTCACCTAACAAGGCTGCGACCCGGAAGGGTTGCGCATCATTTGTGGATCGTACCGCGGGTTCCAGGATACCCCTTCGCGGCGCATGGACTGCAATCTGGAAGATCTCCAATTGTTTATGCTGGCTTCTTTTTTCTCACCTTCTTACGCCGTTGGCTGAAAACGGAGAGCACCGAAAGGGTGCAAAGGGAAAGCTTCGAATAAAGGACCGGAAGGAAAATACAGAAGGAGCAGAACGAGAGGGCGCTTCCGACGGGAAGGAGGCGATGGCATCGGATGAACTCAGAGTGGAGTTGCTTGGCAAAAATGGAACTCAACGCCAGGCACCCCCGACAGGCCGACAAAGGAGCCGGAAGGGCGGCGGCCGATTTCAGTCAAGAATCAGGAACTCGTGGAAAAAGGGGAGGGCTTTTTTTTTAAAAAAAAAAAGAAACCGGGAAGAGGAATCACGCCCTATCGGTCACAAAGAAGAAAAAAGGAACACGGCTCACAGTGGTTGATGATAAAACTGGATGCTGGAATGCTCGTGGCGAGAGGCAAGGAGGGGTGCAAAGAAACATCGAACTCGCGCCTGCTGCGGGCGACAACTTCCAGCTTGACTATTGCCAACGGCCAATGTCCATTGGCCTGCGCAAGCGGAGGAGAGCACAGTTGCTAGCTGGATTGGTGTTAGCGGCGGGTGGTGCTGGCGACCATCTTGAGGATAAAGTTACAGAGAATAGGAGCAATACCCGTGAAAGCCCTAACGGATGGAGGTTGCGCAGAGGCGGACCACTGTTAGCAGACTTCGCTTTCCTGCTGTGTCTTGAAGTACTCTCGGCCACCCCGCTTATGTCATTGGCGAAATTGGTGGCAATTCCGAGTCCGTGATTGGCCAGTATTCGCTTTGCCCCAGCGTGGCAGCCATGGGCGCACACGCCATCTCTGTTCTTCTGCAAGCCCGGCGGCGCTCCATTCAATCACGGTGGCCTGCTACCCGCTCGGCCCTTGCCTGCGACAGGTGCCCCTGCCGCGAGCCCCCTGTTTCCTAGCCAGTCATATCGTGAATGCAGCTCCCCTGCCCCACCCGCTCTGGCTCCTGGGTCTCCATCGATCCAGCCTTTCATCTCTCGTTTCCGAAGCCCTTCTCTCCTCTTTTGCTGCTCTGCTGCTGCTGCTGCTCCCTCTCCTCTCTTCCTTCGCATCACCAGCCTGCCACCCTTCCTTTTCGCGCTTTCCCTCTTCCTCTCTTCGTGGTGCGTCCTCGTGTCGTCGCCGTCGTTGCTCGTCATCATTTCTTTGGCTTGACAACCCGAATTTCTCATCTGTCACCTTCTCTCGACCCACTGCACAAATTGCGAACCAAAGGAAAAATAGGTTAAAAAAGGAGGCATCTGGGAAGCTCACCACAAACACTGTTTTTAATCCTTGTATTCTACTACTCGCACACTTGTCTTCCGATTGATTGCCATTGCCCGACAGCTTTGGCCGACTCAGTTCTTCGTTTTTATTTTCTCTCTCTTTCGGTCCCACGGCCAACAACAACTTCTTAATTTTCCGACCTACGAACACGGCCCAGTTTGCGCAACAAGGAAGAAGTATCGCGAGCGACCGACAGTCGACAATCGACAATCGACAATCGACACTGCTGAACGAACCCGAACAACTTCTTCCCTCTGTGTCTCAAGGTCCGACTAGGAACTGCGCAAACCTTGGCGGAATACCGCTTGCACCTGCCGGTTTTTCGTAAATATCGTCGATTCCTTTGTCAAGTCAACACAAGACAAAGCGTAGCCACACGGCCCAGCTTCTGCTACAGCACGATTCGGCTCGATCCGGTTTCTGCGCCACTGCAAACTCAACTTCGAGGGAACGACGACCCTGTAAAACCCCTACCTGCCCTGGGAATTGCAACAAAGCCGTCCGGCCGCCCACACGTCCTTCCTTCCCCTACAGCATTGCTTGGCCTTCTTCGACACTTGACACTCATTCGGCACGTCTGCCATTCTTCGCCAACATCGTTAATACCGCCCTCGCGTTTTCTGCCGATCGGTTTTGCGGGCATTCATCATTTTTGGTTTTGATAGTCGGAACAGGCATTTCTCCTGTCATCGCTTTTTTTTTCGGGACTCTCGAGGGTTACCAATAGACTCGGTCATCGCAGCGAGTTGAACGTTCGACCACGTTCTCCCTTTGCGGCAACCATTCTTACCTGTACTTTCTAATTTTCATACACACCCACGGATTCACGGATTTTCGCGACTCGCCTTTCGGCAAATTGCGGCACCACATCATTTTTGTCACATCTGTTTTCGATCACGTCACAATGGACGCTGGAAGTCTCGCTCAGATGTCGCAGGCCCACCTCAGCCAGGCCCACGGCCTCCCTATGAGCTCTGGCCTGGCATCACGCAGGGGCGGGCAGAACATCAAGCCCCTCTCGTTCGATGCCTTGAAGTCAACCGCCGATCGGGATGGCGGTGTGCCGACCCCGCGCACCAGCCGCTCGCACTTGTTGGCTGGTCTTCGCACCGCTCCCAAGTCGGCCACAGCCACGAGCTTCCCGAACCTGCCTTCCCCGACCACAGCAGGCATGCCGCAGGGTAGGAATCGCAACTCGGCAGTCCCCAACATGTACGACGCGGCGAGTTTGTATGGACCTAAGACGTCCATCCCGCGTTTTGCAACCCACCAGCAGGTTCAGACGCCTCAGCAGCAGCAATATCAGCAGCAACAACAACAGCAGCAGCAGCAGCAACAGCAGGCCTACCAGCAGATGGCTGCCCTCAACCAGCACTACACAGCCGAACAGGTTCTTGCTCCTCCGCTGCTCCAGCTGGAAGAGGCCCGGGAGCACATTGACCCGAACCTCCATGCGCAGCTGTTGTACACCAATGCCTATCTGTCAGACCAGCAGCAGCGTCTCCAGCAGCAATTGAAGGCGCTTCAAGCGGCCGCGCAGCAGTTCCAGGGTCTGAATCTTAACGGGCATGCCCAGATGGTGCAGCAGGGGTACCAGAACTTGTACCAGCAGCAATTGCAGAATGCCCAGGCCATGATGTCTCCCGCCGCGCAGCAGGCTGGCGTCTACGCCGTGTACGACCCGGTCACGGGACAACCGACCATGTACATGGATCAGAGCCAAGCTCAACTCCAACAGGCTCAGCTGAACGCTCAGCTGCAGGCCCAGCTCGCGAACCAGGCCCAGCTTGCCAATGGATACGGAAATGTCCAGCAACCCGCGGTTGGCACCCCCCGTCTCCAGGTCTCCCCGCCACCCTCCATGCCCGGTGCAACTGGTTTCCGCGTGCCCTCGCCGCCGCGCCGCTACGACTCTCCCCCGGAGACTCACGCTCCTCTGCCGCCCCCCAGCGCCAATGCTTTCCGGCGTGGGCATAAGAAGGCCCCGTCCGTTTCGAACAAGGGTCAGCTGTCCATCAGCACAAACGACGAGCCTCTGAAGTCAGTTGGTCCCAAGACTGCGTCCTTCCCATTGACGCCGATGACCGCCGGGTACGGGCCCGGGCAAGGCCGTGCCGGCGAGCATCCCGTTCGCCAGCCCCGAAATCCCCCGCCCCTTGACGAGCTGAAGGCGAAGCCGACGTCCAAGCACGAAGGCAGCAAGAACTTTGTTGCGCGCACCCGCCGCTCGGCCATCCACAACCTCGTCAAGGCCGGCTTGGAAAGGCGCAAGGAGACCCGAAGCCCTGGAAGCATCAGCCCGATTTCTGAGAGCACCGAGGAGCTCGTGGAGACGCCCCTGACGGACAACGACAGCGACTCTGGCCGTAGTGGGTCGGGTAGCCTGATTGACCGCGACGAGTGCAGCCTTCCTAGCTCCAGGACCAGCACCGGAAGTTGGGGCGCCATAGGCTCGGATCGTCCCAGCTCCCGCCAAAAGGGCCACCGCTCTAGCGTGGACAGCGTGCCCTCGGACCTGGAGAACGCGCCCGGCAGTTTCGCTAGTCTGCTCAAGAACAGCAATCAGAGTATCAAGGCCGGAGGCGAGGGCCAGCGCAAGGCACGACTTGTCCTCACTAGCGCCGAGAAGCGAAAGGTTGCTGTCTAGGCGGCGATGGCAGTTGGTGCGTGGTGAAACAGGGGCCTGGAACGCGGACTTTACGCTAATTCACGATTATGCCACATGTTCATTCCCTTGTTTATTTTATTATCTCACTTTTCTTCCTTCTCATCCGGTTGCGGACGGAAGCCTTCCCCGAGATGGGATGCAGCGCTTCTTAATCTCGGGACTTCACTTCCCGCACGGCTTTACGAATTTTTTCGCGCCCGTTTCGACACGACTCGGGCCTAACGTTTGACAATCGATCACGCTTGAAGGACGCCTTTTTACTTCGGTTTTTCTACTACGCAGTGGGATGGTGATTCTTTTACTTCTTTTTTTTCGGTTGCATTTTTTCGGAGCAGTTCTTCGCTTTGGTTTTCTTACGACGACTTCGATTCTTGCACGGCACCAAAACACCACGCCGACAGTTTTGTACCCTTCCGATACTCTGACATTCCAGAGGTCCGATGCGGTGCACCCGGGCCCGTCGATGCTTACGGTCCTTTACCGGCGCCTACAACGACAAATCAGGCTTGTCACGCCCTCACGGCGAACGCTTTTCTTTTACGTAGCTCTCGGGAACAGGTGGCCCAGGGCTGGGACCGACCGTAGGAGTCTGGGGGTATGGGGATATCACAGCCATATGAGCAATGGACGGGTAGCTGGGATCACGGTTTATTTTGGAGGTTTGAGGAAAGGAAAGGACAGGCGGGAAGGAGGAAAATAAAACATTGCAGACAGAGTCGCGCTTTTCGCCCCCCAGTACCAGGATAAAGGGACTGGCTGGGCGAGTAGCGCGGCTTCCGTCTTGTGATGCGGACATGGACAATTATCTCGAGGATTTTGGGGACACAACAAGCAGCCAGGTTTTTTTTTCCTTGGCTTGCGGGGGTCTTTCTTGGCTCCGAATTGCGGCCCCTGTTTCTGCAAGTTGGGGAAAGACGAGGCATGTTCTCAAGGTGTCGGAAGACAGCTTTATAGCTAGCTTACTCTCCTTAGTCTTCCATTCATCGGCAACCTGCCTAGTTTTGATAGCAATTTTGCGTCCCCTTATCGTCCCAGGTGATATATGCATGCGTCTTGGAGCTCAGTTACGCAGTGTGCGTATTGACAAGAGTACGGAATACGCCAATTCTTCTTCGCTTTCTCTTCTCGGACTTAATCAGGTCTGTTGCCGTTTACCACCGAACTCGGTCACATCGTTCCGGACCGCCGGTCAGTTGTCCCCGTTTCGACCCCACTTTCTGCGAGTTGTTGCTCCGCGCTGACCCGCATTTCGGGATAACGTTGTGGTATTGTGGTGTTGTTCTTTTGGTCAGTTGCTGAGTATAGTGTTGGCGGGATTATCCTTGAGAGGGGGGAGGTGTATTAACATTTTGCCGCTGGGACGTATTAGTAAAGAGAGGGGACGTCGTCATTGATAATTGCGACGTCAATGTTGGGGTTGTTTTTGTTTTTTGCGTTTGTTCTTGATCTGTCTTTTATTTAAGGAAGCTCGTTCTGGAGTTTTACCGTCTATTCCCCAACCCAACGTGTCGACTCAAAGTACAGTAAGTCCACACTTTTGAATCTCACTCTCCTGCCATTCTTAATGCCCCCACTAACACCCGTCTCAGTTCCCAACTCACCACAACACAACCATTTCACTCACAAAAATCTCAACAACCCCCCCGCCAAAATGTCCCCCAATTCCAAACCCCGTGTAATCCTCGGTCTCATGACCTTCGGCCCGGACCCCTCCGCCGGCGCCCGCGTAACCGACCCAGCCGAACTCATCCGTGCGGTGAACTTGTTACACACCCGCGGATATCAGCCTGTTGAAATCGACACTGCGAGGGTGTATGTGGGGGGGAAGCAGGAGGGGTTTACAAGAGTGGCTCTGGAGGATGCGAAGGGAGAGGTGAAGGTGGCGACTAAAGTGGTGTATCCGAAGACGGGGGGGATGAATGGGCATGAGGAGGTGGTGAAGAGTGTGGAGACGAGTTTGGGGGAGTTGGGGGTGGATAGGGTGGAGGTGCTTTATTTGCATGCTGCTGTTCGTCTTCTTTTTACTTTTCCCCTTTTCTCTTTTCTCTTCCTCACTTCTGGGCCGTCGAGTGAAGATATGAGAAAATGAGAGAAAAAGACTGACAGAGAGAAATATAGGACCGCAGCACCCCCTTCACCACCACCCTCCGCGCAATCAACACCCTCCACCTCACCCGCAAGTTCACCCACTTCGGCCTCTCCAACTTCACCGCCTTCGAAGTCGCCGAAATCGCCCTCACCTGCGCCCACAACAACTGGGTGCGTCCCACCATTTACCAAGCCATGTACAACGCCATCACGCGCAGCATCGAAGCCGAACTGATCCCTGCTTGCCGCCGGTATGGACTGGATATCGTGGTGTATAACCCCCTCGCGGGGGGCCTGTTTTCGGGGAAGATTAAGTCGAGGGAGATGGTGCCGGCCGAGGGGAGGTATAGTGATACGGCGGGGGTCACGGGGAGGTTGTATAGGGGGAGGTATTTTAGGGAGAGTACGTTTAAGGCGTTGGAGATTGTGGAGAGGGCGGTGGAGGAGGTGGGTGGGGGGTTGACGATGATTGAGACGGCTTTGAGGTGGGCGGTGCATCATTCGGCGTTGAGGGTGGGGGGTGTTTCTAGTACTGGGGTGGAGGAGAAAGGGAATGATGGGGTGATCGTGGGTGTGTCGAGCGTGGAACAGCTGGATGCAAACTTGACGGCGTTGGAGAAGGGTCCCCTTCCCGAAGCTGTGGTGAAGGCGCTGGATGAGGCGTGGGCGGTTAGTAAGGCGGATACGGCGCCGTATTGGCATTTGGATGTCAAGTATGGGTATGACACGCAAAAGGTGTTGTTTGGGGAGAAGGCGAAGGCGAATGTGTAGTACTGTATTTAGTAAACAGGAAGTGGAAATGGATTGCTCTGTCTGTGTAGTGTATCTATATCTATCCGTCGTCTATCGGTTGACCCGTCTATCCGTCTATGCCATGTTTAATTGTCGTTACCCATCCAAGCGTGAGTTCAAAGATCGCTGTGCCGTCCCAGATATCCACCACCATTAATTAGGTATTAATTGCCCATCAAAATGCCAGCCCAAATTCAGTGTTCTGTGTTCCGGTATCCAAACTCCAAGCATTCGTACATCTCGTTTTGTTGTCGACTGCCATTGCCTGATCGTACACTAGGCCAAGTCTACACGGTGTTAGTGAAAATGTTTAAACTAGGGAGGATCAGGGAGAGTCTTGGCTGCATACATCTAGTTCGCGCCAGGCCCTGGAGACGGACTGGTGGGCGGCTTTGGCGCGTCGGGCTTCTCGTACGCCCCTCGCTTCTGGAGACGGGCCGCAGATGGGAGCGTGGAAGTGTGGAGTGCCATTGTCGCTTAGCAGTTGATGTCTCTCGGCAGGGCTGAGATGGTGGGTGGGTTCAGGTGGAACGTGGAAGCGAGAGACTGCAAATGTCCCGATATGGAAGGACAAGAGAGTGTATGTCTGAATCAAGGCTGGTTTGTTGAGTTTGGTTTGTTGGATGTCAAACTGGTTGGTCGTGTGAGTCGTGTGAGTCGTGGTGCCAGTGTGGGTTGTGGTGATAAAATTTCCGATGCGACGGCAGTTGTTGATGATGAAACCCAAAAGTAAACACACCTCAAAGCTCGAAGGGGCATGGCCATTTATGTACACAGCGCAGCATCTTGCATTTCCGGATCCCAACCTTAAATCGGACGACCCATGTCCCCGGTTCCATCTCCCGAAAAGAAAAAAGACAACAGACCCAAAACTCCAATTGCTGAGCTGTTTTCTTCTTTCGGCCACGCCGATGAAACCATACCTGGGAAAAACTCTGAACGCCCTCACCGATTCACTGGTCCGGGCTTTTTTTTTCTCTTCCTTTGAGAGCCACAACCACTCATAAGCCCAGCCTTTCCACCGGAACACCGGGCTGCTTCACCGCCGGGGCTGCGTGGAGCATGGGGCCAGGTACCCGGCACCCCTGCACGCCATGTGGTGTCTGACCGTGTGTCGTTTGAGCCAGTTGTTTTCAGCTGGGTGGTGGGATTTCAGTTTTCCGGAGCTTGGGAAACTTTGGGGGCTTGTTGGGGGGTTGGGGTCTTTTTCTTTTCCAAAGAGGACAAGCGGGCGAGCATGGGGGCCAGGGGAAAACGTTCTTTGGGTCCGGGCGGGCTTCTTTGGGCTTCTGGAAATGAGAATGTCTCACATATCTGGGCCGTGGCTGATGGGGCTGGACAAAGAAAGTGAGACCGCTTCCAGAAGAGGGAAAAAATTGAAGCGCTGGCTGTCGTCACCTACCTGAGACAAAATGAACTCTGAGGCAGCAGTATTAACTTGGTGTGCTCTATGAGGGAGAAATTGACTTACAGGGAATTTGGAATTGCCTGCCAAGAGTGAATCGAGCCAACATCTTTCAGCCCAAGCATCCGAATTTTAATTCACCGAGAGAGAGCCTTTTGAAAACCAAGACAAAGCCTCTCTCATCGCCCATATTCGGTAACTGCGGTTTACATGTCTGATGACGCATGCTGCTTCCCGTCGACAACACCCAACACCCGAGACAAATCCAAGAAACCCCCAGAAAATCAAAATGAACATCCAAAGAAAATCAAAATTAAAAGAAAAAAAAAAACCACAGCTCACATCTCACATCCCACCGGCAGGCAACCCCTCCCTCCAGCCCTCCACCACCTTCCACACCCCTTGCGTGATCTCTTCCCTGCTCCATCCTTGACCACCTCTCTCCTCCTCGTCTTTCTCCCAAGTCTCAGCCTCCTCCATCAGCTCGACCAGGCCCAGCCCAATCTTTTCCCAGCAGACCAAGCTCTGTCCCAGGCTTTGCAGCGTTCTCAGGCGGCGGAGATGAGTCTCGTACTTCTCTCGTTCCTCCTTTCTTTCACTCTTCCGTTGCTTGCTCCCTGCGGTATTGTCTTGGATGGGGTTAGCATCCCCCCAAACCCAACCCAGAAACACAGCCTCTGCTCTGCGCCCGCCCACAGCACTGGCAAAGTCGTCCAGTTCGGCTGTGAGGTTGGTGTCGGTGAAGATGAGGTCTCCTCTGCGGTGGAGTGTTTGGACGAAGAGGGTGAGGGCGTCGTAGACCGTTTCGAGGCGGGTGCGGGTTATGTAGGTGAGGTGCTGGAGGATGGTAGTTAGGTCTGGGGGTGGGTAGAGGGGGAGTGTTGGGGGCATGTCAGTATGAGACTTTGGGGTTGGGTGTGAGTCTTTAAGGTGTGGGTGCTGATGCGAGTTGCAGGTAGGTAGGTAGATGTTGAGGAGGGGGATATCATAGGGAACTTGAGGTTATGTAAATAGATCACGCTAGTATCAAAGAGGAATTATTAGACAATGGTCAAAGTTATGCCTGGAATGAACGTCGGTGTTGTTAGACAAAGGTTGTAAACTCACTGGACATAACTAACCCTAAACTAATTAAACATCTAGTATATTCTCCTCTACTCAAAAAGCCAAAACCATCACCTCCCGCCCACCTGCCCCTTGGGAATAGGCGGCACCCAGCAAACCGCCAAGTTCAGCGCAATATGAATAACCCCCACGACCCAAAACCCCTTCGCATAATTCACCCCCCCATCCATAAACCGAAATATTATAGCAAACACCACGCCCCCCAAATTCCCCCCAGCCCCCGTCATCCCCGACAAAATCCCATTCGACTGCGGATACACATGCGGCACCAACGCAAAGTTCGCTCCATTCCCAGCCTCCAAGAAAAACGCCATCACCGTCACCAACCCAACCATCTCCCCCAGCTCTTTCGGATTCACCACCCCGATAACCACAAGCAACACCCCCGTGACCAACCCACAGAGATGCACCCACCCTTTTTTCCACCACAGATTTCCCCCTGACACGCGGTACAACACATCAGCCACGACCCCACCCAGCGGGCGCGCGATGAAGTTGAGAAACCCAAAGATAGCGGCGTAGTTGGCTGCTGCGGTCTGGCCGAGAGAAGGGAAATTGGCCAGGTAGTAGGCGGCCAGGACGGAGTTGATGGCGAGTTCGCCGCCGAAACTGCAGGAGTAGGTGGCGATGTGGAAGAGGGCGTGCGGGGTGAAGAGGAGGGCGAGGGTGCCCTTGAGAGAGGGAGCTTGGACGATTTCGGTGGTGATTTCGGGAGTAGTAGTAACATCGATGATGGTGGCTGGGGGGGAGGGTTTGCTGGAGGGGGTGTCGAGGGCGGCTTTCTCGGGGTCGGTGGGTTTCTTGGTGTCGCTCGGGGTGCTGGTGCCGGAGGTGGATGGGTTGCGGTCGGTGAGGGTGCCGGGGATGCCGACGATGATGTCGGTGTTGTCGGTGTTGGTGGCGTGGTTGAAGCGGTCGTTCCTGGGGGTGTTAGTGAAAAGAAAAGAAAAAGAAAAAAGAAAAGAAAGAGAAAAAAAAAACATACCACGACCCCGTCGGCGTATCCTCACACAACACCAACAATCCCAGCCCACAAGCCAACAAACAAATCAACGGCACCACAAACGTCACCCGCCACGCCTTATCATGCGACAACCCCTGCTTCGACACCAGCGAGTCAAACACAGCGGGCATAATAAAATACGTGATCCCCCCTCCCGCATTCCCCCAGCCCCCGGACAACGCATTCGCCGTGCCGACCACATTCCGGTCAAACCAACCCGTGCACCACACCTGGCACGGCACGAACGAACCGCCCAAAATACCGATGAACAGCCGGCTGATGTACAGGCCCGTGGCGTCCTTGACTAGCGGTGCGAGGCCGATGGGCAGGCTGCCGACCAGCAAAATCATGCCGAAGACGCGGCGGGGGCCGAATTGGTCGCAGAGGGGGCCGGCGAGAAACCGGACGGCTAGGGTGGCTACGAGGGAGACGATGTTGGAGTTGGCTACTTGGGCGGGGGTCAGGTGTAGGTCTTCTTTGATTGTGACCGAGAGCTGTTTATGTTAGACCATGATTTATCCAGACCATAATTGTCCCGAGAAACAAAGGGAGACGCACCAGCGGCGGAAAGGCATACCACGCCCAAAAGGCGAGCATGAAGCCGAGCCACGAAAAGAAAAACACCCGGCCATGTCGGTCGATGGGGTTGAGAATCGGCACGCTGCGGGCCTTGAGGTTGACCGGGTTGAGCGTTGGCGACCGCCAGAGGGTCGATACCTGATGAAACAGCATTTTGATTTCTCTCTTGGTCACAGAGAACACAAAGATGAGAAAAACAAACTCGACAAAAGGGTAATTGCCCTGGTCCAGATGTGCCGACCGGAAGCAATGTTGCAACCGACCGGGGAACTAGGGGAGATATATGTCCATGCTCAACCCATCATCATCCCGTTGCCCATTTCCCTTCCTCTTCACCCCCCCTTCTCCCGATTCCACGCTACACTTGATCGGGTGCTGGGCAAGGGGGGAACTGAGTCCCAGATCCTCGGGGCCGGCTGTCGATTGTCAAGGGACTAAGGTAACAGGTACAATTCCTCTTTGGGGACAGTCCGACAGATTCCGTGTGCGGGAGAGTGTATCTGTGAGTGTAGTGTAGTGAAGAATGCAAGATCTCCGTGGAAGCATAGACTTGGTTGTGGATCTACAATTTGGGGTGTGATGGTGTTAGAGTCAGTGGGACTGTGGGACAGAAAGAGTGTGAGAAAATCAGACCAGCAGCAGGAACTGAGCAAACAACCCATCCCGCGCAGGGGGGTAACCCAGCTAGTCTAGACCCCCCCACGGTCGGCCCGCTCAGCCCTGTCCAGCTATCTATCTCCCCTTATCTCCAGCAAGGCTGGACCCAAATGGGGACTAGAAAACATGGCTGCGGAAAAGTCTTGGCAAGATAAGTGAAAGTCAGACTCTACCAAACAAAACCGAGAGACCAACTATCTCGATCGCCCCGTTGGGTCCTGCGTCTATCGTCGCATCGATAAGGTCCCGTCGTATCAAAATCGTGAGAAACATCACCATTTCCGCGGAGAGAAGCATTAAAACGGGGTCTCTCCCGTCCAACAACTTCGATTGTCTGCAGACTCTGCACTCCCGAGGAGACTTGTTTTTCCTGGATTTTGTGCTTTGCCTTCCGGGTGCCGCACTCGGAGACGATTAATAGAAATTGGGGCCCGCGATATTCCCGTTAGTTTTCCGCCACTTGACGGGAGGCGCTGGGAGCTTGTTTGTGGCCTTGGTGTCGTTATCGTCCCTGGTGTCGATCCCATTGAGACAGCTTGTGACCAGATTTGGGGGCCAGATAGGGCACTGTGGAAGGTTTTACGGTGTGCGCCGGATGGAAGCTGATCCGACCAGGACAGGTGAGATCCTCCCAAGGGTTGGTCAGCTCCGGAAAGGGAGGAGGAGCGGGAACAGTCCCCAGCTATCCGGTTGTTGAACCACACCTCCCCGGACCAATACGCATTCGGGCCGGAGAAACCGACGACCGGCAGTTGCCGTACTACACTCTGTGAATTTCGAGTTGATTTGCGATCGCGTTATCAGATGTGGTGACAGAGAAAACGATTGATGCTCACCAAATCTCGATATTGGGCGACGCCGGGAATAACGTCACGGGCGCTCGGCTGGGGCAATCGATCCTCCGACAACGCTCCCGTTGTGATTCATCCCGCGGAACAACTTGCGATGCGAATTTGGTCCTCTAAATCCCCCAAACTTCATCCCGCTTCGAATTGAGAGCTGTGGTGTCGTCTCTGAATCGGTCCGTTGATTCTATCCACCAAATTGGGTAACGCTCGCATCCTGCGACCGGTAAGTTACCTCGAGCTCCAGTCCACAAGTTCAACATCGCAGCAACCGCCAGCACATAGATACCTAAGAAACACAAACACACAAGATCTCATGCGGTTCATTGCCCATCTAGCATGCCCAGAGCACCTCGACGCCTCATCCCTCCATTCCCATGGGATATGTACAGTCCTCGTTGATGCTGCTGCCCCCGTCTTCCACCAACCCCCACCAGAAACCATTTATTTTCTTTCCTTTTGCTGTCCCTAGTTGCTGCGCGCCCCGCCCTTGGCCGCCCGCAACTCGTTCATCTTGGCCACACGCTTCTTGAACTCGTCGTATTGGCACTTTTCGTAGCCGTGTCGCAGGTCCTGTGAGAGAGGAGAGTAAAAGGTCAGCCGGGAATACCCTCAACCCTTTTTTCCCTTCCCTTTCTTCCGCCTCCCGTTTCCCTTCCCTCCCCCGCTCCGAGTTCCCCTCCTCTTGACAGCCCGGCTTCTTCATCCCGCGGGGAAATCGTACCGTGCATTTCCACGGCATGTAATACGTCTCGAACCGACACCGATTGAGCGGGATCAGCAAGTGGGCACAGCTGTCGCGGTATTGTAGCGGCACTCTCGCCTCGCGCATCTCCTCGCGGGTCGCCCCTACAGTGTCCAAGTTCACCCTGTTAGCATCACATTGTGGACTTCGGAAGCGAGGGAGAGAAGAAATGGGTGGATGGGGAGGGGGAAAACGTACGCCGTGGTGTCTCTTCGGATCCGGTCGTCATGGTGGGCTTGCAATTGGGCTGCTGCGAGCGACAGACAAGAAGCCGAAGTTGGTTTGAGTTTGAGTTCGAGGTCGGTGGTGAGGCAGTTCCACTGGGAGCTTGCATTCCCACGCACGGGTGCTTGGTGGTGCAGCGGAGCTCTTGGCTATATGCACGTGAATATGCACGTGATTGTGCGAAGGGCTTGGCGGGGTGTTTGGCATGGACTTGGATTCTTATCCGTACAATTCTCTGGTTTGTCTTTGATCTTGTCGTTTATCGTTACATCTTTTTTCAACAGGCACTGGGCGTTCCCCTGCGTAGTTTCTCATTCTTCAGGACGGTTTCCATTCGGTTCAATGTTAACAGTACTCGATTCTTTTGTACACTTTTCACATGCAGTCCCGGACGTTCCCCAGATGCTTCCCAACAACTAGTGTACGGATACTGGTCTCACGAGTTTATACTGTGCAAACCCCCGCAGGGCGGACCAAAGAGATGAAGATAACATCCCAAACATCCTTCCCTTCTCATTTCCCAAGTTTGGCTCCAGCATCGTTCAAAGAGTCGAGGTGTTTTCTTGGAATTTCGTTGAGATGTGGTCCAACGCACATTTCCATAAATATAAGGGCCAGTGTAATCTCAGAATGCTATCCAACTACCTAGTTATTGCATCTCCTCAAAACCTTTGCAGCGATTCTACCCCTAAAATGCCATGAGATCTCCTGCACTTCGGCGTGACCGTTAGTTAGGGGCTCTTGGGACCCCTTGGACCCCACAGCCCGGCACTGCTGAGCACCCCACAGGCGCTGATTGGCAGAACCCCCCAACTGGAAACGGCAGCTGATGGCAAATGTCGCGGATTCCCGGTTTGATCCACCACGTGTTCCATTTGGGTGTTCCTGTTCCTGTTCCTGTCCCTGTTTTGTTCCTCAGGGTTCTTGCCAGGGAAACACTTTCGCTCCCAGCGACACCGCATCGTTGCTTGTAGCTTCGAGTGGTTTTCTGCAGTCCTCTGCGGTATAACTATCTTGGTCAACCACGTTATCCTCTCCGGTTCGGTCGATTGGATCGGCTTCATGGCGCTTGACGTCCCATTGCATCGCGATACCGGCCCCGACGACGACGGCGACCTCAGACCGACCGCCGAAGTCCCTTGAGAATCTCCGACGTACACGATTCCGATAACTTGCATACACAACACCACTTTTGAGAGCGCTGCTCTTTCGGGTTTATCGTCCATTCGCTTTGCGTGCGCCGAGTCCCGCAATTGACACATCAGACGAGACGAGACGGGCGGTCAAGGTCTCCCACATACCACGACGTCGAGTAATCCCGCGATGGTTCTGCCAGCCGACGCCCACTCCGCCGACCCGCTCCTAACCACCACCCCCGCCGACGACGACGAAGACCACACCCGCCGCGGGCGTCTGTCCTATCACAGCTCCAGCCAGACCACAAGCGCTTCGAACTCGACAACCCCCAGCCCAGGCGCCCTCCGTCCACACCTCGGAGCATCCTCGTCCACATTCACCCCCTCAACCTCCAACCCCAAACCCCGACCATCCTCCCCTCTTTCCCCCGGTCCAGCTAGCGCTACTCACCGCCCGCACCTCTCCCGTCGCGGCACAGCCACCAGTACCACCACCATCATGATGCGCTCACGCAGCCCGGCGCTCGCAGCCGCCGCCGCAGCCCGCGCCGAAGCCAGCCGCAAATACACCTACGCTGCCATCTTCCTGGTGATTTCCCTCGTCTCATTCACCGTGCAAACAATGCTGGCCTCGCAGATCCAGCACGATCTCGGCTGGGACAAGGCATACTGCATGATGTACTTGACACACGGGTCGTGGGTGTGCCTGTGGCCGTTGCAGTTGGCTGTGTTGCGGTATCAGCAGCGGTCGAGGGGTGGAAGTGGGAATGGGAGTGGGAATAGAAGCGGGGAGGCTGGGGGTAGTGGGAGTGATGGTGGGGGGAGTTGGAAGCGGTTTATGGATAATCATGTGCGGGTGTTGAGGGGGATTGCGTTGGTGGTGGAGACGAGGGATGTGCGCGCTGCGGCGAGGATGGGGGGGTATCAGCGGCATGGTCATGGGCATCATCATGGTTCGGCCGGGTTGTTGGAGTATGGTCACTCACCGTGGCCGTATCTGGCTAAGGCGACGGCGGTGATTACCAGTGCGTTGACGGTCGCTGGGTTGAGCTGGTACCTGGCTGTTAGCATGACTACGCCGAGTGACTTGACGGCTATTTACAACTGCAGCGCGTTCTTTGCGTATGCCTTCTCGGTGCCGCTGCTCAAGGAGCGCGTGCGGGCGGATAAGATGCTGGCTGTGGCTGTTGCGATTGTCGGGGTGTTAATCGTGGCGTATGGGGACAGCGGGGACAGCGGATCGACGTCTGGATCGGAGTCGGAGGCACAATTACAGGCTCCGTCGGATTCCGACCCGGGCAACAACACCCCCGCCCTGGACGCCGGCACGCGGTTCGCAGGCAACCTGATCATCGGCGTCGGCTCGGTCTTGTACGGCCTCTACGAGGTGCTGTACAAACGCTACGCTTGCCCGCCCGACGGTATGGATGCCACCAAGGGTGTGATTTTCGCCAATACGTTCGGCAGCCTAATGGGCGCCTTCACGCTGCTAGTGCTCTGGATCCCGCTGCCGATTCTGCACGTCCTCGGATGGGAGACGTTTGAGATACCCACGGGGTACACCGCGTGGCTGCTGTTTGTCAGCGTGCTGATGAACATGTCGTTTTCGGGGTCGTTTCTCGTGTTGATCTCGCTGACGAGTCCCGTATTGAGCTCGGTGGCGTCGCTGTTGACAATTTTCATGGTTGCGCTGGTGGATTGGTTTTTGACGGGTACGCCGGTCAGTGGGGCCGCGTTGTTTGGGGGGTTGTTAATTGTGACGGCGTTCGTGATGTTGAGTTGGAGTACGTGGAGGGAGATGAATGAGGAGGAGAGACGGAAGCAGGTGGATTTGGATTCTAGTGGGGAGGAGGATTAGGTGTTGGTCTTTGGACATGGCTATTTGTCTAAGCATGGAGTGGAGCGTGATAGAGGTGGGATCAGCCCGATAGAGTCCTAGGGATACAACCCTTGGGATAGAGCTTCAGGGGATGAGACGCTAGAGATGTAAGGCAGTTGTTATATTGTTTATATTGGGCTAAACTCGGCTAGTTGTGGCATTTTTGGTGTTTGTTACAGCATTCTTGGTAATATTGGTAATTATCTGTTGTGTCTTATGTTCTCACTAACGTACCTATCCTAGATTTGTTTACAGGCTCTCTCCATTATGTCTAGACATACCCTATGTCCTCGTGTACTCGCCCACCCCCGAGGGCGTCCACCCCTGCAGCGGCGGTCTCTGCCCAAACCCCATCGCATTAGCCGGCACACCGTCGTACCCCCACAACCTCGTCATCCCCTCCAACCGCACCCTTCTCACGTCCCACTGCACCGGCGTCACCGGCACACCACCAAACCCAAGAACAGGCGGAGCCCCCGCAGCAGCAGCAGCCGCCGCATCCCCCTCCTGCGCCACCCGCACCATAAACTCCTCAATATGCCTCATAAACCACCCATCATACCACCCATGCCACCGCGGCACATTCACGTGCTCCGTCGGCGCCATCCGCAACACCAAATTCCGGAACGGCCTCGCCGGGAACCGCGCCAACATCCCCTGGAACACGGCCAGCAGCGGGTACAGCACCGTGTAATGCAGCGTGTCCAGCGTCGCGGGCCATGTCCCCGGGCCCAGGGTCGGCCCCCCGGGGATGAGAGTTTGCGGTTCCGGGGGTGGGGCCGGGCAGAGGCCGAGGATGAGGGCGGGCATGATGGAGGGGTAGAGGTAGCGGCCTTGGCGATGGGCGACGCCGGCGGCGAGGGGCCGGTTTTCGTTGAGGAGGAGGGTGGTCCAGGGTTGGATGTGCAGGAGGGTTGTGTGGGCGTGCGTGGCTTGGTGGCCGCATTGGTCGCATTGGTAGTTGATTGTTGCTGGGACTATGGCGTTGTTGTTAGCGTTGTCAGCGTTTTCATCGTCAGCGTCAGCATCAACATCCATATCAGCGTCACCATCAACATCAGTAGGAGCCTTCTGCAGCGGTTTCGGCCGCGACAACGAAAAAACATGCAAAGCCTCCCCAGGCGCAACCAAATACGCGTCCTTGACATACACGCTCACCCCCAACAACAACCCCAGCGTCTGCGCCGACGCCACAAACGTCAACCGCGTCAAATTCATCCCCATCCTGCGGAACATGAAATCCCACAGCCAGTTATGGTCAATGTCATGGGCACGCGAGCGTTCCGGCCACCGGATCTTGCGGCCGTCCGCATGGCGCCTGCACCGGTGCACGCGGATGACATTGTTCGGTTTGCGGCATTGCGGTCTGCCGGGGGCTGGTTCGGGCGGGAAAATGACGGTTAAGGTCTGGACGTAGCGGGATAGGCGGTTGGTGTGGAGGAAGTTTAGGAGGGGGAGCACGAGGAAGGGGTTGTTGGGGGGCTGGCTGTAGGGGGCGATGGTCAGTTCGAGGAAGGAGTTGGCGGTCCAGAGGATGTGGCGGAATAGGGAGGGGGTGATGGCTTCGCGCCAGTGCCGGCAGACGAGGGAGATTTGCTTGAGGGGGTAGTCGCGGTAGATCTCTCGGTTCTTGAACATGGTTCGGCTGGGTTGGTTGTTGAGTCGGGTGGAGGAGGGTGGGGGTTTGTCGAGGAAGCTGAAGATGTGCAGGAGGAGCTCGGGCGGGAGGTTTTGGATGGGGGTGAACCCGCTGGAACCCATGTTAGTCTGTGAGTCTGGATGTTGCTCAGTTTTCTTGGAAAGTATTGGTACTTGGACTGCGATGCATCCAACAGTTGGGGCTGCAATGATGGGAAAAGAGTGAGGGAGGCATATATATAGTACTGGAAGAAGCGAAGACAAGGTGTTTTGAGATGAGCTGTTCATTATTCGGGAACTCGACAACAACTATGTTGTGTACAGACCTTGGTGAGGCTTTGTTCTGAGAATCGAGGACCTTATTTATGGATCCTCTCACAATGGCCTTGTCGAGATCAGAAATGCTTTTCTTAAAGGAATTTACAAAGTTACGGGGTGAGCTCTGAGCTGAACAACACTTGTAGTATGGCTCTCAAAAATTCTGCTCCGATTGCGTTACAACAGTTGCTAGATCCGCGGCTTGTATTAGTAGAACTAAACGTGGAAGTTTGTGTCTCTGCTTGCCGCTGTTAAGGCCCATCCCTGGACTCATCAATGGCTGGACTTAGGACCTAGATGCCATGTTTGTCATGTTACGAGTCCTACATCTCAGACTCTGGAAAACGCGCCTCGAAGTGTTTCCAAAACGGACCGTCAGTAACTTTTACTAACTGTTCGTCAATCAAACTTTGCTCGGCTGGGAAATAATTGAACAGCGTTCAAGTTGTTGAAAGGCTTTCTACCACTTTATTCCACGAAAAGCAAGCCCATGTGACCTCGAGCGGTGCTATCATTCACAAACAAAGGACAAATAATAGATCCCTCTTCACCTCGACACAAAGACAAGACAAGACGCTCAAGCAGCATTGTGTACCATCCATTACTAGGCACTACTCAATAAAGAAGCCAGGAACACAATACCACTCAACAAACCGAAAGACATACACATCCGTACCATACCACACGCATCAAGTCATGACATGTGCCTTACGCACCATCCAGGAACAAAGCACCTCAATGTCTTTCGAGCATGTTTTGTTTTCCCCACAGGTGTCCTGTCCAACCCCCGAACCATACCCACTGCCCTTACACGCGGTCGTGGGTCTCGACAATGTGGCCGGACTTTTCGTCGTGGTCCTCGAGCTGCAGCGCCTTGTTGTTGACACGCTCCTGGAGCTTGGCGAGTTCGTCGGCCTCGAAGACTGTTGGGTTTTCGGGTTAGTTTCATGAGTTGGCAAAGACACAGACTGGGAATTAAAGGAGGGAGGCGAAAGAACGTACGGAAAGTGAGCTCCTCGAGCGAGCGCCCCGAGGTCTCGGGCCAGAGGAAGTAGATGAGGATGGCCTCGACACAGATCCAGCAGCAGTAGACGAGCAGGAACTTCCAGCCAATGGTGCCCGTGCCGATGGGGTTGACGTTGGTGCCGAAGAACTGGGCAGCCTTGCCCCAGAATTGGAAGATGGAGATACCGCGGGCACGCTGGGCGTACGGGAAAATTTCGATGAGGTAGGCTGTTTTTCTTCTGTTAGCATTTTTCCAAAAGTCAAGGGAAAAAAAGGAGAGAAAAAAAGGGAGGCTCACTGTAAGTCAGGGCGTTGAAGCACAGGTTGTAAGTCGGGCTGTAAGCGTAGATCCAGAACAGCGACAGCTTCGCAGCCACATCCGACTGGTAGACAATAAACACAGCCGTGCAGGTGGTCCAGCCGACGTAGACAGCCAGAATCGACAGAATACCAGTCAGATACATAGTCCGGCGACGGAAGCGCATGACGACCAAGGCAGCCGACACACCGCACACCAACGACCAGCACTGGTTACCCAGGTTGTACTGGGCCTGGAAGGTCGGGTCGGTGTAGCCGATGAGCTTGAGGACATCACCAAGGAAGTACGAAATCACCACGTTGCCGGACAACTGCGTGAACAGACCGAGCAGCGAACCGATCAACAACCGACGACGGGCACCAGCGGTGCGGATCAGGTCCAACCACGACCGCTTCGAGTTCTCCAACTCCATCTCCAGCGTGGTCTTGATCTCGACAATCTCGGCCTTGACAAACTCCGAGTTGGCATCGCCTTCGGCGTGGTACTGGATCAGCACCTGCTCGGCCTCCTCGATCTTGTCCTTGCTGATCAGGAAACGGGGGGACTCCGGCAGGAAAAAGACGAAGGTGACCTGCAGCAGCGAAGGGGCCATCTGCAGGAAACTGGGGATACGCCACGACCAGTCATTGCTGATGCGCTGCGTGCCGAAGGTGGTACCCGCGGCCACGATGGCGCCGATGAAGTAGCAGGCGTTGAAGAGCGAGGTCAGAATGGGACGTTCCTTGGGGTAGCCCAGTTCACCGATCAGGCAGGAACCCGCGACGATGGCGTAGGGGAGACCGAAACCGATGATACCACGGGCCATGATGTACATGGGACCGTTGATGGCGAGACCTTGGATGATGGTGCCGATGATCATGACCCAGGAACCGAACATGATGCACCACCGGCGACCGAAGTTGTCGTTGACGAGCGGGATGAAGGGGAGACCGATGACAGAGCCGAGAGAGAGAGCCGAAGCGAGGATACCATTGTACCCGCCGGTGGGATGACCGAAGTCTAGTTTTGTCAGTCTCGTCAGTCATTGTTTTTGGTGTTTTTTTTTTCCAAGTGGAAAAAAAGGAAAAAAAGAAAAAGAAAAGCCTACAGTCCTTCCACGCGGGGAGCAGCTGAGCCGAGTTGATAATCTGCGAGTCGAACCCGGAGGTCATCTCAATACCGATGACACACGGGAACAGTAGGAGATACATGCGCCGCAGATTCGGCTTCTTGTACCACGGAACCGGGTCCTCCATCGCCAAGCGATGGATGTGGTTCAGGTCATCACCGCCGCCGCCACCCATGATGCCGGTGTTTTGCGGGTGTTTGTGAGGGTGTTGGTGTTGGTGTCGGCGTTGATGCCGAGGTCGACGTCGATGGCGATGTCGATGGCGATGTCGAGGTTGAGGTCAAGTAGACCCACAACAACGGTCGGTGGGAACGGTGGGCTGAAGGGACTCGGACGAAGGACCCTCAAACCTTAAACCTTCGAACGCAAGAAAGTGGGCGCGATTCTGGGGAAGGGAAGGGAAGGGGGGAAGACATATAAAGATGTCCCACTACCATCTCACACCCCTCTTCCCTCGCTTCCAGCCCGCACCCACACACACACACACCCTGAAGCAGCAAGCAGGCATGCATAGTACAAACTCACTCGCTCCCACCACCACCCATCGCCCATCGACGCATCAAAACAGTAACACGGAGGACAGACGGACAAACAGGGCCCCCCATCCGTTGGCTCGTTGGTCACCCCCCGGTCTCTTGGCACTGGACACGCCGAGCCGAAGGAAGGAATCGAAGAACGAGCGAACCCCCGAATAAACACCCATGCCGTGCCATGACCCATAAGAACCACGCATGGATGATGGAGTGGGCAAGTGGGCAAGTTCAAAAATAAAATAAAATAATCGACAAATGATAAAACAACGAAAAAAGAACAGGCGAGATGAGCAAAACGCTGAGGAGAGATCCCAAGCGGAGCCTCACCCCATTGGGGATCTTCTCCAGTATCTCCTTCGATCCCATCCAGTTAGATCGATACTCTGGAGCTCACTGCCCAGTGCTCACATCACTCACCCTTTCCCCGTCCGTCCGTCTCCATCTCCCCCACCTTCGCCTCCCCATATTATCGCCCCCCCAATGCCAATCATCCTTCCGCGTTCCCCATGGGCAGGCGAGCTGAGATTCCGCGTGGTCCATCCGGGGAGTCGGGGGCGAGACAGGGGCGTGGACAAACAGAACGACAGGAAACATGCAAGGCATGCAAAGCAACAAAATGTCCACGCCACCGGGTCGAGAGGGGATCGGACCGAGACTGACCTGACATGGCTGTTGGAAGAGATGCGGGAGACGGATAGATGGGAAGAATGGACTTGTGATTCGGTCAAGTCCGGCGGAACAAGGTCCGTACAGATTCCTCTTGTGGTTTTCTCTCTCTTTGCTTTGAACACCCATTCTCTCGGTGATTCCCTCTCGTGAAGCTTCATCGGTCTCCTTTGGCACTGCAAGATGTCTCACTCAGTGTGCGTTATCCGTAGTGGTGCGAGCTTCTGGCGGACGATGGGAGCCATCCAATTTTCCCGAGCGCTGCTGCCGTCCAGAATGCATGGCCGGGCTCAGGTTGGAAGGAACATCCCAAATGCGCGTGTTCTGCATGGGGGAACGGATGGACGGGAGTTTTAGCCGGGATCGGCATAGCATGGGCACCGTTGGGGATGTTGCACCACCAAGGCCGAGGCCAGGGGTGAGGGGGGGTTGCTCTTTCCCTCTCTTCCCCATTGGGGTTGGATTGCTGGTTGATGGGCGGGTTGTTGGGTGAACTTAGATGGGTGAGATCTCTTGGACGCGCTGGGCGGACGACAAGAGATCGGGTAGTGTGTCTTGGTTTTTTTTTCTGGTTTGTTCACGTTCGTGAGGTGGTTGCGGCTTGCAGTTCCAAGACTGCCGAGGCTTTGCCTAGCCGGGCACTGCCGCTGCTGGGCTTCGGGGATTTACGTTTCGATCTTATCAGGTCCTTCAGAACGCCTCTTGACCCGAACATTCGGAAGCGTGATGAAAAGACAAAACAGCAATCTCTTCCCCAGACTTCCCCCCATTCCTTCGCAACGGAAACGAATCCGTCCTCCACACTCCTCCGCAACTCCGCACTCCAGTCCATCCGCCCCTCCCCAGAAAAAAAACTCGTCAAAAAAACACCGCGTGTCAAAAAGCTCCCGAGGCTCCCCCCAGAGTGGTCAGCCCGATGTTGCATGGATCCGCCTGCCGTGTTGTGGAACCCCACTCTTGTCCCGTGTGCCGGCAAGAATTAACCGCCCAGCCCAGATTGAGGTTAGCCTGGCACCTGTCATTTGCATGGCTTGGCATGTTCACAAACTCGCACTTGCCGCTGCGTTGATGCGGGATGCGGGCTCGACTTTTCCCGGTCGTTCCTGACTTCTATGTTCCTCTTGTCCACCACTTTTTTTGTTGGTTGTTGGTGTGGTGGTCCGTCCGTCCTCCCCCTCTCCTCCTTGGCAAACACAGGTTGGCGCTGTTGGCCGCCACTCCCGACGGGAGAAGGTTCGTTGGTGGCTTGGGGCGATCGGGAGCTGCGCCTGGAGGTGGCTGCTAAGCTTTGCCGAGAAGACGCCCCGAGCAGTGCCAAGGGCTTGGTTTGTTCTTTGTCTTCTTTTCTGTCTTGGTTTGCTTTCAAATGCCGAGAACAGTGTGAATGATATAAAAATGCCGGACGACGACAATCTCAAAAAAATGGTGGACTTCAACAGCCACAAAACTCCAAACTTGCCTGCAGCGGGATGAGGTGTCTGCCCCACGAACTCAACCAGACAAGCCACAACCCACCCTCCCAAAACGGAAATCCAATCCTTTGGAAAATAAACGCAAAGCCATGCGGGCGCGCGAGAAAAATAACGCCGGAGACGGACCGGCCATCGCGGGTTCGCGGCATCCACGGCATCCACGGCATCGCGGCACTGCGGCAAAGTGCCCTCTCCAGGCCCCACCTACCGTCGCTCTCCTCTGCCTCGCTTTGCGCCTTTGCGCCCCTCGTTTTGGTCTGCCGTGAGCTTTTCCCGCTCGGGGTCTGGTCCAGTGGGCCTGCGTATCGCACTCTGCTGACGAATCCCTGCCCCCCTTTCCGAATCCCACTGCACCCTTTCGACCGAAAAGAGACACGAAATCGTCCAAAATGCTGCTTGTTGGTGTTGTTCGCTTCGCATTTGCTTGGTCTTCTCAAAAGCGGAGGAAGCGCAATATTGGTTCTTCGCTTGGCGGATTCCATCATCTCTCCGGCAAGCAGTGAGGTCTGACCCTTTCGCGTCTCTATTTTTTGTTTTCACTTTCGGTCTCTTCGCCCAAAGGAAACGAGGTGGGTTTGCCCCCTGTGAATCCGGCTAATCTTGGTTGGACGGGTAATTGTCGCGATGGAGTTGCAGTGTGGGTTTCTCAGCACCGGCAGGGGACAAAGTTCCTCGGATTGGGAACACTTCCTTGGCAATGGGATAAGTGCGCGCAAGCAAACCGAAAATATCGTGGGGAGCCACGATGAAAATTTGGTGTTGACTGGTGGCGTTATTTGAGAGCTGTTGCCGGCCGGGTGCCAACTGCCAGGGGCATCGTTGCGGCTTGTAACTTGACCCCCACGCCTCAACGACCCCAACATCCCAACTCCAAAACTCCGCCCAGAACCCCACCACGATCTGACGATTTCCCCAACTCCTCTAGGTCTAGCCAGGCGGACTCTAGATTATGTCTTCTGCCGTCAGCAACGGTTAGCAACCCTCGATAGACAATGTTTCCTGAAACGGAAATACGAATTCCCAAGTTTAGCTGGCACTACGAACACAATCACTTGACACGAGACCACGTAATTTTTATCAATTACATACCATGACTAAGGCCCTGATTGGTCATGGTTATCTAGGTCCGATCGACATGTTTTTCAGTGCAAAAAAATAGGCAAGTTGGGGTAGAGCCGGGGGGCGAAGAGCTAGTTAGTTCTTAGGCCCTGTCTGTGAGGAACTGGCCCTAACTATGGCGGGGGTGCAAATAGGCGTTCTATTGTGTTATCGAGAAAGCTTGTAGAAAGAGAACTACACAAGGGCAGACCTCGGCTAGGCCTCCTTATATCCTGATGTCCCCTCCCTCTTGATGTGCGCCTTTAGGTGCGTGCACGTCGAGCTCTACACTACACTACAGTCTACTCCCGGATCGGCCCTGGAGCGGAACCGGATCGCAAGCGCCCCCCGGCCACCGAGGCGGGCGAAGATCCCTCCCGCGGGGCCTGTCTCAGAAGAGGGCCAACTCGGTCACGCTCCCTCGAGGCCATCGGGCATGATCCATTCCCAATACTCATGGCTAGAGCGTTGGAGCACACTAAGTACGGCCCTAGGCCTGGGCCCTTGACACTGTCTGCTCCGTGGAAGTACCAACAATGGAGGGCATCAGCCTTCACTAAGTAGCCGTACCTAGCTAAAAGTTTACCAGAGGTCAATTGAAGAGAGCGAGTTGTGAGATTAAAGATCGGCAGAGAAGTTGGGCTTGGATAACGGCCACACTGCGTTCAGTTTCTAGGCCAAGGCCATCATCGACCCTGAACCGCTATCTTCAGTATCCTGTAGATTCAGGAGCTACCTACCTTCGTTACTCGGAGCGTTCCAGGCTCACGAATGTGACTCAGGTTCTGTTTCTGCCTCTCAGTCCTTCCACAGAAGGGGTTCTGGTTAGCCCCGAGCGCAGTGTCTCAGTTTTAGGTTGTTGTCTTATCGCCCGGAGAATTACCACTGGAACTCCAGACAACGAACGAACAGCGTACAGGCGATGGGCCGTTGCTGATGTGCCGACTTAAACTTCCCCGATCCGGGGGTGACTCTGGTCCTGGGGAGCGGGCGCTGCCTGGGCAGGAATGTTTATATAAAAGTGTAACAACACTCGACGCCGCGAGACATGCCCATCGACCTTGGGATCCACGACATCAACAACAACATCATCAACGATCTCAACACGCACCTTCAACCAAATCTCAAACATCTATACAGCTTCCGAGCTTCCCAACCTACAACCCTCCCGCTCTTCCTCTGCAAACCCCGAAGAAAAAAAATGTAGCCATGCAGCTCACCGCCTTAGTCCTCCTTGTGGGCGCGGTTGCTTCCATGCCCGTCGAGGGTCCGGCTCCCACGGGTACCCCCGAGAGATTCACCTCACGGCACTACAACCGAACACACCAATTCACGAGAAGCTCGTCTTTGCAAGCGATTGCAAGCTATGGATATCGCCGCCTAGTGACGAGTACGACGCGCAGTGCGACGGGCCTAAGGTGGATCGCCAGCCGGCTACAATGTTTATCGAGAAGGGGAAGATGTACTTGTATGGTGGCGAGGAAGAGATTGACAATGTCTGGCAGGTTGTGGCTAGACTCGGGTTACAATGTTCTACCCCCCCTCTTTTTCTCCGCTCTCTTCCTCCCCCCTGCCCTTGTTTATAATAAAAAGGAGGATATACTAGTACAAAAAATAAGCCCTATATTATCGGGAGAAGTTTAACTCTAGAGGTACCTATGATCCCGAAGAGACCGATCGCTGGAGTATTAACTCCAGCCGGTTCCTATCCTTCAGAGGCTTCCCCAACTTCGTGGCCTGTCCTCGGGGCGATGGGTTGTACTATATACGTCCGTACACTGTCGGGTTTGAGAGAGCTTTGAAGTGTATCCGGTGCCGTCTCGAGGCCAACCCCCAGCTGGAGCCGGTACCTTGCAGGTACACCTAGAAATAGGTTGAGGAAGATGGCCTGTTGAGTGTTGACCGAGCCGGAGAGGTGTGGTTGACGTGGTTGAGACAACGGCTTGAGGGGGGGTCAGTTGAGTTGGTGGAGGGTTAGGGTTGGTTAAGTGGCTGGGAAAGAGCCAAGTTAAGTGCAATGCACGGTGACTCCGATAACAAACGGGCATCAAACAACGGGTGGTTGGTTCCCAGTTCATGACCGCAACCAGCAGGCCACCCGAGACACGGGACACCTTTTCCTACATAGTACCACCTTCGGCCCGTTCTCCAAAAGTGTACCACAGTACGTTGCGTTGCGTTGCGTTGCGTTGCGTGCTCGCTTCGAGGAAGCGTGTTCTAGCGGATGGGACGGTATCTTTGCAGGTGAGAAGCGAGTTCGCAATGATGGGGCAAACGGGAGAAAGGGGGATGGGAGAGAGGGTTTGAAAGGATGTCGGTTAATTACGGGTTTGGGGGCTATTGGTGTGTTTAATTCCACTCTCAGGTATTGAAGGAAAGGCATGTCAAGCCGACTTCTGGGTCATGACCATACCGTGGCGTCCTGGCGCAATGATGGTGTATAATCTGTCTTTATGCAGTTGGTTCCAAGTGGGTGGTAGAGAGGTGCCCGTGCCCAGTGAAGATACGATCTGGCCTGCGGTTTGTCTCTCGCTAATGGTGACCGGCCTGGTCGGGCCACGTAATGTGGAATCGGGCCGTGGATGCTTAAGGTCCGCCGGTCGGGGCAAACAAGACAGCGTCCACTTGTCTGATACAATCCATCTCTGTTGACGGACTCGCTGCATACATGGATTTTCAAGTTGGGGCGTTTGGGAGTTTTGTGAGGTTGACTTATGAAGTCACGCAAGGCCATTAGAGTTTGGGATGTGAAACAGCTCACGGTGTTCTTATTTCTATGGGTTAATTACTCAATTTCGAGGCAAGTTTAACGTTTGTGCGTTAATAAAGTTAAGCTTCATAGATTCCAAGTTGACCTTGACGTTCGTCGCTCGGACTATTGAGCTGCACGTCATGGCGAGCCTCGCCATATTATTAATTGAACCAGCAAACGCATCATACTTTACCAGCAAGATAGAAGACATCAAAAAAGTGAACATCCGTCCGTTAAACTCACCACAATTAGACTCCCAAATCCACACATCTCAAACCTCGCCACCAAAACTTTATATCTTTTTCTAAAAAAACATTAATCAACCCTCAAAAACATCAAAAAGCTCACCCCCCGCTCGGCGGGGGACTACAAAAATCCACGGGAGGATTTTGCTCGGTGGTGTTCACGGGGTTCGAACCCCGGAGGTCGGCATTCGTGGTGTACCAGATGGACGCCCACGGCACCCCCACTGCGCCATTCGGTCGGTGTCGGTTATGGGGAGGCGGTTGGAATGTGTTGCGCGGGCACTGGTTTATAAGGGGTGGGTGGTGGTGTGGTCTGAGGTTGGGAGGGAAGGAAGGTCGTGGTGATGGCTGGTCTGGGCGTTTGTAGAGACAAAGTCGAGGAGAAACACTTTTAGGCAAGAGAAGAACGCCGACATCTTGAAATTCGGCGATTCCATAACAGAACTAGTCATGAGAGGAATAATTTATATTTAATTATTGCCAAAACAGACAAAAGCTAGAGCTGGGTAATTATTTCCGACAATATCCTACACTCAACACATACAGGTACAACTTCCCTTACTCTTTCTTCTCGCCATCCAACTCCAACCACCTCTTATCCACCTTCTTAAACAACGCCGGAAACAGCTCTGACCACGGCTGCTCATGCCCCTCAACCACCGCACCCCTCTTTGCCACAGCCACATCTAGCACCTTCTTGCACGCCGCGTGGGCCTCGGCCAGCTGTTCCGCAAATTGCTTCTCCTTCTCTTCTTCTCGTTTAAGCCTCTTCTCCTCTTCCTTTTTCTCATCTCTCTCCTCCGCCTCGTCTTTGGCACTGTTTTCCGCTTCGTCTTCTCCGTCATCATTCTCCAGGGGGTCTTTGCTCTCTGGCAAATCCAACACCAGACTGATGCTTTTCAGGTTGGGCAGAAACTCGGCCGACTCAAACGCATTGGCCAAGGCATTCAGCTGAGGAATCATGGACACGGGCCCCTGAATCGACAGTTTCTCCAGCCCGGGTGGGAGCATCCAGTGTAAATAGTTGCCGTTTCCTGGTACCTCTAGTTCTCCGTCTTCCCCTTCCCCTTCGTTTTCCTCTTCTTTTTCCTCTTCCGAGGCCTTCTTCTCTTCTCTTTTCTCTTCTGACTTCTCCTGTACTACTTCCTCCACCTCCACCTCCTTCTTCGCCTGTTCCTGTCCCTCCTCCTCTGACTCTACTTCCCCTTCACTGGCCCCCCCTCCCGTAATCCCAACCAACCTCGCATGCATCGCACTCCCCAAGGTCAACTTCAACTCCTTCAGCCCGTCCAAGCTCTGTAGCGCCGCTGGAAAAATCACCGTCGGCACATGCAGCAAATCCCACTGACTAGCCGCGTAGAGCGTGAGAGACTGCAACCCGTGCAGCAGGTGGGGATGGGCCATGGCCATCGCCGTAAAGGTTTCGAGGCAGTCGTTGCCGAGGACAGAGAGGGAGGTCATTTGCGATGGGGGCGCGCCGGGGGGTGGGTCGCGCGGGAAGCTGATGGATTTGCCTTCGTATTTGGTGTTGAGGTATTTCGACCATTCGTGGGGGACCGAAGTGATTTTGATACCGCCGTCTTGTTCTTCCTCTTCTGAGGAGGAGGGCGTCTCAGCAGCGGCGTCACCTTCTTTGGTCTCGCTGTTTTGCGAACCGTCGTCCTTGTCCACATCATTCTCGTTCCCAGCCTTTGACGCCGCAGATGCGTCCGACCTCCTCCTCGGAATCGTCCCAATATTCTCCGCATCCTTCATCAACTCCTTCGTACTCGGCCCCTCAAACCTCAACCCACACGTATAACACAACACCAAATTCCTCACCCTCCCCTCCAAAATCGCCGGCGTCGCCACCCTCTCCGCCCCCGCATCACTAACCACCAACAACTCTAACGGCCAATTCAGCGGGAACTTCCCATCCGTCCACCGCTCCTCAAACCCAGCCGCCACGGAAAGGTACCGCACTGCTGGGAAATGTTGGCTTAGGATTTCCCATTCCTCGTTGCAGGGCATGTCCCCGCGGATTTCGAGGATGGAGGTGGTTTCGGGAGGGACGGTGTCGTTTGCCGCGGCGGTTTGGAGGATGTCGCGGAGGGTGGGGCCTGATTCGCGCCGGTGACCTACGTCTGAGGTGGATGCTTCGACTCGTAGGGCGGTCATGTCGAGGACGGGGATGGTTTCGGGGAGTGCTGGTGCAGAGTTGGCGGGACCGAGGGAGGCTGTTATCCATTTTGGCGCTTTGAAGGTGAAGGGGGAATCCTGTTCGGGTTCGGAGTGGTCGCTCATGTTGTTGGTGTTGTTGATGTCGCTGTTATCGTTGCTGCTGTTGCTGTCTTGGGCTGGGGTTGGCTGCCGGAGGTTGTAACTGCTACGGTGGGAACCGTTGTTGATTTGCGCTGTTTTGATCTCGCCGGACAAACGTCGAGAGGAAGAAGAGGAGGAGAAGAGGGCGGCGTGTTGGAGTCTAACAGGGAAAGCAAGACGAGGACGGACGTTATACCGTCCTTTTGTAGTAATAGCAGCTGAGAAGGTCTGGCTGTTTGCCATATGCGTCATTCCCCGCTTTCGAGCTGAGAGGATGAGGACGGCGTTTGAAAGGGGCCTAGCCAATGACCTTGTTTGCTGCAATTGAGGACGGCCACGCCCCAACATCATCCTCGTCACACGCATTGTGTGTTTTCTCCGTTGGGTCGATGGGTTTGGGGCAATGGAGGATTAGGGTATTGTTGAGGACGAAGAAAACGGCGGAAAAACACTAGATAAGTGGGGCTGAAGTGTGAAGGATTCAACATACATGGATGAACTTGAGCGCCTGATCAATTATCAAAGCACAACCACCCACCCCCAATTGCAGAATGTGGGAAGCCGATGATCCGATCTTAATCAGGATACAAATTTCGCCCACGCACAACCTCACACCAAAGCCGTCTGGAATCGCTTCCCATGTTGGACCCAGGAAGGAACCCTACCCCCTAGGACGATACAACCCAGTCGGGTAACCACCATCCGCGTGCTATTTCAAGGGCTTTCTTGCTGTGATTAGTGATCGCCTTCATGTATTGGTCGTTTCAGTCATCCGTCCTCTTCAGGATAACGTTGGGTGTCTAAATCCAGGGCAGGTTGTCGTCGGGTCACTCGGATGTAGGCCGTGGGTTGTGCCCGCCTAACCGGGCATGGTATTTCCGTTCAATGTCTCGTCAATCAAAACGCTGGGAATAATCTAGAATACGCAGTCAAGTGAGCATTACGAGGGTATACCCCCCGCTTTAGACCGAGATTCTGAAATCCCTTTGTCAAGTGGACTTGAACATCGAGATACAGACCTCGCAGGCGCTCCCCGTGTTTCCAACGGCCGAATCAACCACTACATCAAACTCCACCGATGGGAAGTATTCACTCCGAGTCCAGAAGCACAAAGTGTTCCGGGGGTTGATATCATCAGTCTCCAGTTGTCGGAGCTTCCCTCAATCGGAGTCCCTTTCCCGACGTTGACTTGAAACGACGCAAAGTCCCCACAACTCCTCCGGGTACTTCCTATGGACCTCTGTCCATTCCGCAAGACCGTTCTGCTGTTTGGGGAGCCAGCCTCCTGAGCCAAATGGCTCCGCCCCTTTGTATTCACGTTCTTCCTCGGCTTCCACCTCCGGGCTGTTGTACAGCATATCCCATCTGAATCCCACGCACCAATAGGGAAGCTCTATGCCGCGGCGCTGCATTTGCCGGCCCAGATACTTCCCAACCCTGGCTGACATGCATCGCTTTGCGATATCAATAGGCATCGCCCCGTTACTGTCATGACGGGCCAACTCAACGCCCGGAGCGGCCAGAACGAGTTCCATCACATCGACACAATCCAAGGTGGCTGCCCAGTGTACGAGATTCCTTCCCTGATGGTCTCGCTGGTTCGGGTCTACGCGACCGCTTCGGAGCAAGACCATGATCGTATCCCGGAATCCCGCGTCGGCCACGACTTGGGCCGCGGTTCGGCCGAGCCGGTCTTGGAGTTGTAAGTTGGCCCCGTGCTCTACGAGGACCCGGCAGCTCGCGGTGTTGCCTAGCCGCGCTGCTGCGTGTAGCGCGGTGCCGCCGGAGTGGTCGATGTGGTTGACGTTGAGGTTGGCATCGCCTTTCCTCAGACATTGGTGGAGGATGTCGCTCCAGTCATTCATGGCTGTGAGATGAAGGATGCCTTTCCCGGACGCGTCGACATGGAGATGCAGGTGTTCGTAGTGGCATTTCTCGAGAAGTCGGAGACATAAGTCACGGTCGCCGTGTTTTGCGGCAAAGCAGAGAGCGCTCAGCTGGCCCTCTTCGGGGATTGGAAATGCTTGGCTGTGTTCGAGGAAGCATAGTGCCGTGCTCTGCATGCCCCAGTAAGTAGTGATGCCGAGGGGGGTTCGGCCGTGACTATCCGTCAAGTCGAGCCTGATCCCAGGCACATTCAGGAGCGCCCGGACCATGGCTGTGTTCCCAGCCGAGGCAGCCAGGTGTATGGGAGTATCGCCAGCGCTGTCTTGAATGTTGGGATCGACCGAGACGTCCTCTAGGAGTCGCTCGAGTCTCTCAGAGGTGGCATGGCCGACTAGGTAGTGCACTAGACACCGGCCTCGGCCGTCCTGCTGGGCGGCATCGAACCTCGGGTGGCTGACCATGACATCAAAAACATCCCATCTCCCTGCTTCCACAACATACTCGAGGCCCGACTTGAACTTGCCCCTGGGGAGCCGGGGATCCGCCCCGAGTCTCAACAACAAGATGGCTATGTCACCAAATGCTGGCCAAGCACTGAGCGCCCAGCAACACCGATAGAGAGGGCCGCCCTCGTTACTTGGTCCCTGCCAGAACTCATTCATGTCATACCCATGGGCCGCAAAATTACGGATCAGTGTTTCCATGACGGGAAATTTAACCGAATTGATGTCAAGGACTGCTAGCAGAGGGGAACCGCTGGTCCGAGAGTATCTGTCAGTCATTATCCAGACAAGTTCATCCCCGAGCAGCCCGCAATAAAACGGGCCGGATTTTCCGGCAAGGTCAGCGAAGAGAAGCCAAAGCGAGTCGTCCGGGGGCATCTTGCGTAGGTGATGATACAAATACGCTCTCGAGTACGCCAAGAACGGGTATTTTATCTTCAGATCTGTAATCATGAGTTAGATGTTCGTGTTAGCTCATGTAGCATTCTAGGACGCTGAGAGCTGTCTCCTGCACATAACTGGGGATTACCTTTCATTTCCGTCGCCTCGTCGGCCGCGTCCTCGAGCAAATCCCGGAGTTTGACATACTGCAGACATGTTCTCGCTACCACCCGTTCTGCCTTGGTGAGTATTTCAGGGTGTTTCTGTTTCCAAGTAGTGCGGAGATATTCCTCGAACGAAAAATGGGAAAACGAGACAGTGTGATCATCGTGAAAGGTGGTGATGTCGGGGAGATTCTCCGCGATAACGTTCTCCAGACCCTGGATACGACTCAGGTCCGTCGATCTAACAACCCGGCCATCTGTCTGAGACAAGCCGAGCACGATTGCGAGTTCATCCATTCTCATTGGCCGCGCTGCGATGGAAAGGATGGAAAGTATGAGCCAGACTTCGTCCTGTACGGACGGGTCAATCTGGTCCATGAGCTTGTCGTACACGGAGGTGATGCTGGAAGATCCTTTGTTAATCTTCGCCAACCTCTGGCGGATGATGTCCTCGTTCCAAAGAAGTCCCCGGCGAAAGTCATCCCAGACAATCCTAGCCCATAGGAACATGCCACTAGCCCGATCAGAGATGGTATTCACAATCTCGAAGCGAGTGGCCTGGTCGGCGCTGGCGTTGAACCCTGTATTGGTGGCCGCCAGCCGGTCGACATTATCTTGGAGATAGATTTTGATGCCCTGCGAAACCTTTTGTAGAGGAACCCTCAACACGCTGAGAGAGGGAACGGTAGAGGCGTAGGTTGGGTTATGCCGGCTCGAAGCGAAGACGCGGACCCGGTGACGCGGTCGCTCTTTTGCCAGATATGTCATGATCTCCCATAACCCACCGAGGATAGAGACAGCTACGGTTGGTCCTAACTCTTCTAGGGCATCGATGGCAATAAAAGTGCGACCCATAGTGTCCATAGCAAGCACTTCTCGGAGGGCGCCCCAAAGACGCTCTTTGTCGAAAGAGTAGGACAAACCGTATGGGGTCCGCCTTTGAAGCCGGTTCTTGACTAGGGCTTCAGCGCGAGGGTTGACTTGAAGCAGTTGGTGAAGGAGCGACCGAAGGACTGTTTCCGCGCCAGTTTGGAGGACATCCAGGTATGAACAAAAGAAGCTAATGCCCTGGTAGCCCAAGGCAAACCCAGACTGGTCGCTGCCCGATAACACAGTCTCGACGAGGAATCGCGTCATGACGCTCTTTCCCGTGCCGGGACCCCCGGAGAATAAGAGAATTCGTGAGCCCATGGAGTTTACCCACGAGAGATAGGTGGGATCATGGAATATCCAGTCGCAGGTCCCCTCGTGGGCCTGAGCGGAACGCAACTGTGCATTTGTGTAGTCGACGCAGAAGAGTCGACCGAGAAGCTCACTGTTGCCATAATAACCCCAGTCCATGTCGGGACTTGGTTGAGGTTGTTCGGGAGCTTTAACTACGAGTGAGCAAAAAGCCACACAGAATTGGGGGGGGGGGAATATGTGCAAACCTTCAGCTAGCTCCTTTACCGCTGCCCAGACGGGAAGATACCGGTTTTCCTTTCGAGGGGAGACTCGAGCCATCTTCCGATGGTCGGCATTGATGGGCACGGAGCGTTCGTTGGGCAGGCCGAGAATTGCAGAAAAGGACTCGACTATCTGGCACACGCTTCAGTCCAGGCGGGGCAGAACGGTAATTGTGGCTGAACCTACCAGACTCGGTCCGAGGGGTTTCCTCTCATAGAAGGATACAATGGGAAACTTGCTCAAGAGCTGGACTGCATGCCTTGAGATGGTCTCTAGCTCTCCAGAGGATATCTCCAAGGTCCGGAGGAGTTCAGTGCGGACACCGCGGCCCAGACTCGCCATGTTGATGATGCGTGATATCAACTGGGCATGAGATGCTGATCTTGAGCCACGATGTGGAGTACCCAAGAATACGACGCCTTTGATATGCTGCGCAATGTTCCCATGCTCCTCGGAGTTAAGGGTGGCCTGGATGAGCATCTCTTTGAACACCACGCCGCCCAGGCTGTGGCAGATGGCGATGAAGGGCCGTGACTGTTCGTGGCGTTGCATACGAGCAAGACGAAGTCGATTCAGCAGGTCGGCGGCGAAGTCGCTAACCCCCATTTTCGACTTTGCAAAAACCACAGCGGAGTCGTATCCATATGTCATGATCCGGGCTTGGGGGATGTGCTGCGGCAGTGAGTCCCGCAGCCAGAGATGGCCGCCATGATCGGTCCATGTTTTGAAAGCGTCTCCGCCAAGACCGTGGATTGCCACAATACTACAGACGAGTCAATAGGTGCACCGAAGACATAGGCGAGGCAGCATACTCGACATAAATATCTTGCGCCCCGCGACCGTGACTCTTTGGACTATAGAGTGGGAAAAGACCGTGTTTTTCCTGTGTCCCTGGCGAAGATGCCATTCTTCCGTGTTCTGTTTTCCACTCTTGGAAAGCTGTTGTTTTCGTTAGAAGATTGCGGCTGAGTGTCGTAGTGAAGAAAGAGGGGTTGAGCGGCTGTGGCTCGTCGGACGTCAGCTGACATATCAGGACAGCAACCCAATCGGCTTACAAGGCAAGAATATGTTGCTTTTCAGATCACTGCAGTCGACTGCAACGAAATTCGTATCCTCATCCAGGGGTAGTAGAGGTAGGGGCATCCTGCCCGGTACAATGCTAGCCATTGCGGCGTTGTCATTTTCCACCGAGCTAATAAATTCATTGGGTGAAAAAGACGCCGAATGGACGAATTGTACATCCTAACTAACGGCGAACATACAATGTAAATGCGACCGATGAAAGATATAGCAATCGATTGTGTGAAGCAGGAAAAAGGCATGTGAATTTTGGTAGGGTGATGTGGAATTGATTAATTAATTATGCGAGTTGGTGGGCCCTAACGACAGCCAAAAAAGAAGGAATGTTCAACAACCATCCATGGCAGCCGAAAAAAGGAGGAACACCGGCGATAAACCGTGCCTATCGTCGTGAGTCGGAAGGAGCATTCCTTCTTCAATCGTTCCATGTATGTATGTACAACACTACAGCTCGGAAGGTCATCAGGGGCTTCGCTTCAACGATGGCTGTTGTTAAATCCACAACACCGTCAATGGCATATGACGTAAGGCCAAGGGTAGGTAGTTGTTGTGCGAGGCGAGACGGGATGCCAGATGGGATGCAAGATGGGATGAGGGAGCGGACGGATGCAGGACGAAGATGGGACGAGGGAGGGGTCAATTCCACGCTGGCACCAAGAATGAACTGTACTACCCAGACAATCAAAGAGGCAATGAATCAAAGTCGACAATGAATTGATGACACAAGTTCACAACAATGCGAGCCCCCAGCTCCCTCATCCCTCATCCCTCCTCCCCTCTTACTTGCGCTCCTCCATCTTCCAGCGTCGTTGTCCGTCATTCATTGCCAGTGAGTCTGACTATCCGAGTGGGCCGTGATCGAAAAAGCTCCGGGTAATCTAGCGGACTAAGGACACAATGGCCCCCTTCCCAACCGCCCCCCCGCGGCCGCTCCCAGAGGTCTCTATACACTTTGTGCACCGTGGCGGCCGCGGGGTTAAACCGCTTCAAGTTCCTATCAGACGCCAACAACGGAAAGGGGCAAGAAGCATTATGAGTCCTAGGCCCGTCTGTTGCTGTCGTAGCTGGGGAGGAGGGCCCGGAGGGCGAGACGAGGAAATCAACCAAGGCTTGCTGCTGCTCGTCCAGCAGCTGCCAGATCCTGAAAGTGACCTTGGCGTGGTCCGAGTGAAGATAAACGTTCGGCTCCCCGTCGTCCGAGGAGCTGCTGCCGCACGGCTCGGACCGGTCAAAGAGGACGACGCCGCCGAGCAGCGTATTCTCGGCCCAGTAGCCGACGATGTCGGCGAGCCCGTCCGGATACTGATTGCGAGCGTTGTACCACGGGTGGCTGAACAGGGTCGGGCCCGGCTGTCGTCTCGCTAGGTTCGGGAGTTGCAGGTCTGACTCCCACGAGGTCACCAGGTCGATCGTGTAAAGCGGGTCGCCGCCGGTCGTCTTGCAGACGTCGTCGTGAAGGCGGTAGTCTCGCTGGAAGAGGAGGACGGCCAGCCTGTGGACGGTGACGGCGACCAGCTCGATGAGACGGCAGTGGAAGCTGCGAGAGCCGGGCGAGGTAGACTGGTACGCCTGGAGAAGCTGGGCGGGATTCAGTAGATTTACTAGATTATGTTTTGATCGTGATATCAGCCAACCCTAGCCTACCTCGACGTCAAAGTTCAGCATGCCGAGATCTGCAAACTCGCACAAGAAGTCCTGCGCAGTGTCCCTGGCACCAGGACAGAGAGACGTATGGCGAGAAATGGGATGGTCCAGGTAGAATCTGCCCTGGCCGTAGTGGTCGTAGACGACACTGGCGAGCGGCAGGCCGTCGGCGATCTGGCCATATGTGTCCAAGGCCCGCCCCGTGCCGAGGACATTCTGGACCGCGCGATCCAAGTCGCGGTGGTGCTTGTCGAGAAGGGAATCCAGGCTAGCCATATCGCGGGACTGGGGAGTGGGCTGTAATTTGAGGAAGGGAGATTCAGATGGAAATAAGATGCAGCTTGGAACGACGGGCGGCGGCTCGATAATAATAATAATAATAATTTGCGGCGAGGACTCGTCACTCGGGAGGGCAAGGGGGACGAGGGAGCCAAGAGAAAGAGGTCATGCTAATTAGGTGACGCTGCAAACGGTTGGCGTTTAACTTTGCCATCATTGGTGGGCGGAAGTTGAAACCGGGTGCCTACCTGAACCAACAACCCGTGTGCGCGGCCCCTGTCAATCTGCCCCATGTCAACCCCGCCCGGCCGGGCCGTCCCGTTACTCGTCGTCTCGTCCCATTTGTGTTTGCGGCGTGGTTGAGCTGAAACCAAGGCGGCCGCAGCTTGACCTTGGGACCGCCGTAGGTACCTAGGTAATTACCTACTGCTCCGTGGCTCCGCCCACCTCGAGCCGCTGGAAGCCCAGGCCCGGGCCCGGCGCCAGGTGGCCGGGAGGCTAGGAGGCTGGCGGACGGGTGGCACTGGCTGGCTGCCGGCTGCCGGCTGCCGGCCGACGTTCCGCTCTTAGCAGTCCACAACTATTGAAGTGACAACGGGACCAAACTCGATCGTGGACAACCTGGGAGTTGGGGGCCACTCAACCTTGTTTGGGCCCTCTATTGCAACTATTGCAAACTGTTTGGTCCTGAGCCACTGCCTGGCCGACGTGAATCGAGCCCGTCTCGACTGTCTGGAGCCGCGGCTGGCCCGTCTGGGATGTGGCCGCATGCTATCTACCATCTGCCATCGTCGAGACCGCCGGCGCGGAGCCCGTGACCCGTCCCCGGTCCCCCGGCTTGGTCAAGTTCTTCGTAGGTCGATAGGGTGGGAAAGGCCGAGGGACTGTGGATAGAGATAATATAAATCCTCGCTCCATGTGCTCCATGTCGATGCTTTGTCCAGCAAACTCCTCAAACCAGTCTTGCATCTTCACAACCTTCCCGATTGGCTTCTCACGTCCCCATTCCGCCACCGGACAGTGCTGGCATTGTCCTCCCCTTCCCATTGCTCCTTGCCTCTGACCAGTCACCAGCTCACCCAAGTCACTTGCCCGGATACTTTGAACAACACAATGCCTAGGGACTCCAAAACTTCCTCCAAGGGCCCCTCCAAGAGTTCCTCCAGCGCTCCAGGCGAACGACGGCCAACACCACCAAGCAGCCAAGAAACCCACCTGAACATCACGATCAACCTTCTCCGGACACTCCACACAATCAGGGAGTCGGCTACTCTTCCGTGCAAATATCGACGTGGGGGCCTGTAGCGGAGTGTCCCGCGAGGAGCTCTCTCCCAATTACCTTTTCCACCACCACCACCACCACCACCAACAGCACCACCGCCACCCAAGCCAGTCCCAACACCGCCGGCGCCGGCGCCGCCGGATTCGATTACTTTGCCAACGTATACCATGAGCCCTCCGCCGACGACATGCCCTCCATGTCGATCCGCACTGTGTCAGACGACGGCCTTTCCGAGGTCCAGACGTCCGACGACCTCCTGAGGGTCGTCCACGCCGTGACCAAACTCGTTCTCGACATGCTGGAGGCTCCAGGCTCGGCGGCTGTCGAGAACCTGGCCCAGCTCGGAGCCGATGTCGTGCAACAGTGGAGGTGGACGCCGCCGGCCCATGACATAATCTACCCACCCGCTCCGCCGGTCCGCCCGGGGCAGCCGAGCCAGCTGAGGCCGACCGACGGCGAGATGAGGGGCTGGGTGAGTTTCTTCGTGGGCCACCTCCGCCAGAACTTCGTGCCCGTCGTGTTGAGTCAGCATCTCGCCAACGAACAGTATTACGGGGACTATGCCTATGCAGAGTTTCCGCGAGCCGACTGGGCGACAGATTCCATGGCGAGATGTAACCAACAAGCGTGGGCAACCGGGCGAAGCTTGACCAGCCAGGAACTTCAGGAAGTGATGCGCGACTGGGAGCCCTGGCGCGCGGGATGCATGGTCATCAAGTTGGAGGTGAGTCTGTCCATCCATCCCCGTCACGCACACCCGTGGCGTGACGGTGGGTAACCCCCTTTTCCCGCAGTGCGCTGACAGAACCCGAAAAAAAAAAAACTCAAGATGCTCGAAAGCCTGGCCGAACTCAGGTCCGCCTATCTCAACACACCAAATAGCCATCCAAAATATTCGAAACGCGCCGAAGTCTACCGCACCACCTTGACCTTCCAAGCCATCATGGCCATCCACGAGCTTGTCCATTGTTTCGTTGGCTTCCTGGGGGGCTGGGGGCCGAGAGTGCTAACCCCAGTGAGCATCATACCCCCACAGTATACGGCATGCTTGCGCGAGACAGAGGATCCGATAGTGACGGCCGGTTGCACCCCGCGAGGGGAGGCAGGGAGGACGTGGGAGGACCGGGTCTTGGGAGGCATCGCGAGTTTGTGTTACTTGCCAACGAACCCGGGCGACGTACCGGTTGCGCAGCTGTTGATTACCGACTCGAACAATCGGACGAGGCTAGTTAACCCCAAGGCTGTAGAACGCTTCGTCAAACGCGGTAAGTTCACTAGTTGGCCGACGCAATAACTAGCGCAGAGCTACCCCCACCCCAGAACTAAAGTCTAACAGGTTCGAAACAGATTTCAAGTTCCCCCTAGACATTATTGGGGACTGGGCGGCTCCGGTTGGTTACACCGCGGTAGCCGGGGGGGCTTTTAGAAAAAAGGCCTCCCAAGCTTCCCAGAAACACGTGCGGTTGCTGGGATGGCTAGCTAACAAGAGGCCTCCAAGCTGCGCCTGTTTTCCGCTCGTCATCCCCAAGACCTTTCCAATTGGCAGAGTTGGCGGTGGCCCTTCTCCTGGCTCCAGGCACGGTTCCAGTTCACCCTCGAGAAGCACGGCCAGCCTTCCCTGCTCGCCTGGCAGGAAGACCCCCGAGACTGCTCGTGTTAACAGCAGAGGCGGCACTAATACTACAAATAATGGTTGTGGCCCGAAAGCCCCCGCACGGCCAGCACATCCCGTTGCCCCTCATTCCAGAAACAGTCGTGCCGTAGCTGCCGTTGGACACGCCGGCGGAGTTCCCAGTCTGAGTCGTGGCACGCCGTTGAAGCTCATCATCCCGCAAGAACAGGGGCACACCCCGACGGGCCCGACCCGGAAAGTCACGGGTCCTGTCGTGGTAAACAACAGGCCGCCGCAAAGCCGTGACGCGAAGGGGGGTGTTCAATCGTCGGTCCCGGTCCGAGGAAAACCTGGCGGTGTCCGCGCGGCTTCGCCGTTGGCCTCAAGCCCTGCAAGCAGCGCGGGTCCGAGTCCTCAGCGGAAAGCCGTGGTATTGACTGCCGCCCAAGGTCATCAAAAGACCACTGGGGCGATCTCCGCAGCGGCAAGAAGTCCCGTAGCACGGACTCGGGTTGCTCCTCAGGGCCCTGGCGGTACTGCCTGAAATATGTCAGATTCGGGGGGCCCTATATTCTCATCGTGAGGTTATAAATCGGTTCAAGAACGTATTGAGCATCATTCACCAGCATCCAATCGTCAGTGGTCAGGTAACCTTGACGAGGTAACTATGCCGAGGCACTGCCAAGGTCGAGGCCCTCTTTGTACTGACCAAGGGTATCCATAAAAGTCAGACCGGATCTCGAAAGCATCGGTATCCTCGCCGAAAAGAAAGGCCTTTACAATTAGGTTTAGGATATGGCTAAAGCATCGGATCAGTCGTGCCTTGACATCGTCGTTATCTATATTGGGTGCAAACCGAGGGAAATAAGGACGGTAGACAAGCATCGTTGGTTGATATCATAATTCATATCAAAACCTGCCTGTCTTCTACACATAACCATCGACCAGACGGTGGATTTTGTGTTAGTGTCTCCCAATCCAGCGCCTATGTACATACATCAACCACCCCGCTTAAGAGGTCAGACCAAAGAACTTGAGAATGACCGGCTCGTTGACCGGCGCGATGTGCCCAACACCATCGCCGAAGAAGCCCTGAAGCTGCGTTCCATCGCCATACACCTCCTGCGTGTACCCGTTCGACGGCACGTTGGCGTTCTTCGCGGTCAGCTGCAGACCAAACACATCGGCCCACTGCGACAGCGCCTGGTGCGCGCATTCGGGGTAGACCAGATTGTCGGCGTTGCCGTGGAAGATCTGCATGCGCGGGCGAGGGCCGTCGTAGCCGGGGTACGAGTTGCGCACATAGTTGCCCCATTCCGTCGCGGTGTGCTGGATCTTGCCCTGCGCGCAGGTTTGGTTCTGCGACATGGGCGTGGCCGACTCGGCGCCGGCGAAGCAGGCGTGTGCGACGCCGGAGAAGGCCGCGCCGGCCGCGAACACATCCGGGTACGAACCCGCCATGACGTTGGTCATCATCGCGCCTGAGGAGCCGCCCATGACGAAGACTTTGCTGGCATCGCCGCTGTACTTGTCGAGCGTGTATTGCACCATGCTGATGATGCCGCCTGCGTCACCGCCACCGCCGTGCGTGAGACTGGCCGGGTTTTGGACATCCCAGCACTGGAAGCGTGTTAATCCTTAGCCTCAGGGATGATGGGATCTAAATACGTGGGAAGGGGTGGGCTTACGTTGCTCATGTGGGTCGTTCCGGGGTAGATGAGAATGAAGCCGAGCTGGTCGGCATACGACGGGAGCTTGGTGCCGGAGTACCAGCCCTGGGCAGAGCCGCCACATGGGTGCAACTGGTGTAAGATCGTAAGTATTTGGAACACGGCCCTCAATATCACTCGGAAATACTCCGCTGGGATCAGCGAACTTACAGCGACAATGATAGCGGGATTCGCCGCGACCTTGTCGGGAACATAGATGTACATCTGGATGCTGGTCGGGTTCTGGCCAAAGTCCTGCACCTGCGCCAGAGACGCGGCGGAGGCGAGGCCGCCAAAGCTGGCGAGGGTCGTGAGAGCGGTGAGGAGACGCATCGTGAAAGTTGGTCGGCTTGGAGATCTGGTGTTATGGTGTTGGGTGCTTTGTCACTGGCTCCCTTGGTGGTGGTTGTTCCGAATGTCCGTCCAGGGGATCTCATCGATCTTTAAGTACTTTAAGCATTGACTTAAGACTTGCCCTATTCCGGGGGCAGGACCTGCTCAATTGACTCCGCTGACGTAGACCTGGTCGGGTGGGCGGAGCGGCAGAAACTCGGTTTCTGGTCGTCAGGTTGGCGATGGCCCGACATGGTGGTGTCGAGGATCAACGCGTTCGGTACTGAGAGCTGAACCAGTCGGGGCCTGCCATTTGGGCGGGACGTTGGATGAAAGGGGCTGTGATGATCCGGCTCCGTGCTATAACGGGTAAGGGGTGCAGGCCCAGGAAGCCGGACCCAGCCAGCACAATTTAATTGAACCAGCCCACCTTTCTCGGCATCGAACCGCGGGAACTCTCGAATTTCCGTTAACAATACCTAATGCTGGTCGGTGCCTTAAAACATGCGACTGCATTGTTCGACGCTAGAAGCCGAGGCTTCTTCCCGACGCGTCTTCCCCGCCTTGGTGGTACCACTAGCCAAGCGCTGTAGCAGCGGCTCGTTTATGACGCTCCCCGTGGACGCTGGTAGGGCGGCGAGGGTATCTCGATCAATGGAGTACCCCGGAATTCGCGTTCCATAGTTTTTTCAAGCGACCGCTTCGTGCTTGGCAACCTTAAATGCACCCTCTTACGGACTTACGATGTTCAATAACTTGGTCATCTGGAAGTGTTATCACCTTTGCCGAGACCGAATACCGAAATGTAAAGGGAAGGGTCCTTTCACTTGGGTTGCCTTTGCTTCTTTTCTTCTATTCCTGGAAAAACAACGCTTCTCAACACGACGCTCGCGTAAAAGGGGTCGGAGGTTTGTTCGGGCAGTGATCCGTATTCTCCTCGATTGGTGGGATTACAGTTCTGTGTCGCTGATCTTGGTTCGTCTCCATCGTACTTGGCGTAACTTTGTTCCGCACAACTCACCTGGAAGCCCCACGATCAGCTTGAAAAATGCTCGTATGGACGCTAGTCATATGCTGGAGACGTAAGAGTACTTCACCTCCGCCGGAGAACCTTGACTGCCTCGTTCTTCTGCCGTGGCCTCCAACATAAACTGCCGCTTCCTCGCTAAACCCAGCTATTTACAGCATCGACGGATGTTGCGACTTTTGACTACGGCAGTTTCGTCTCATCAGTTCCCTATTCCCACTCAACGGCCTATTCCCACTGAGCAAGGCGATGGCAAAGGCCACGAAAGACACCGTCCCTTCAAATGTGACACGTATAAAGCAATCAATCACCTTGAAGTATACCCGGGAGAGAAAACACAAGGAACGTGAAACTTGGATCCGCGGCGCCTAAACTACCACCATACCCGCTGGGCACGATTCATCCATCGTCGCACTTTGACTCCCCACATACGGGAATCAGTTGAGTCGGCTGATCCAGCGGTACCTCGTGGAAGCGGAATCGGAGGATCGGAAGCCAAGGGAGCGAAGACAGATTTGAACCATGACAAGGACAAAAGGGGGGAACAGCGGCCAGTTGGTTCTTGCCGATTTAGCTTTTGGGAACTTAGCCCTTGAGTCTAGTCCTTCGGACTTGCCGTTGCCTACCTGGTGTTATTCCACTGTTGCCTTGCCCATTATCGTTGAAATGGTAGTTGCGACCCACAACAGGGCATGCGATTCTGGGGGTGCAGGCTTTCAGGTAAGGTAGGTTGCATGGAGCGTAGCCGGGCTTCCAGTTCCTGGCACCTCACTCCCCGTTGAACCCAAGGGAACAACTGCCCTCGTTGCCAAACTACGCTGCGCCTGAGCTCCTCTTGAGACGGAATGAACAGCCCCAAGAGCGAACTTGGACAAGTTAGAGGTGATTGTCTCTCTACACGACACAAGTTACCCCTAAACGGGCCTTTTTATCCACCATTAGCGGCACTTTTGGGACAAGATTTCGACTGCACTTTTAAGTGGATCACTACGAACTTCTTCAACAAGCGAAGCTAGGCAAACCTCGGCGACCCATCAGAGGCTACACTAAATCTCACATCCCAATCGTGTCCCTCCTCGTTCATGAGCTTCCAATAAGCCTCTCCATGCGCCTCACCGCTCACCTGGGGATAAGGCACCGGGCCACCCTCATCGGTAACCTGAGAAGCAAAATAGAGCCTGCACCAAGGCCGGACACTTAGCCCCTGTCACATCAAAAGTTGAGAGATAAAGTAACACGGGCTTCTTACCTGAACTCCTTGGCATCATACGCGATAGTCCCGACCGAGATGAGGTGAGCTAGCGCGGACTTGCCAGGGCCGAGGGTAACGGCGAGGGGGTGAGCCTGGAAGGGAGTAACATTGCCCGTTGCGATGTATACCAGGGGGGGATTGTTGTGGCGCCGGGCGAGGCGAGTCGCATGATGCAGGGCGGCGTACGCACCACCTACGTTGATTTCGAGATCGCGTGAGAAGGCGGCTGGGTCCACAGCGAACGGATCCTTGTCTGGAGGGAAGGTCAGGGCAGCAGCTGGTTGTTGAACAGCCTAAGGTCAGTCTTCAAGTGGATTTAAGAGGGATTAGGTTGTCATTTACCGTTGTAGACAACCGCGTTTGGAACTCCAAGTTTCGACTCAACCTCCTGGAACGCTGCTTCGATTGTCTCGGGCTTGGTGACATCGACATGCACAGGAAGGGCACCATCAACATCCGTCTTGTCGGTGTTGCGTCTCCCTATGGCCACTTTGTATCCTTGACTCAGGAACTTCTTGGCCACAGCATGGCCAATACGTGGTCCACCTCCAAGAATGAAGAGCACTTTTTGCCCGGGCCCCGCCATTTCGAGCTAGTTGCCGGTATTCACAGTAAAAGAGAGGGAGAATCTTGTGAACTCGGCTCAACGTCTGCAAGGACAAGAATATTAAAATAGGTAATTATATCTAATCGCGGTTTGCGTAACTACATCGCAGCCTTCAGCAACCGATTGTTAAGCAAGCGAGACGATTTGTAATTCGTGATGCTGTAACAAAGGCCCAGAGGGCAAGCGAGGTCAGCTCGGCCAAATATGGATGCCGACTAACAACGAAACAAAATAACGCCAATCTATCATCAGCGGCTCGATCAGTATCACCCATCTCGTGTGCCGTTGAGGAATAACGATCCAATGGAAGAGGATACTAGGACGTAGGATATTTAAATGGTTGTGCGGCAGGTTTCCTTATCTTATCGGTATAACTCATGAGTCCCTGCGGAGAAACGCGCAAAAAAGTACCTAAGGACATGAACTAAAAATAGAGGGCTGCGCGCGTTAACAAGGTCGATACCTGGAGACCTGATGATGTTTTCCTCCTTTCAACCTCTGAGTCAATGGACGGCAGCCGGTGTTCTAGCCTTTGCACACTCCCGCGGTACAATTAATCCCGCTTGATAGAAACATATGGTTGGCTCATCACGAGGAACTTTGAGATGAGGTTGTTTGGCCTAACTAACAGAGGTAGCAGAGGACCGGCATACGCTGAAGGAGCCATTGCCCTTGGTATTAATCCCTACCATCCAAGGGGTAGATGATTTTGCCATGCGTATTGCCAACGGCGGTGCCGGGAGATATCCGACACACAGAAAGAGTCATCGATCGAGTCTTTGCTAAGTTTTTTGGAACTGCCTTGGGTGAACTTTTGAAGCTAAGTTGGCCTTGTACGTTGTACATACCGTACCTGTGCTAGGTGGTTTCAGAGTTTCGCTGCTCGTCGGAGTCGGCCTTGACGATGTCGCGAGCGGCCGAGCTTTGCCCCAAACTCCTGACGGACAAGGGGCCTATTTACCTTGTATGTCCCGGATTTCAATCATTATTCAGGGGAATCCAAGCTCCTTGACCCAGCACATTCCATACTCTCATAGATTCGAAGCAAACTACATCCTCGGCATGCATTTTTGGTGTGCGGGCTTCATCAACGCCACAAAGTTGCCGCGTCGGATTGCCTAATGAGGTAACCCGTCCAAGCCAGTGCGACACTGTGGGGAAAGTGGTTGCCGATCGCTGGGCATTCGTCATGGTTCCCCACTTGGCTGCAAAGGTCACATCCTTTGTCGACAGCTTTTTGATGGCCATTCTTGCCATTGACAAAACCACTGGCAACTTTGACAACCATTAACACACTCCGGCTTTCCGGCCGGCACGGCAGCGCCGGCTTGAGGAATGCATCCTAGCGGATTGGGATAACGAGAACCAATTCGGCTCGGTAGGCACAATACGGACAAAACTGCAGCGATTTTAACCCTGCGAGAAGGGATTCCGTGGACTTTATAGTGGATCATCACCCATGAAGTTCTCCATGTTTTCCCCATTCCAGACCCTGATTTTCCCCGGTCTCACCCCGGCTCCAGGTGGCACCAACACCACGCAGAAAATCTGGAGACGCTTCGCGTGTGGCCTGCGGGTGCGACCAAATCCCCACAAGCCATGTGCGAAGACCGGTCCGACTTCGTGTCGAAATCCGTCGCCTGTGGGAAGCCGCATCGGCGATCCCAGCGTTTCCTGGCATCCCGAAGGCGTTTGTGTGGCCAAACCAGGATCCCAAGGATCGAATTGCCTAATGCATGTCTCACGTCCTCCGACTTCAACGGCTAGGATTAACAGAGTAAAAAAAGCCTGCAGGAGGGCCAAGGATATTTAAAGCCGGGCGTTCCGCCTCATTCCCGGACCGTCTTACTTGCTCAATATTCATGCGAACGGTTTGACCCATTGAGCGGTCGACAACTCACTCCCGCAGGCGGTTCACGAGCAGGACAGCAACCGGCCATCATGAAGAAGTTCCTCGGGCTCAAGGGCCAGGCCCTTAACATGGCGGTGGGCATCATTGCAGGATGCGACTTTTTGTTATTCGGTTATGGTAAGACTCCTCTTGGGATTGTCTCGATAGCGAAGCGGGGAGATTTTTGATATGCAAACTGCAGAGAGTCGCTAACATCACGTCGTACCGCAGACCAGGGTGTCATGGGCGGGATCCTCACACTCCCGATGTTCTTGAACGCGTTCCCAATGATCAACCCCGAAGCTGAAGGGATCACGTCCGCCGAGTCCTCCTCCCGATCGACGTACCAGGGAATTGCGGTAGCTTCGTACAATCTCGGGTGCTTTTTCGGCGCCGTCATCACCATCTTCATCGGAAACCCTCTCGGTCGCAAGCGTGTTATCATGCTCGGTACTTCTATCATGATCATCGGCGCCATCCTCCAGGCGAGTTCCACGACACTCGAGCAGTTTATTATTGGACGAATCATTACCGGGTTAGGTAATGGCGGGAATACTTCGACAGTAAGCAGCCTTCCGTCCGAACGATGTACATTCATCGGAGGTTCATCGCAAAATGGATCCGGTCCGAGAAACATGGGATGAATACTGACATGTGATTTTTTATCGATAGGTACCGACATGGCAGTCAGAAACATCGAAAGCCCACAAACGCGGAAAGATGGTCATGATTGAGGGTGCCCTCATTACCTGCGGTATCATGATCAGTTACTGGATCGACTTGGCGCTGTCCTTCGCCCCGACCTCGGTGGCGTGGCGTTTCCCGCTAGCTTTCCAGGTTTTCTTCTGCATTATCATCCTGATCTTCATTCCCTTCCTGCCCGAGTCGCCCCGCTGGCTTATCCTACGCGGCCGCGAGGACGAGGCCAAGGAAGTCATCGCCGCGCTCGAGGACAAGGAACCAAGCGACCACGTGGTCGAAAACGAGTTCCTCGCCATCAAGGAAACCGTGCTGGAGATGTCCAAGGGCACGTTCGCTGAACTATTCACCATGGACAAGAACCGCAACCTGCACCGGACCCTCCTCGCCTACTTCAACCAGGTCTTCCAACAGATCTCCGGTATCAACCTCATCACCTACTACGCGGCTGTCATCTACCACGGCCTCGGCATGACCGACTTCATGTCCCGCCTGCTCGCCGCGCTAAACGGCACAGAATACTTCATCGCCTCCTGGCCAGCTGTCTTCCTCGTCGAGCGCGTCGGCCGCCGCAACCTCATGCTCTTCGGTGGCATCGGCCAAGCCGCGACCATGGCTATCCTAGCGGGCGTCAACTCGCGCAAAGAGCAAGGCTTCCAGATCGCGGGCATCGTCTTCCTCTTCGTCTTCAACACTTTCTTTGCCGTCGGCTGGCTGGGCATGACCTGGCTGTACCCGGCCGAGATCGTCCCCCTGCGGATCCGCGCGCCTGCCAACGCGCTCTCGACCAGTGCCAACTGGATCTTTAACTTCCTCGTTGTCATGATCACCCCTGTGGCGTTCAACACCATCGGATACCAGACTTACATCATCTTTGCGGCTATCAATGCGTTTATGGTGCCGTGTGTCTACTTCTTCTACCCGGAGACGGCCTACCGCTCGTTGGAGGAGATGGATACCATCTTCCACAAGGTTGACGCGGGCTGGAAGGGGGTGTTTACGGTGGTGCACCAGGCGAGGAAGGAGCCGAGGTGGTATGGGAAGAATGGGGAGCTGCTGGTGGATTATGAGCAGACGGAGGAGCACTTGAGGCATGTGCGGCCGCAGCAGCCAGCTGCTGCGGTGCCGTCGGAGAAGAGGTCTGGCGAGGAGGGATCGGGGAGTGGGAACAGCGATGCTCGGCATGATGAGTTCCGGGGGTAAATGTTTTGGGGGGGGTTGGGGGTTGAATCGTATGAAAAGGTGCTAGTTAACAATTGTTGAGGGGAGATGATACCCGGGATGCAAGATGCATTGCTGACTTTGGGAGAGAATCATACATGTGTAGACCGGTTGTTGGGCGGAGGGCATACCGGTGCTGAAAATACACCGCTGTCCGGCTAAATGTTATCTTTTCCTCTTTCTCTACTTCCAAACTTCACGCTTTCCTTTCCTGTGCCTTAGACCTTATCCGCGTGACCGTGAAGCACGCTGGATATGTTTTACAGTCGGCTACGCTGAGTCACCGCTGACCTAAGAGTTTATCGGAGTTCGTACGACACAAGTTTAATATTCACCGCAGCATGAAAAGGGGAGGTGACTTCGGGAACCGCCACCGGCGCGCCGTCTTGGCGTTCATGCGCTCTTGAAGCGAGCGAGGCGGGCCGCTTTTCTTCTTCAACGAACACCAAGCGAATATCGGCACGGGGATGAATGACCCAGGACGGAATAGAGACATTGACAAATACTAAGCGAAGGGCGCGATACATGAACGTGAGTGAAAAGGGAGTGGTCTTGACCTTCCCTAACGATGACTGGGCGCTTTGGTTTCGGTCGGCCGGCCGAGGGGTAACTTGGGTGACGTTGCACGCGGGCTTTGGAGCGGAGGATTGGATTGCAGCGTGGCGGCGCTATTGGATGTGCAAGTTGGACTGTTGACGGTGAGGGGAGGCGAGGGCGACTTAAACGGCCTGATAACTCTCGCCTAGGTTCAGAAGTGGGAGGCGGGTAGTTCTTTGAAGTCGGAGTTAGGACCGTAGCTAGACAGGCACGGGGTTGGTTGGTTTGTTTTGGGGAAGTTGATAAAGTGACAAAGCTGGGATGAGCGGGGCGAGGCTTGCTGAGGCGAGCTCCGATGGCGATGTGATAGTTGCGAAGGGCCTTTTCGGAGGTTTCCTATCTCAAGGAACGGTCTGGACTCAAGTTATTGAGCCTGTGAGAGCCAGGAACGTGAGGGAAGGGTTGCAATTGTTTGTTTGTCTGTCCTTGTGACAGGACGGCGTAATGTTGGAGAAGCAGCTGCAGGTGCATTTGACAGACAGCTACGAATAGTTGCGTGCTAAGTCTGTTCCAGCCTGCAAGTTCCCCAACTTCACGCAGCACAAGATCGCCAGGGGTTTGATTCGTCGATCGCTGCCGGGTTCGGCCACCGGGGTCTGTCGGCCTCGCGCATTATCATGAACCAACCACTGCTGAAAGTTTATCCCCCTCCCCCCAGGAAGACTCCTCAACGGAGCCCTTCTTTCCATGCAAAGTCGTCTCTGCATGGAAGGTGGCTACTTTCAACTTTGACAAGCGCTTGAAACGACGACTTCCCAGCGTCTCCGGGAGTCCTGTCTCCAATCACAGAACGTCCCTTCCTCCCCATCCGGGCGCCAAGAAGCGCCAAGAAGCGCCGAAACAACCTCTCCAGTGGGTTTCCCAGGCGCGCTCCTCGCCCAGTTGGGGTTGTCGGCCAACTGAACACCCTCAGGCCCCACGCGGCACTCGGGCGTGGTATTCGCCTCAAAGAGCGCTGAAGTCTCCTGCCCAGCAGGGCTTGGGCTGGGCCTTGGCAGGTTGGGGTCGCCGACTTCGCCGGATAACAAACCGTCCACGTTTTTGGCGGGTTTCTTCAACATTTTCCTTGGGCTGCCCAGCGGGGGAACGCCTCAACTTTGTGGGTGGCAGCTTCCTGTTTGGGGAGTCCCCGTCCGCGCCCAGAGAATGGCAGATTCTAGGACTTGGCCTGGGGCAGGAGCAACCCAATTGATGTCAGGTGCAACGGGTCTGAGGTTCTAATGATCGAGGGCCTGTTGCCGGTGCCAAGTCGGCATTGAGAGAGTGCAAGGAGCGGAAGGGCGCAAAGTTAGGTTGTTCGGCTCGGTTCGTGCAGTGCCGAGGTGGATGTCTAATTGCGCAACCCCTGACAAGCTTCCCGCAACTACCGAAACGGCAGTTAATAGCAGGTAGGGCGATGACAGTGGCCGACGGTTCAACAGACACCAAAAAGGTCGTATACCAGCATATGTTCTGGGAATGTCGCCAGTTGACGACGTTTCTTTTCTTAAAATAACTCTATTTTTCGAGAGGCTGTTGTCGATCGAGACCCTGGGGAAAACGACCCTGGACGAAGAACACGACGTTTGCGAGCAACCCTACTTGTCGTTCAGATCAGGAGAAGATGTGCGGGTGGTGACTCTGGTCCCTGAAAACCCGCGTGGTCCTGTCATCTGCTTGCACAAGCCGATACCCGACATCGTTTGGTCTGCCGCTGCAGGTCTCTCGAGCGCGAACACCGAAGCGAATTCTCGACGAACCCTTCGCCTAATGTCCTTGATTTGGTAGGTCCTATTGTAAGTTTCTAGTAATCAGCTCGACCGAACTTCATGGCCCTTCGCCTGTCCTTCACGGACTATCTCCCCGGGTTTCTCTTCTCTTTAGGTGCTAGGCCTGAGTTACTACTACACGTATGTACTTAGTGGACGGCGAGCTCGATTTGGTTGTCCCCTCTCCGCCACTGCGGCCCGGGCCAGTGTCCCAGGCTGGAGGAGGGGGACTTCCCGATCAGGAAGGAAGCAAGAGAGTTAAAAAATGTGGGGTAGCGCATGAGAATCGTCGCGTTCACTGGTTCACCCCGTTGATTGCAGCACTTTCGACTCCCCAAAAAAGACCGAGGTCACATCGTAGTGTACTGGGCGGATCTCCGACGCGTTGACGATGAAGGTTGACCGGGTTTTTGGCCACCTCAGAATGGAACATCGACAGACGCACGATGTTAGTGTGTCCTGGTGTGTGGGCGGCCGATCGACCTGCCTGAATCCGGCTTCATGGCCGAGGGTTGATGGGTTGAAGATAGGTGTGGGGAAATGTGCGGGAGAGATACCCTATCGTGGTCTGGGACGGCTGGTCGGCAAGGGTGGTAATGGAAGGGGGAGGGAGGGAATGTTCGCGACTCCGACTGCTCGATCGGTTCGGTTCGGTTCGTAGTCCTGGTAGTGACTCTATGAAGGGTCAGGCAGGACAGGGGAACGAGAGAGTGATCGTCGGGGTATATAAGGTTGAATTGCGTCCCTCGTTTCTGTCCTCGAGAAGACTTTACCCAGCCGCCAATCTCCAGCCGTCTCTTGATCAAGTTCTCCCGTGCCGATCTCACCCGGTCCCGCCTTCGGAACCTCTCACATCGCCAATATGCGTTTCTCTCCCATCGCTCTCGCTGCTGCGGCGGCCACCGGTGCCTTGGCTGCCCCCGGCCGTGAGTCCAAGCCGGTCTCCCGCGGCTTTGCTTGCGGTGCCCCGGAGCCGCATGCCGAGCACATCAAGATCTCGCAGGGCTTTGCGGCCCAGGAGCTTGAGGTCCTGCGCTCAGGCAACCTGACCACCATGGCGACCACCACCGTCGACCTGTACTTCCACGTCGTGTCGACCTCGACCTCGGAGAGCGGCGGTAACATTCCGGTATGTTGAACTCTTCGCTCATTCAGTGATCTTGTTCACGTTACACTGCGAGGAACACAAGGATCGCAGTAAAACAAGGCTAACCTCAAAACAGGACTCCAAGCTGTCGTCGCAGGTCTCGGCCATGAACTCGGCCTACGCCCCGTACGGCTTCCAGTTCTCGCTCAAGGGCACCACCCGCACCGTCAACGCCGCATGGGCCGACGACAACAACGGGTACGAGATGACCATGAAGCGGTCGCTCCGCAAGGGAACCTACCAGACCCTCAACGTCTACTTCCTCCCCGGCATGGGTGACAACCTGGGCTACTGCTACTTCCCCGAGGCCGGCGGTGCCACCTCTGGCTCGACCACCCAGATCCGCGACGGCTGCACCGTCCTCTCGACCACCGTCCCCGGCGGTAGCCTCAACAACTACAACCTCGGCGGCACCGTCATCCACGAGGTCGGCCACTGGTTCGGCCTGTACCACACCTTCCAGGGCGGCTGCACCGGCTCCGGTGACTCTGTCTCTGACACCCCGGCCCAGGCCAGCCCCAGCAGCGGGTGCCCGGTCGGCCGTGACTCGTGCCCCAGCCAGGCCGGTCTCGACCCCATCCACAACTACATGGACTACTCCTATGAGTGAGTTTCTTTCCTTGTTCTACTTCTCACTTTACTGCAAGGTGATAATCAAATACTAACCTGATCCAGCACCTGCTACGAGGAGTTCACTGCCGGCCAACAGGCCCGCATGGCCAGCTTCTTCAGCAACTACCGCCAGGGCAAATAAGCGCGCTCTACGCAGGAGTTTGAGATGGACAACCTCATTGAGGCTGGTGGATATGGAAAGGGTAGCCCCCTTAGGATGGCAAACTGTCAAAATTTAGGCGAGTGGTCTTGGCCACTGTAAATATTTTTCATTATCCAAGTACATAGCAGTTATGGATAGTCAACCACCTGTACATACATTCTAGTTTTACACAACTCCAAATGGAATCATTGCTTGGTTCTACTCCAGTATATGTTCCCTTTAACACAACATGGTAACAACCTTTGATCAGGCGACCGGCTCTGTGTTGAGAAAATGACGGTTCACAACAACAAAATCTAACTCCAAATGGAATCATAGCGTTAGTTCTACTCTCCTACGTAGTTACTTCAACATGCTAACGATCTTCGATCTGGCGACCTTGTGATGATTATTCTCACGATTTGTGCTTCCGCCTGGTTCACAATGACAAAATCTCACTCACCTCATTGGGAATTACGGCAGGATAATTATCCACAACTAATAGGTCAGGATACTCGCTGCAATATTTGATGCGCACTTTAACCATCGAGGTAATCACCCTCAACTCAACACCAACCCTGAACCCGTGACAACGCATTTTCGACATCTCAGATGACTCTGGATCGAGCAAAAACGGGCATCCTTGGACCAGGGGTGCATGTTAGAAAAAAAAAAACCAATTACTTGTAGGTTGCAGGATCATGAGCTGCGTTTATAATCAATTAACGGCCCGTCATAAGGAGGACAAATGTGAAAGCGGATAATTAATTAATTGATTCTGAGGCTTTAGATATCACGACATGAACTTTGGAGATTCTTGGGAGCTGCACTCCTGTCCCAACCCCCACGAGGAGATTACTTACAACTTACAAAGTATCGTCAAACCAACCTGGAACCCACGGATAATTCAATAACTTCCACAACACGTGGTAACCCAGAGTATGAAAACAACCTTCACCACCTCGAATGAATGATTCCCTCAATGGCTTGAACTGGAACCCACCAGTTGTGTCACGCCGTCTTAATACATAACTCCGCATAATTATCCCTGAGTTGTGGTCATCCGATTGGTAGCCTCGCCCATGGCTGCATCGACCTGCAGCCAACAGTTCAAAACAACTGCGAGCATTCACTAACGCGGGACTTGCGACCAGGCACTCAGCTAGGAACCAGACTCCCCAGGGTTATTGACGCCCGTCATTTTCTGGGATCATTCTTGGGCTATAAATTTAGAAAAAAGCTGAGCCATGTTGCTTGCAAGCCCCTTCACTTGTTCTGGGTTGCAGATGATTAATTTCGTGGCGCAGGGCACACCGTTTAATCAGTTTTCACTCCTGGCTGCGGTAAGGATATCACTAACACGCGACTTTAAGGGGGGTCCCGTCTGCACTTCGACAGGCCTATGCACGAGATCTTGGAAGCGCGCGCTAACTCTCAGCTTTAAGGCTGCGTTGTTGACAATTCGTTAATTCGCCAAACATTTCACTGGGTTTGTGATTCCTTTCATTTATCTAGGGTAAAGCCCGTGGTATTTTGATTCAAGACTTCTGGTCTACCACTTCTGCGCCCTTCATTCCATTCCTTCGACTTCGCGACTTAGTCGCATCAACCAACGAGGCCGCTGAGGCTTTTCTTAAAAGTTAACACGGCTCCGGTAATAGCGGAGATCACGATGTCGGCTTCAACATCTTCGAGAGAGAAAGGGACACGTCAAAGGCTCCGCGAGGGCCTCGGTCGACTGCGATCGAAATTTCGACCGCATGCCAAAGATTCTACAGGGAAACCGACTTCGGTGCTAAGTAGTAGCCCGAAGCCGGATTTTGAGCATTCTTCGCCCTCTATTGGTCCGGAACCGGTTGTGCGGCAAGATGACGCCCCCAAGCAATCCGATGGCCCAGTGGCCCTTCCCCCCGGCATCGAGGACGGAAAAGCCGTGTTCGAAAGCGCTTTGGAAAAGGATAGCTCCTTGGGTGAAGCAGAGACAACCAACCCCTCACCACCATCCGATCTATGGAGCGCAGCATACCGCGAGGCAGTGGAGCTTATCGGGAAAGACATCGACATTACCATTTTGCAGGGCGAAAGCATCGCCCAGCTGTTCGAGAAGTTGGAGCAACTCGACAAGGACGCTACTCAGGAGTCTGCATTTGTGCGGGGGGTTAGATACCTAAGGACCCTCCAGGTACCGTTGGAGACATTCAAGCTAGGGCTTGACCTGGCCAGCCCTTTGACTTCTCTCGAGCCGACCGCTGCTACGGTTACTGGATTTGTGAAAAGTGTTACTACGGTGAGTTTTTCCCAGACACGTGGGATTCTGCAGACCGCTGATTTATGCATGTGATGTGATAGATTGCCATCAGCGTTTCGACGGCAGACCGTCGGTTTGGAGAGCAGATTGGGCAGCTGCTACAGCAGCTTTCGTACATTGACGATTGTGATACCCTCGGCCAAAAGACGGGCAAAAAGGATATCCACAAGGTACAGTACAATGGCACAACCCTTGCGTTTTTGTCCTTTGCGTTTTGTCCCTCTAAATGAATGCACGTTTTTAATCTGGGTTTAGGCACTTGTCTCGGTGTATCAAAAACTTCTCGAGTTCTATCACGCCGCGTTACAGATCCTGTCCAAAAAGGGAGCCAAACTCGTCATGAAAATCGTTCTCGAAAACGGGAAATTACCCGCCATTGTCCAAGACTTTCTTCAACACGCCCAGCAGCTTCAAAAGCTGGTGGAGAAGGCAACGTTGGAGATTGTCGAGGACATCAAGAACATGCTTTACGACCACAGGAGTAATCCCAGCCCCTGACCTGATGCACACGAACCGTTAACTCAGTTTTGCTAACCATGTCCCCAGTCAACACCTGGCTAGGAGTCAGCGACCAGATAAAACGCCAAGGCCAGTACCACGACAGCCTACAATACCTCCGCTCCAATGAAGCCTGTGAGTTCCTGCTCGCCAATCCCCGGTTCATCGACTGGTATTACCACGGCGCCGGTTCCCAACAGCTGGTGATTCTCGGCGACGTCGGCTCCGGCAAGACAGTCGCCATGTCCTACCTGATTGATATGCTCGGCGAGCAGAACAAGCACCAATTGCCCTTGCCCAAGCTGTGCTACTACTACTGCCGGGACGATGGCACGGGTACGGCAGCGCATATCTTGTCTGCTTTGACGCTCTCGCTTCTGGTCCAGCTTCCTGGGTTGAAAAAGGGGTTCGTGGAATGGTACCAGGAGGCTTTGGCGTCTGGGATTGATCCGGCTACGAATGTCAAGGTGCTGGAGCAGTGGTTGCGTGGCACCCTCATGACTCTGGATCGCCCGATTATCTTTGCCATTGATGGATTGGACGAATGCGATAAACGATCTCGAAGCCGTTTGCTTCAGTCGTTGGGGGAGCTTTCACTGGCAACACCACGGTTCAAAGTTCTCGTTTCTTCGCGGGCAGAAGAGGAAATTACCAGGCAACTGAAGGGAATGAGCACCATCACCTTGGTCCCAGATGTTATGCGGGATGCTCTGATTGTGGAGAGAACCGTCGATTCCCAGTTATCAGATCTGCCGGAAGATGTTAAAGGTCTCGTCACGGGGACACTGTCCAGGTTGGCACAGGGGAGCGCGATATGGACGAAAATGACGGTTGAACTGATCGAGATCCGCCAAATCAACGCGTTTAATGCCATGCGAGACTTTCTCAAACAGTTACCGCAACCCAGGCAGTTGTCAGACTTATATTCCCACCTCTTAATGCGGTATACCATGGGCGACCCGGAAAACAGGAGACTGGCCACGACAGCCTTGGAGGTGCTCGCTGTCTCGAAAAGACCGCTCAGCTTATTGGAGCTTGGATGGGCGGTGGCTTTGGGAGTAACCCGGAATCCGGTCGGCTCGGTCGAGGGGCTTGCCAGGCTAGTCGATCACATGAGAGTCATCAAGTTGATCCGACCCTTTGTTGCTCGTATCGACACCGGGGACAACAAAAAATACCAGGTCAAACTCGTCCACCAGTCTGTCAAAGAGTTCATCCTTACGGAATTAGTCACCGCGGGATCATCAACTTCCACACACCAGGCCGAACACCCACCACCACCCCCCGCTGAGTACCCAGAGGCTACCATGCTCAATATCTGCCTCCAATACCTGCTTCTAAACGAAATCAACACCATCGATTTCTTCTCCCCCGAACTCCTCGCCATCCACGAGCTACCCTTCGACGTCGACGTCTTCACCGCGTCCCACTGGCCTACCTACGACGCCCAAACCACATGGGACGAATTGGAGCAGGACATGCTTCACTACGACCCGAACGAACGCGGGTTTGGCGAGTTCTTCGTCTACGCTTCGTGTTACTGGGTCGACCATTTCGGTGCGGTGTCTGCTGCATCCCTTCTGCCGGCACTGGGTGACATTGAACGGGTTTGCCAGGCTGGTTCGAAACGGTTGGCGAACTGGATGGCACAGAATCAACGCCCGTCGTGTACCATCCTAGCGCGATATCCGTTTAATCCGGACTTGCATGATCCTTTGAGTGTCACGGCGTTGTTGGGGTCCGAGGCGATGTTGCGGCGGATGCTGGCGGAGTCGGATTTCTCCGACCGTAGCCGGTTTCGCTCTCTGTCGGGTGCGGGTGCGGCAGAGCAAGTGCTACGGGATTCGGGGGAGTTGTCCCGGGTTCGGCTGATTTGGGATAGTGGTGTTGGCATGCAGATTCGGACCGGGGAGTTTATACAGCTTGCGGTGGAACAGTGGTCGTTTGGGCCTTTTGGTAGGGAACGTGGTGATTGGGAGGTGGTGTTTGGGCTTGTGAATGACATGTTGGAGGAGATGGTACGTGATGGTTGGCCTGAGGTGTTTGTCAGCCTTGCTGTCAGGACGAGGTGTACTCCCATGCTCCAGGTGTTGAAGGAGGCGGCTCAGAAACACCCCGGGTTTGCTTCCGCGGTTGACAAGTCCGGTACACTTGGAGGGTCAAATATATCAGCAGAATAGCTCATGTTTCTCTTTTACAGCGGTAGGGTTTGTTAGACGGGACAACTTCGACATTTTTGGGCTCAACTTCACATTCAACTCTGAGCTGTCCAAGCAAATATGCCATAAATAAATAAAGCTTGTTTCTTGAAAGAAACTCGATATAGGAATTAAACAAAAAGATCACGTCCAAGCCCTATTCCCGTCCGGAAGAACAGAGGTTGGAAGTTACGAAAATCTTCTGGTGAAGATTTTACTTCGCTGGCCCCGGGAATCGAACCCGGAGCCATTTCGATTTACGACGGTAGTGGCGGGGCCAGTGCTCCTCCCAATGCCGCTGAGCTAAACCATTGTTTTGCTTTAATTGGGAGGAGCTGGTGGTTGTGGGAGTTGGCGGGCGGTCTATGAAGGGAGGACGGGGAAGGTGCGGGCAGGAACGCCTGCATTGTTGGGGTTAGGGCTGCATATGTAAGTATGAGCGGTGCAGTGGCTGGCTCAGTAAAAAAGATTGTCTCAAGCTATCTCCGAGACAGTTTCACCTCGCTTGCCGGTGTTGACAAGATCGGCAGCCAGGTCTGGTGTCCCACACGCCACACAGAACAAAACACCAGTTGGTCAAGACACTTTGAGACCCGAAAACATAATGCCCCTCTTTGAACGCAACTTCTGAGTTTACAAGTTAATTAATTATTTGTAATTAATTATTGTTTGGCGTGGTCGGTTGGGTCTTGGGGCGCTCAACAACCACAATTGAATTGACAATTGGGAATACGATCTACAAATTGTCGGCTTTGCTTTTTTCTATCTTCAGAAGCGTGCTATCCGACGATCTCACTCCGTTCAGAACGGTGGAGGAGATCTGGGCCACGTCGCACACGGTGCACCATCTGGTATATAACCAACCCTCACGATCCTCTTGTCGTTCCAGTCCCGTTGCCACTTCCTCTTTCCCACTTTGTCTTCTCAATGTTTTGGAACGGGCGACTCAAGACTGGGTGCTTCCGGCACTTAACAAAATTATTGGCATTGAAAAGTTCCCCCCGTCTATTAATAAACCTCTTGTGGGCTCGATACCAAATACGCTCGTTGTCCTTGCCATCAATAGCCCCTTTCAAAAGTTACAATTATTTACCACACCGTCTTTCACTTTCATTACCCTGGCAGTCCTCAAAAAAACAAAAAATCGAACCTAAATTAATATCGCCTCAATCCGACAGCTCCGTTACCAACCACTTGCTATCTATTAACAAACACGCCAGCAAGACAACACAACACCAACAACTCAGAAATCAACAACTCGCAGCCATGGAGACTCCCCACGCCCGCTGCCTCGACTCCTCCACTTACGACACCACCTTCGACGGCTTCTGCGCCCCGACAATCCCCGTGCTCGTCCACCGTGATGCCCGGTTGGCCGACCGCGGCGCCTTCCGCGCTCAGCGGGACTGGCAACACATCTGTGACGCCGGACTGCCGCAGGGGTTTTCCGGCATCTCCGGGCCAGAGCACAATTACGTGGCGACCGCGATGCCGGGCGTGTTGCCGGAGCGCATCGAGCTTGTGTCGTATATGGTGGAGCTAATGTTTATTGGCGACGACGTGGTTAACGAGGCGGAGTCGCCCGCGGCTGTGGCGGGGCCGATGATGATGGGGCTTTTGGCCGCGTTGCGGGCAGCGCGGAGGGCCACGGAGAACGGGAATCGGGAGAGTGTGTCGGCTTCAGCGTCACCGGCTGAGAGGGTGTGGACTTCAGTGGCTACCGCATTATTTGAGATGGACCGGCCCCGGGCTGAGGAATTGGCAAGGTGGTTTGAGAAGATGGTTACAGTATTGGTGACGCAGTTCGATGATGAGAAGCATTTTGAGAACGTGGAGCAGTATCTTGAATATCGGCGGATGAACATGGCCTCCCAGTATGTTTTCTTTTCTCTTCCTTTCTCTCACTTTTCTTTTTTTCTTTGTGTATTTTAATGCACAAATTTCTCGCGGACAAGTTCGGCTAACCCACCTGCAGGTTTTCGTTCGGGTTGGTTTTGTTTGGTATAGCAGCCGATATCCCCAAAGACCAGCAGGAAGTCTGCTTCGAGCTCACGCAGGCCTTCTGGATGCAAACTTGCCTCGTGAACGACAGCCACTCGTGGGGGCGTGAGCGGGATGCTGCAGCGGCAGCTGGCCAGAAATGGGTGAGCAACGCCATTTGGGTGCTCATAAACAAGCACTCGATGACCCACGAAGCTGCCCAGGCGTTCTGCCGCCGGAAAGCCAGCAAATACGCTGCGGAATATGAGCGAACAGTTGCGCAAGCCATGGACAGAGACGACCTCTGCCGCGACGCCAAGCGCCTACTCGACAATTTCAGGCTCGGCATGACCGGGAACGTGATCTGGGGTCTGCAGTGCCCTCGATACCAGAAGCGCCGGAAGTTAACCGAGGATCAGCTCCAGATGAAGGAGGAAATCATGGGAGAGACGGAAACCTTCGGCTGGACTCGTGACCAGATCGTCGGTGTTGATGATCAACCCGAGATCCCCCCCTTCCCCTTCTCCGACACGCTCCCCAAACGCAGCTCATGCATAAACGGCCCGCCAAACGACATGCTAACCAACGGTTCCGCTGTCCCTGCAACCCGTACCAAGAAACCACTCACCTCAAACGCCGGCATCGTGCGAGATGTCCCTGCTCTCAATATCCAGATCCTCACCGCCCCATCACAGTATCTCGACTCCCTGCCCGGGAAAGGCATCCGCGACAAAACCATCGGCGCCCTGAACACTTTCTACCAGGTCTCTCCGCAACAACAAGCGACGATATCCAGAGTCATCGATCTCCTGCATGGCGCCTCGCTGTTGCTTGACGACATCCACGACTCGTCCCAGCTCCGCCGGGGCAAGCCGGCGACCCACCGGGTGTTTGGGGTCATGCAGACCATCAACACAGCGGGGTATCGATTCTTGGACGCTTTGAAGGAGGTGTTGAAGCTTGATAACGAACGGTGTATGGACATTTTCTGCGGTACGTTTCATTGTATTGTAATTGGAGATTTGCATCGGACCACAGATCGTAGTGCTAACCAACGGATGTATTTCCAATGAAATGAACAGAGGAACTTGAAAACCTGTATCTCGGACAGAGCCATGATGTGTCGTGGACGTCGACTCTGGAGTGTCCGAGCGAGGAGGAATATCTCTCCATGGTGGACGGCAGTGAGTTTACGTCCTTTTTTTCTACCCGTTTTGACCCTGTTCCATCTCGGTAACCCGCCGTGGAATGTCCACCATATTAATGCACTTGCCGCCAGAAACATCGGCACTTTTCAGAATGTCGGTCGCCATGTTGGATGCCCTGTCAGATCATCCCCAAAAGCCAGACATCGCCCAGCTCAATCGCTTCATGAACCTGCTAGGGCGCATGTTCCAGATCCGTGATGACTACATGAACCTCACTTCAGCCGAGGTAAGTTTTCCTCTCCACAATGGTCAATAGACTCGGAGACCGAAGCCTAACATAATTCACCAGTACACCAAGCAAAAAGGCTTTTGCGAGGACCTCGACGAGGGGAAATTCTCGTTGCCCCTCATCCACGCCCTAGGACGCTGCGAAGACGCGGGGGGTATGGGCCTCAGGCCCCAGGACAAAGCCCGCGCGTCCATGATCCGCAATCTCCTCGCCCAGCGTCTCGTGGCCGGAAAGATGACGCTGGATCAGAAGAAGCTGGTACTAGAACAGCTCAAGGCACAGGGGAGTTTGGAGTACACCCGCCGGGCGATCGATGCACTGCACCAGGAGCTGGGCCTTTTGGCTCAACAAACGGGGTTGGATAAGATTGAGGAGTTGATGTTGGTTTTGGCTGTTTTGAAGGTGTAATTAACCCGTGGGCTTATGGTACGCTGGTTCATGGCATGAATTGTGGGGGCGGCATCACATTCCTATTCCTACAACCCCTAGTCGCAAGATCCGAGATCATTCAACTTTCAACTTATGATCACAAGCTCGCCTTCATTACACCTCTACCGTACCTAAAATACATAAACGCAACGCAGAGTTGACTCAAAGGATCGTATAGTTCTCGGCGTCCTGCGCTGTCCAGCGGCGAATCTTGTTTCATTCCGTCCAAGACGGCATCCCTTCAAGCTGCGACGGGGTATCTGTGGATAGAATGCACCACCGGAGAGGCCCAGAAACCAATGAAATGATCGTCGGGGTGGTGCCTTTGTTGCTGCCCTCAGAGGTATACCCAAGGCCAACAATGGAGAGGACTAAGCGATAGAACTTATCATCGTCTCTGGTCCCGGTGAGCGAGAAAACCTCATTTTGAAGCCTCTTTGTCGCGTTTGGGCGAAGATTCATCATAATCTCTGTTTTCTCTCGCACCCCAGAGATGAAATCTGGAGGGATTCGAGCCTCCAAGTTGAAGCTGACGAGGGAGAGTACCGCAGGTTTGGGTTTTCCGCTGTCAGGAAGTATCGCTAGGATACGGTAGTCGTTGGCCCAAATAGGACCCCGGACCAAGACTTCATGTAAGAACACGTCGCGCTCGTCAATGTCGAGAGCGCCAGTGATGTTGTAAGCGTCGTAGACCCCAGGGAACCCCTTCAACCAAACGGCGACAATGACAACATTATTGACGTGCTCCCCAATATACCAGTCTCGCTTTTTGAGAGCAGCAGCCCAATTGGTGAACATCGAAATAAATGGCCCTGCTCGTCTAATCTATTTAAGGTGGTCACGGCATGCCTGGGCGCCTTGAGGGGTGGTTTGGATCACGAGCCACCATGTTGCCATGCTAGAATGTGGAATTTTGCAGCTGGTGGTCTCGGACCTCGACTCGAAAGCCGATGTCACAGCGTCGACTGAAGTTGTTGATGTCGAAAGACATTTTGGGCGATTCTGGTGTGAATATCAGGTTTAAATCCGCGCCACCGTAGTTAATGAGACTTCAGTGAACTAAATGAACCGAACGTGAAGTGGCTCAAGTGTTGAAGCCAGTTACGTACGGGATGGGGTATCTGCCTCGAAGCGAAATTCCCGAGGATATGCCGAGAGACTGATTCAAATAAACCAAGCAACCGTATGTCCCTGACGCGTGGACGCAAATGGTTCGCTCCCAAAGAAAATGCGGCTCTCCGCCTGGCAAACGCGACTACCGGCACAAACGGCAACAACATGCTGTGACATAGTTTGAAGATTAAGGAATTTTTACTCTACTGGTCAATTGATATTACTCCTTGATGATTCTTCGGAACAAGCCCTTGGCAAGCTTTCCCATAAATCGGGCAGGGCAAGGGTAGTAAGGCAAACGGAACAGGCCAATCCCAATTCGTTTGTCCAGGCTCTGCGGCTGTATATCGTTAGTTGAGTGCGGGGAAGTCTCCAACGCGCTTGATATCTCCGCTTCAACACGCAGTGCCGTCTTCCATAGCCATCATCCGTTCCATCCTCCAATAGAGCGCACAGCATTGGTTTCGCCCGCCAACAGCATCGGATCGACAGAGCGCTGGCTACAGACACCAACAAGGTCTATATTTTTCAAGTGGCCACGGCAGGGACCTTGGCCTCGTCTCTATTTCCAAGATTCTAAAGGGCACGCGCATCCTCTCCGATCATCACTGTTTTGATTATCGCAAAGTCGTTCACTTCTCCCAAAGCATCGGGGCAAGAGCCCTGTGTCTCCAGCTGCAGAAAAAGCCGGGTTCCTGGCAGAAACGCCGCCGTTCAACCCCTATTCTTCAGTTGAGATTCGATCTCCAACATAAGACGGTCCAAAGAATACCTCCCAGTGAGAATCTGGACGCATAACTCCTCTAATATACCCAACAATTAACCAGGCACAGACTCTGAGCTGTGTCTTCAGTCGATGTGACCACCGCCAACCTGGACGACAAGCCAGCTCGGCCTGATGTGATCAAGGAGTACCCAGCGCGTGGGACTCTCCAGCAATTTCGACTCGCCAGTCTCACAACGTTCACCTGTCATCGTTGCAGCAAAGGTAAGACGTCGAAGTTGGTCGTAACGGAAAACGGTGACTGGGAAAATCTCATATGCAATGGTTGTTACGGTTTCGCTACGAAGGAAGGGATATCCGATGATCGATTGTCAAACCAGGAAGAACTCAAAAAGCCTTAGCATTCTGCAGATTGGCCAAAACAGCATCCTGAAACACGCGATATAGCGGATGGACTTTAGGCATGAGGTTGGGGAGCGGTGACGGAGGTCATGGATCGGAGGGTTGAGGAGTTTATAAAGAGGTATTCGTAGGCGTAGGAAGTGTATAAGGCGATGAGAAAGTTGACGACTTACTTTGAGATAGTGAAGGCCGGGCGGGAGGAGGTGAAGAGGTGATTGGGGAAGTGTTCACTAGGCAGCATGTTGGTAATCTGGCTTAAGGTACAGGTTAGGGCCAGCGAGCTGTGGGTTTATTTGTACGTGATGCTGGTCAACAATTTAGAGTTACACGGGCAGCTCAGTCCTCAATCCGATTTCTGACTCTTAAGAAGAGGAAGTGAGTCGGTGAAGCCAGTTCGGCTGCCGCCGGTAAACCGCTATCTCGGCCTCCTTGTCCGGGTCGAGCAACAGGAAGGGGTAGGCGACTAAGGGGGAGCCGAAGTAGACAAGCATCTATTGCCAGGCACGACGTCGTCCGCACCGTGCGCGGGCTCCAGTTTGGCCAGCGTTTTGCGGATCTGTACACCGAACTGCTCCATCTTGGTGCTACTGTTACAGATGCCGCGCCAGCCTCAAAAGGATAGTCAGAAAAGGCGTGCCAACACAGTACTGCACCATATTGGGATCCATGCCTTGCTGGCAAGACATATCGCTGCTTTGGTCAGCCAGAAATGGCTCCTAGCCAACTTCCACTCACTACTGCAAGCACCGACCTTCCTTTTGACACGCACTTGAGGTGAATGCGTCCAACACCCATGCGGCCGCAAGGCAAAGTTCTTCCGCTCAGCACTGTGACGGGAGAGGTGGAATAGGTAGGAAAGCCAGTAGGGAGGCCTCAGGATTGAACAAATGAAGTATTGGGATTAAATAGCTCTATTGAGAAGTCTTGGCTGGTAGCTAAGCTACATTGTTACGGCTGCTGTCTTTTATGTGCACCCTTGACATGCCTGTCCAAGTTTTCCTTTCACTTTGTGCCTTCTGTGGCGACCTCGCTTCCGCAGCCGGCATCTCTCCAGGGAGAAAAGTACCGCGGTGCACTGGAATCGTGCATCTTTTTGAGGTGTCGGTGTAGACCGGTCTGGAGCTCGAATGCTTGGTTACACTCGCGTATGTTGCACTTGTATGGCCGAGTATGCCTCTTGACATCCTTGCTGATGAAGTGCCTCAGTCTCTCAGTACCTAAGATCAGGGATAAATATGGATGCTTACGTTAAGTCGCGTGGTCTGGGAAACGTGGCAGGACATTCCAAGCAAGAGATGCTCTTGGCCAGCCGGGAGCTTAAATCCTCGAGGCTATTGTTGCTCTTCTGTGGGTGGTGATGATGTTGCTGAAAGATCTGCGCTGACGATGTCTCTTCCTCGAACAGTCCGTCCTGTCCAGCAGGCAAGGTGGTACTTGTTGGCTGGCCCCAGTCATCCTGTGCTAGAGGACCCCCATGCCCGGCCTGGACATCGGACTTACCACGCTGCTCAAATCGCGATCTACGGCATCGGATTAGATAGTGTAGCTGCCCAGACGGAGCTTTGCTTGCTTTATCGTTCTCACGGACTTGTATCGTTCCAAAGCGTCCGATCCCACTTGCTTACAAGGATTTACCGATGATAATATAGCAGCTGATACTCCGTAGTATACGACTGGGAATTAGGGGAACCACGTGGACTGGGTAAAGGTGCAGCTTCACGGAGGACGGATGATTACCTTATCCCTGGCTTTCGACCCTCCTCCGTCTCATCCCCAGTAACTATAACTGGCCAAGGATACATCGTTTCCTTCTATTATTAGCAGCTGTTATAATTATAATAATGGGCATACTATATCCTAAATCACCGGGCATAATAGGTTAGATATCGCTATTTGAACGGAAGACGAAGTCTCAAGTCTGGGATAGATACGGATAAATAGACCCTAGCGCCGTAGGCCAGATGAAGCGCATATCTAGTTTTGACAAGTGTCTGCCATCGCTTCGGGAAGTTTTCGCCGCTTCTATCCCTTTTCCGTGGTCGTTTATACAGTGAGTGCTTTTGATATCCAGAGCCATCTAGCATTTCTTGTACGGATTAATCTAATGTTTGTATCGGTTTCTCCATAAGTACTTGCAAAAGGTGCCTTCCTGCTTGTGGTAAATCATTCGGACATCAGGCATTGTAAATTAATACCAACTACAGGACGCTGACAACCCGAGATTTGGGTTTCCAATGTAACGGTGGGGCGGTTTCTTCTGATCAACCCCGCCTCCCCGCTTAAGATTTAGATACTAAACGAAGTGGAGCCGGCGGTTCGACGACAGGCAAACCCCGCAACCTTAACTTACGACTGCTGTGGCATCAAAGCACAAATAAAGATGGCAGAAGGCATAGGTTTGGCTTCCGGATTGCTTACTCTGGTAGGGTTCACCTTCAAATCCAGCGTCGCGCTTTACCAAACGGTCCAAAATATCCGCCATCATCCGGACACTGTGCAAGATCTCCAACAAGAGCTTGAGGCTTTGCAAGGAGCCCTACGGTCACTTACCGAGACGATCGGTGTCACGGCGGAAGCAGAATTTTCTGCGCTCAATCTCCCTCTGAAGCGATGCGGCACTGCCTGCCATGAGTTCGAACAGAAGCTTCTCAGCTGCGTGTCGAAATCCGGCAGCGCCCTGGAGAACTTCCGAGGCTGGGCTAGGCTACGATATCTGGGTGATGATGTAGACAGCTTTAGGCGGTCGCTGGCGGGATACAAGTCTATTATCCTCATCGCCGTAACCGACGTGACTCTGTAGGTCTTCTTTCTCACCCTACCCTATATATATTCCCGTGTTCCCCAACGTGGCCAACTAACTCCTTGGTCGAAATTCAGACGTAAATCCTCCATCACCAGCAACAAACTGGAGGAGCATAAAGCCATGATCGAGAGCGCCACTGCCAGCCTCGAAGATCGCCTTCAAGTGATTGACGACAAACTTGAGTCGATATTTCAACACACCGTATCAGCGTCCGATACAGACGCCGCCGAGTTACTGCAGATCAAGGAGGACCGTTTGAGCACGCAGAGGTGTCTCCAGATCTGCAACCAACTCTCCGACCACATTGATCAGATCCAAGTCCCACCCATGCGGCGCAATCCCAGCTCTCCGGGCTCGATCGATCCCGGCAGAGTCACCAGCGAAGGTATTCAGGAATGCAAGAACAGGCTCGCCGTAACAGCTGCGATACTGGACAAGAATATGCAAGAGTTGATGGAGAGACTGGTGAAAAAATCGAAAGCAGCCATGTCGAACGAGGAGGAAGCGGAGGAGCTTGCCAAGTTGCAGGCAGACTGGGAGTCGGCTCGCGAATGCATTGAGATCTGCTCCAAGGCGGACGCGAATCTGAACGAGAACATCAGCGTCATTGACAACTTTGCTACGGGCGATGATGCTGTCCAGTTCCTGGTCTCAACGGATGGCAAGACGATACACGCTAAGAACAGAGGATACGGAATGCGACCGAGGCAACTTGGGGGTCACCTCAGCGATGAATCCCTTCAGCAGGTATCACGCGATATGTCCCTTGTTGCTTTTCACAATGCCGTGAATGGCAGATCACCCATGCAAGACGATTTACGCCAGGTTTCGGATGAGGTGGTGAACCGGTCTAGCTTCGGCTTCCAGGAACGCCATGGCCGGGGTATCAAGCTCGAGTCTACTGCAAATCCAGTCATATCTTCGAAAGGGGCAGCTGGGGGTGAGGGAAGTAGGCAAAATCCGAGCGCTATGTAGCGCGACTTGATGTAGCGTCACAGCTAGCTCAACTGAGTCTCGTGCCGCAAATGGCTTCATTTGTTCGTCTATATAAGAGATAGTGATATCATATTTGTCGCAAAGGCTCATATGCGGCCGCAAGTAGGAAAATGGAGGATTAGCGGATACCGTACACGATCCGAATAACCTTGGCGGAGCGGAACTTGATGAGGTTGCTCCCAGCCTGGATGCCGCGATGTTCCCAGCATGATCCCAGCGGTAGCCGCAACAACGCCACCCGACATGGGCCTTCATGTTCATCTCTCTTCTGTGACAGCGTGTATATGTTCTCCATCTTTCCTCTCCGTTTCGCTTATCAGAACTTTGATTTGTTCTATGCTACAAATCACGCAGAATGTCGAATCCAATCAGCAAAACAGAGCGGCAGCGGTTGGAGGAGGAGAGAGATGTCACCCTGGCTTGCCTGGCCATCTGCGAAGCTGCGCGCGCTAGAGCTGATCACGCTCTCAAGGATATTACCAAAGAGACCAAAGAGACCGAAGAGACCGAAGAGACCGAAGAGACCGAAGAGACCGAAGAGACCGAAGAGCGTCAAAAGAGCATTTCCAGGGACGACACACGTGCCGTCTCAAGCCTCTCGGACCTGATCGGGAACGGTCGTTGGCAACCAAACCGACAACCTCAATCCGACACGCCTTTCAGCACTGGCAGCAAGGTAGACATAGATACCATCAGTCCGTCACAGCACACCAGTCTCTGTCATCGACAGCGAGAAACCCAATCCTGCACTAGAGAGCTGAACGAAATGGGAGGCCGTATGGAGAGCTGCGGGAATTCTGTTGCGGGACTCCAAGGAAAATTTCATGAGTCGTTCGTTATGGTGGAAAATTCTGGTGATGAAAAGATGGGGGGCAAATTAAGAATCTAGCAGCGTATTAGTCTCTGAGCGAGCCGGACGGATGCAAGAGGTGGCAACGACTCGCATTCCCTACATTGAGGTCTGCCTATAAAGATTTCTATTTTGCCATGATTGAGGTATTCGGGTGGATGGATGGACGGATGTTATTTCGCCCGCAGGCGTTAACTCACCTGCACGAACCGGAATCTAACGTGACTCTTCGATCGAAACCCACTGTTTCCGCACCCCCTTTTCGAAAGGGCGGGGTCAACCCCACGTCGCTTATTTCCGCTCTGACTCCACGACACAGCCGGGATACACGAACTTGATTGCACTTCCCTGTTCTGTATTTTTCTGCTGCCCTTCCCGCTCTTCTTTTCTATTGCTATCGTTCGCGTAATGGCAGAAATAATAGGCATATCTTCGGGGCTGGTAGCCTTGGTAGGATTTGCGCTAAAGTCCAGCACCCTGCTCTACGATACGGTCCAGAGCTATCGCAGCCATCCCAAGAACGTACGCGACCTAGTGGATGAGCTCGAAGCACTCGATGTAGTCCTACGGGCGCTATCCGAGACGGTGGAGCAAACCAAGGATACGGATTTCACGGCTCTTAAGTTACCGTTGCTCCGATGCGGAAATGCTTGCAAGGACTTCGGCGAGCTGATCGCGAAATGCTCGTCGCGCTCTGGTGGGTCAAAAACGAGCTTTCGCGACTGGGCGAAGCTGAAGTACATGGGTGACGGTATCGACGAGTTTCGTAGGATGCTGGCTGGGTATAAGTCAACGATAAACATCGCGCTTGCAGACGCGAACCTGTGAGTCATTCAAATCCTCTCCTCGTCCCAATAGTGCTGATACCTGCCCCTCGACTCAGCCGCCAGTCCTCGGTCACCACCGAAGGGCTCGAAGCATACAAAGTTATGATCAAGGATGCTACGACCGATCTTGAAGACCGTCTCCAGAGCATCGACGAAAAACTTGAATCCACGTTCTCACGAGCCGCCAGCGAGTCTGACGAGGAGGCAATCCAAATGCGGCAGATGCAGGAGGAGCGGTCGAGCACGCAGCAAGGCCTCGCAATTTGCGCTCAGTTATCCGCTCATATCTCCCGGATCCAGCCCCTATTAGCGGCCGATCATAGTCAGCGCTCCACTGATGCACACGCGATACCTCCTGCTGTAGCCGAGCGTATCACCAGAGAAGGTCTAGAAGAATGCCAAGACACTCTTAGCAATACGGCGAAGCGACTGGAAAAGCACTTGCAGAGCATAATGGATCGGCTCATGGCGAAGTCCAAGATGGCTCTATCGTCATCCCAGGATGCAGCTGATCTCGGAAGGCTGCAGGAGGAATGGGATACGGCGCGGCTTTGTCTGGACATTTGTTCCAAGGCCAACGAAAATGTGACAAAAGTAACAATCAATGTTTTCGAGAACATTAAGGGGGACGAAGACATACTTCAGTTCTTCGCTTCTGCGACCGGGAAGATCGTACATGCTAAGAACATAACGCTCGGGCAGAGGGGCGTGCAATTTGGGGGGCAGCTCAGCGATGCTTCGATCCAACAAATTTCGCAAGACTTTTCTCGCACTGCGTACATCGCGCCGATGGATCCTGCGCCAGAAATGGCCACTCCTGCGGATAGGGCTGGCATCTCAGTGTTCCGCGATCGTTACGGGCCAGGGTTTAAGCTTAGCCCACAAGACGGCGCTTTGTCGTCATCGGCAGGGCAGCAGGAACAATGAGTGGTGGGAGGCTCGGCCAATCGTCAAATTGAGGGGTTGGTCACCGTTTTGAAAGTTGTTTACAGCTGAACCCTTGTTCCTAGTCGTCCAGAATTGAGCAAGATTCGTCACCGCTGATCCTCAGAAGGTTTGCAAGTAGGTTTCGGCCATCTGAGGCTGTGTAAAGTGCGCCAGCAAAGTCATGGCTAAGGAAGATCGGCCTGCAGTGTGGCAAAGGACAGCTCATGGGCAAGTGTAATGTCAAACACACTAGCTGCCCCTTCATAAGTGACTCTCTTGCGTGTCCATCCTTCGTTGCATAGGCGTTGATCGCTCTCTGAGACCTGTACGACGTCGAGCAAGGTGGGCTTGGGCTTGGGCCTCCCCTCCGTCGCACTTGGCGCGACACCAACGAGGTGCCGCGCCAAGTGCGACGGAGAAGAGAGCGCGGGTGGCATCACGGAATCGGAACGGCGGAGGGCAGCTCTCGACGATATAGCGTGTCGGCGCCCTGTCACTAAGGAGGCGCTTTTTTTACGCACTTTAGTCAGCACATCATGCAAATCTTGGTCTGAATAAGGCATTTTGGGTGGTTGGATCTACTAGTAAACTTTGGAGCGTTTTTCGGAGATTTGGGTGGTCTTTTTATACTACATGTGACTTAGTAGCTGATGCAACTGCAACTTTTTTATATCGTCGGCTCTCGGACCGGTCAGGTGAGGAACCCGCCGACTTAATAGTTAATGTAATAGAGTAATAGTGTGGAACTCTTCTATGTTGGATGCTGGCTATAGTTTATCTATGCAGGTAAGATGGTTTGGTTCGAGGGGCTAGGGGATCGCCATCTATAAGAGACAGCTAATTATTGGAAACTGAAATACGCTAGCGGATCGGTCAAATGGAAACCGTTTGAGGGTGTTTCACACTGTACCAGGCTATTAAGTGTCAGAGCAGAGGTAGTAGCGTAGAGACCTTAATGGGGGGCGGTGGGGTTGGAGGTGGGGGGTTAATGACTGCTGGGGTGTTCGAAATATACAAACATAACATAACGACTTGTGCTTTGGTTTCCGCGATTAGGGAAACTGTGGTTGAATGGGCCAGGGCAACTTGATAGCATGGACTCGGACTGACGCTGTTTTGCATACGGACTACTTCCTACCCCTAACCTCCAACCAATCCCACACGATCCTTCCATCCAACTAGGTCTACCCACACTCGCCACACTGCTCCTAGACAGGAATACATGCATCGGCTCGGCGAGATATCTACCGTGTCACCCTTTCCTCCTAACCCTTCTGAGTGTTCCTTCCTCACGCCTCCATGTTCTCGTCCCCGCTCACTTCCTCTCCTTGTCCGCCTCGCGCTTGGTACTGGGCCAGCCGGGCCAGCCGCCGTTGCCGCCGCCGGGAAGATGCGCAATCGGGCCATCAGGGTTCATGACGCCGCCATCCTCGGTCCAGAATGCAGCCGGGCTGACGGGCTTGTCGGCGGTCTGGTCGATGCCGAAGCGGATCCAGGCGAAGAGACCGGCAGAGAAGTCGCCGTCGCCCTCGGGGTCGGCCGCGGGGTTAACGAAAGCGTAGCGCACGATCGGGTCATCGCCGTTAGCGCCCTGGCGGAAGAGGAAATCGTCGACGTTCGCGGTCACACCCATGGTGTTGGTGCTGTAGGGGGCCACGGTGTTGGCCGAGGTAATGAGGTTCTGGTCGAAGTAGAGCTGGCCGACATGGGCCGCACGGCCGCCGGTGATGGTGTTGTTCTCCGCCTTCTCCGCTCCGAGGTAAACGATGGCTAATGGCATGCTCTGTTAGACTGACGACTTTCTCTACGGGGGGCAGCAGTGAGCGTAAACGACCTACCGTGGATATGGGTGGCACGTCCCTCGTAGTGTCCCGGGAAGAGCGAGTCGAACGAGGCGATACCGTGGTCGTCGGTGGGCTGCACGCCACGGAGGGTGGTACCCTTTAGGATCGAGGCATCGTTGGGGTCGCCCATGCCGGGGTAGCCCTGCACGCCGACATATATGCCCTAGAAAGAAGCTGTTAGCAACTGGAGCCAAGCATGGGCGGCTGCTGACCCTAATGGCTTACGGTCGAGTTAGAGCTCCAAATGTCGACATAGGCGTCGTTGACCGTCTCGCAGGTCTTGTAGTCGACCACCTGGATAGCCAGGGTCAAGGGGATACCAGCCTCGTCGTTGGTGATATCTTTGCGGATCTCCTCTCCCTTAACGTCTTCAAGCTACTGTCAGCAATTGCGCCCAACACAAACCGTAACTGCCCCCAAACGTGGCCGAGTCCGACTTACACAACGGGCCCTGGTCGACAGCGGGCATCAGGATGCAGGCTCCGGCATCCGAGAAGAGCGAGCCGAGGTCCATATCCGCCGTCACGGTCTTGTTGCTCTTGTGGTTGATCTTGGACACCGAAAGGTAGTCGCGGGGGTGCAGAGATTCCCTGTGAGGCGCAAATCATCAGTTAGTACCCGCTTCACCGTTGTACCCTCCAAGACATCTCATATCGCAATGCGCCGGAAGACACGAGGACCCTTACTTCTGCAGGCTCGCATCCACATCGATGCCACGCGCACGCCGCAGCCGCGCTAGTTCCCGGCCATGGATCTGGACCGTCTTCTTGACAAAGGCGGGCTCGTTGAACTTGGTCGAGCAGTGGGCCAGCGACTTGCGCTCGAGCGGGAGCGCCGAGTGCGCATACACCTCCTCCTTGTGACCCGGGTGAGCGACAGTGGGGGCTGCCAGCAGCAGCATGCCCGCCGCAAGGACGGTGTTCAATAGTGGTGCCATGGTGTTGTGTGTTAAAAATGCTAAGCAAGTCGAAGTGATCGGCTCGTGGGGGAAGGGCGAGCTGTCTAGAGACAAGGAAGCAGGCTACCGCACGCAGATCAACAAGTCTATTAGTTCAACGGGGGTAGGTCAAGAATAAATAAAAGCAAGGAAGGTGTACCCCCGCTCCTCAACGTCCACCGCTCCGCCGGCGTCTGTTGCCCCTGCCCTATCTTTTGCCCGGGCCGCCTCGCATTCCACGAGATGCCCATCCTTGACGCCGATTCGGCTCTTGCCGACGGATTTTCTGACGAAAAGGCGCAATCCACCCATGGATACCCGGGTCACATCATATCCAACTTCACCCGTCGATAGGGTATTCGGGTGCCAGGCTCGCAGGTCATGGGATAAAAACGGTCGTATTGTCCCCGCGGAACCGGCACCTTCCCGACCGATCGCCTTTGTCCTCCGTCGTACACATCGCGCAGGTTGCACTCTGACCTTCGCATGATGCCTGATTGGCCTTGCACCCCGCGGGAGGCCGTTGCGTTATGTGTGGAGAGTTTAAGTGCCAAGATGCCACGCCTCTGGGGATTAATCTGCGACGGGAGGAAAATAAGTCTCGGCAGGCGAATCGGGTGGTTTGACGAGGAGGATTGCAGATGGGCATGCCGGTTAAAACTAGCCGGATCCGAGCGAATCGCCAGTGCCGTGCCTTGCAACACAATCCGTCAATGGCCCCGGCCTCCGGGCTTCGTCGGCACGCACGCGGGCGATTGTTTGCTGGTTTATCCAAACACATGGGTGGCTGCTGCAGGTGCGATGCTGTTTAGATGAAGCACTTGTCAGTGGGCCTCGGCAGTTGAAAACGAAGGCAACGGCCGAGAAAGCGCGGAGGGTCACGCCCGACAACGTTAATCCTTTGGCCCTATTCTCTTCATTCAAACACGGTGCTGACCACTTTTAAGCTCTTTTCGGCGAGGCTGTGGTCGGCTGTCTGCCGTTCTTAAATGCCGCTGCCATTTCTCCGGCATCCGAGCGGCGTGGAGTGACGAGGCCTCAGACTCGGTGTTATTCCGTCGCGAGGGTCGAAATGACTGCACCGAGTAAAGTTATTGTGTCATTGAGGAAGTAATAAGGAGACGACCCGAGCTATAATTAACCATAAGACCGAGCTTTTTAGGAATCCGAACCTGCAAATTGTTTGCTGACAATTAATAATAATCGGACGGAGAACAACAACCACTTACATCTGTGTGCCCGACTTCGAGTCGCTGTTTCCAAAAATGGCTGCCGTGGACGTCCACTCACTCATGTTGACGGATACGGCAGCGGCGGACGACCATCATACCAACACACCTGGAAGTTACCTAAGCATTATATTTGGTCAAGATATCTATAGACTCATCATTTCGTGTTGTTCCTAATTCCTTTCCCTTTTCTTTTCGTTTGCTCCCTTTCTTTCTGATGTCTTTGGCACTTTGCTGCACATCAGTCTGTGTCTGAGGCATACTCTCACAGGCAAAAATGGCGGATTGGCAGCTCAGCCTCCACGCGCCTTGTTAATGCCAGCATTTCGCCGTTGGCCCTTATTTGGGCCGTGTTGAAGTGCTTTGAGCGATCCGTTGGCCGCGAAGGCTTTGTTTGATGCATCTTGTGACTGTATGGGAGAGGGAGCTGGCCACAGGAACGCTTTGTTGTTCCCGGGCGCACAATTGACTTTTCGTTCCTTATTAAACCCCATTATGCTGCAAAGTGAAAGTTTAAGTTGTCAACTCTCTTTCCCCATTTGATCGAAGCCCACATGGACATCAGAATCACTTGCCAAACGATGAATTTCCCGGTTTCCGTTACTGGGGAGGACTCGCTTAAGCTCCCGATCACAACTAACGACACGGTCTATCTGTACCTCGACATTCCTTGCTCACTGGCACTTAAAAACTTCGATCCGAAGTCGTCTATCGCCTCAACACCGGTCCCGACAGGCCGTCCAGGCTTCCGTTTGCTATGGTGGCTTCGGAAACCTCCAATATCCGACTTGATGACCTACCGATTCACGTCAGGTTATCCCGCTTTTTACGACTTCAGAGACTTGCGGTACAAATTGCAGACAGAGATTTTTGCCGAAGGCACAAAGAGGAGAATCTGGGCCGACCGCGTGAAGACAAACCTTCAATCTTGGGAAGCAGCCGACAAGGTCAGCTTGTTTTGCGTGATGGGATCAGCGATACCCAACCCTAATATCGACTTATCGCCCAACCGAGCCCTGGTTTTGAAGGCTATCGGAAGAACTGCTGACGGATGTGGTTTGGCCTTCACGGCTCGTGAGCTGTCCGAAAAAGAAAGCAACAACTGGATGAAAAAATACGGACGGTGTATCAACATCATAAACAGAATGTTCCCGACCTCTGACACAAAGGACGGGTTAGTGCTCCATCGCGCACCTTACGCGCTATATAGCGTCATGCGTTATGGGAAGCTTTGGCGGACGGCGAGAAGGCTGCGGAAGCAGACATGATTTCGACTTTAGGGTCAGTTGAGGATGTGGGAGATTTCCCGACGGGTGGGTAACCTCGTGAATGGGGGAATGAACCATTGATATCACCACGCGATGGGCATATTATTTCGGCCCGACTGTTTCTTGCCATCTTGATCTGCATTGTCTACCGTTGAGATATGGAGTCACTGAGTCGGCTTTGAACAACAAATAGATACTCCGCCTTTTCATACCTCTACCATTGCATAGCCAAGCCCCAGCAGAGAGGTCAGCGTACCTGTACTCACCGTCAGTGCTATACATTGGATTGGCTATTTTGAAACTGAGGACGCAGAGATTACAAGTCACCATTGCAATGTCAAGGAGATTGTCATGACCCCTGCTTACGGACCCCCCCCCAAAGGATAAATCGCCGGACAAAACGTTCTACCAAACATTGACTAACTAAACGAGAGATCTCCAACTAACAACAGGCATCTGATACTAGTATCCCCTTGGCACCCCTTCTACCATTTCCAACTACGCCTTAGTCTGAGCCAAGACCGCAGCAAACTCCTCCTTAAAACTCGCCCACCAGTCCGCATCCGACTTCTTCGGCACCCAGCCAAGGCTCCGAGCCAATGCAGCATCAGTCACAGCCCTAATAAAACCAGTTAATCACTGCCGTACCAATCGGTAGTCGTTCACCAAATCCAGGAATAAACTCACCTCGACGCAAAGCCCAACTCAGCCAACTGCGCATTCCCCCCAAGAACCTCCGCAAACTCCTCCAACGCCACGCTCACCGGCTCCGCCGTCTTCAGCGCACCCAACTCATACCCAGCCTTACCCACCGCCTCCGCAACCGCCTTGAAACTATGCTTCCCGGCCGCAGAGAAATACAACCCCTTCTCCCCCGTCGGCACCTTCTCCCCAGCGAGTACCTTGCCCAACAACAACTCATACAGCGCGGCCAAATCCTCAATATGCACGTGGTCCCACTCACCCGCACCATTAGGGCCGACATAGAACGCCTGACCGCGGGCGATGGCAGTTTTGGTGAGGATAGGCACCTGGATGGATGCCGTGTTGAACAGCCCTGTGCCGCGGCCATAGACGGTCGCGGACATGATAATGAGGGTGGGGACGTCAAGCGCTAGGCCGGTGGTGGTCACGGTTATGTCGGTGGTGCGCTGGGGGTAGGCTTCGGCCGTTTCGCGGTCGAGGAGGTATTGGTGGATGTTTTCGGTGGCGTCGGAGAAGACGCGGGTGGTGGGTGGGGAGTGGATGTAGCGTTTGGTGATGGGGTGGTCGGCGAGGTTGGAGGTGCCGGAGGTTTGGATGTAGAAGACGGGTTTGCCGCCGGTGGTCTTTTTGCGCTCGGCGAGTCCTTCGATGAGGGCTTTGGCGGAGGCGGCGTGGAAACCGTTGGCGCTGTGGATCACGATGTCGTGCTCGCTGGCGGCTTGCTTGAGGGCTTCGGAGTCGTCGAGATCGTTGAAGACGATCGCGTTGATGCCCTTGGCTTTTAGGATGTCGGCTTGTTCTTGCTTGCGGACGAGGGCGGAGAAGGAGGATTTCTTGATGTCCGGGTTGGAGGATGCGAGGAGCTGGGTGAGGAAGCTACCGCCCATGAAGCCGGTCACACCGGTCAAGAGGATCTTTTGGCCAGACATTTTTATGTTGGTGTTGGGAGTGAGAGGATTTAGTGTAAGAGTAGTAATTTTAAGTGGAAGGTGAGCGTTGGATTTGCGTTGTAAGTGAGTAGTGGATGAAGTAGTGTGTTTTGTGATGCTGAGTTGAACTGTTTGAGGCCGAGGAGAGTGCTCCTCTTATACCCCCAAGCTCCTTAAACGTTTCCAACTCCATGATTCCAGTTTTCTTGCCCACGAGTTGTTCCCGTCGTGTCGAGCTGACAAACTTGGACGTTGTCAAGTGTGAAGATGGACTCTACAAGCGGGGCTTGGCAATTTTTGGCCCGCCTGATTATTGGAGCTAGCCGCGAGCAAGCAACTTTTTGCGAAGGCCAGTCCGAAATAGGAAAGTGGGGCGATGCTGATTCAGAGATTTGATGCCGTTTTAGTGGGCCATTTGCTCTAACGCCCATTAATAATCTGCTGTCTTGAATCGCGACACTGTTTCACCTTTTGATGTGAAGAAAGATTGTATGCTCACCGCGAATAACTTTCACCCGCCGGCGTCTGGATCATTGATCATTTCCGAACGTTCGAAGTCCCACACTCTCCGAGGTGCTTCTTCAACGTCTAGCTGACTAAATGGGCATAACGAACATCGACGCGGTCGGTAGGCGTCTGACGTGCTGAACTGAGTTTTTGTGGGGCCGTCCATGTCTTGACTAGGTAGCTTCGTCGCCATAACGTTACCTCCGTAGAGCCCCAATCAAACTACCAGACGCGCTGGACGGCTGCGGGGTCATCTGATGATCTGACAACATGGTCAAGAGCCCCATCGCGACGGCCTGTCTACGAATCTAAGGTCCGAAGACCGCGAAGTCTGGGTGTGCTTTGGCGAAAATGCTCAACTTCAATTCTATTACCACACTTGATTTCCGAGACAAGCCAGGCAATCAGAAGACACACCGAACAGCACAACGTGGGAAGCACCGCAAGGCGTTGAGCTCGAAGCGGTGTGGGAATTGTCGGAGTAAGTGGCACAACACATGAAGGGTATTAGGGTAACATCATAGAACGTAGAAAATAGCAACCCGTTTGCTAACTTTGATGTTTGTTGCAGCACGGAAAACCGCCTGTGACAGAGCCCAGCCATCATGCACCAATTGCCAACGGCGAGGCGTCGAATGTCCCGGGTACGGTCTCCAGCTCTCCTGGCCTCGCGGAAATGATGGCCGCCGGGCTGCTGAAGGCCATCGGCACCATATCTTACCCTTGCGGTCCAAAAACCTGGAGTTTGTCAATGCCACGGATCGCGATATCGAGGCGTGGGCTGGTAGCCCCCAAGGGCGTTATTTAGGTATGTTCCGTACCCTCGCAGCCTAGTTACGGAAAAGTAAGTGCTAACATTATTAATCTAGAGGAAGGAAAAGCGAAGGCGTTGGGCCCGTTAGTGTCCCAGCTTCTCGGGGGCGTGACACTAGGGCAGATAGACCCCTTTCTGGTCACCAACCGTAAGCTGCAACCTTTTCGATGCCGAGACAAGATGAATGCTGATTACTTGAAGAATACAGCCCCGTAGCCCGTCTCCTGTCTTCGGCCTTAGATGAGGTGCCCGAACTCTACACCTTGTTAGTGCGCATGTCCCTGGCGGATGACACACCCTCAGCATTGGCAGCAAGACATGCCATCGCCGCGCTGTCTTACCAGCACCTTGACCAACATGAGGCAGCGGTCCTTCATCAGACCAAGGCTTTGGGTGCTCTACAGACCGTCATCAACAGCATTACCTCTGGGAACACGGAGAACATGCAAGCCTTCCGGGCCATGGCGGCTAGCATGCTTCTCAACATCTTTGAGGTATGTTCTGTTCAGTGCCCATTCTGGTTTAATACTCGTGTACATTTCGTGCTGGTTCTGATTTAACCTTCTGCAGACCCTAAACTTCGACGCCTCGCCCCTGAGCTGGGCCATGTTCTTTTGCGGCTGCAAAAAGATTGTCAACCTCTTCCATACACCACATACATCTTACGAGGGCGACTCGGCCATGATTCTCGACTGGATATTCTACCACGACACGTTTTATAAGTTCAGCGTGCGGCACTGGTACCCGAAAGAGAAGCAACAAATTCTGCTGGCCCAGCACCGGAAAGTAATCTCCAAGGCTGTGTTCTCACCTCTGCGGCAAATTGTCTGTCCTCCCAACGTTATGCTACCCTGACCCCATACCCAAACCTCTCACCCCTAACTAACATATTCTCGTCTCCGTCTTTTAGATTCTTCCGTCGACAGGTTGCTCCCTCGAACTCCTCGATCTCATCTGCCAAACAGTCGACGCCGTCCTTGAGCGCGACGACCCTCAGCACCTCTCGCCTTCACACCTCCAGGCCATCCGCCGGCTCGAGCTCCGCCTTGAAGCCCTCATCCAAACCCCCCGCATCACCACTGTCACCTCATCCAACACCCCCGAAAACACCAGCGATCTAACCGAGACCCAAATCCAAACCCAACCCCACACTCAGCCCGAAACCGATCCCTCAGCCACGGCAACAACAGTACCGACCCATGAACAAGAAACCAACCTCGCCGAACTATACCGTCTCGCAACGCACATCTACCTCCTCCGCATGGCCCGCGCCCTTCCCCCCACCCACCCCCTCATCACACCCCTAGTCTCCCGCGCTCTGACCCTCCTCCGACACCCATCCATACAAAACCACGGCTGTGCCCGCCCCTGGCCGCTCTTCATCATAGCTCTCGAGGTCGGCGCTGCATCACAGCATCAAACCGAAAACGGAAGTGAGGACGCTCGGAGCGTGGCGAGCGGTGCGATAGAGGCTGCGAGAAGGAGACGACCGTTGGGGAATTTTGTGTTGATGAGACGGTTGGTGCATGCTGCGTGGGTGCAGATGGATCTTGGTCTTGGTGGGGATGATAAAGGGGGAGAGGATCTGAAGAGGGTGTATGATATTGTTGTTAGTGGGGTGAGGGTGCCGCCTTCTTTTACGTGAGTGACGGGCGAGATAGATATCACGGCACCGTCGAAGACCGGCACGGAGATATTTACAGGACGGCGTTCTTCGGCAGTCGGGTTATGTCAGGCTGGGCCCTGAAGTGTGGCTTGGATTCTCCCTTGCTCGCTCTCACCGGTGATTCTAGAGTAATTCGTCGAAACGCATGACAGTTTCTTAGTCTTCTTCACTTGGTCCGTCTATTCAACAGTACCTCAAGCAACGCAAAATGGTACGCAGGCAAATCTCCAGCCCAGCTCCAGACCAACGCTTTCATCCCAAATCCCCCCCACCGATTCCGCACCTTCCCTCCCAACTCCAACCACACCATATACACCCCCTTCCCACACTCCCAGTCACCAGCTCCTCCCAATGTGCCAAACAGCGTGTTTGGCCCAGCGGTATTGGGAGGAGCACCACGCCACTACCGTCGTAAATCGAAGTGGCCCGGGGTTCGATTCCCGGGGCCAGCGAAGAAAAATTCTTTCACCGGAAAGAGTTTTCGTGTCCACCAACCGCTATCCCTCCGGATGGGGATAAGCGCTTGGTGGTGAGCTTTTTGTGCTTTTCTTTTGATAACTTCCACCCTCCATGAGTCAATTGTATTACACCTAGTACGATCGTGCTGCTAAAGACAGGGAAGAAAACGAAGCAGATGCCAAAGAACACAGATGCAGTGAGGTATTCTTATCAACCAAAACCGAATAGACTCGCTTGCATCGATCTCGTGGTATATTTTTCGTTTTTCCACGCCGAGATCAACAATTAATCAACGTTATGCAGCTATTTGCCGAGGCTATAAGGTTAACCCACGCATTACTAGCCAAGCAAACCGGAATGGGAGCCAAAATGAAACTGTAACAGGATACAATGGTCTTCATTTGCTTCAGCAAAGGAGGTTTGCGATAGAAACGTGAACACAACCAACAATCACATGAAACATGCCCGGCACAACGATGTGCCTCATATGTGGATGCACTGTACAGTATCCAAGATAAAACAAAAAGAAATCCAAAAATGACCAAAAATACCCTCAAAAGCACACTGTGACAGAAAGAAATATCCAAAAGACCAACCAAGAGGAACCCTCCATGAAGATCTCAGCCCAACAACGGTCCCAGAGCCTTCAAAAGCCCCTCATCAAGCGCGCGTTGATCACCCGGCATAGCCGCATTGACCAAAAGCCGTGGCTTCTTAGTAACCGGGTCGCGGCCGACCACGGAGGCCAAATCGGCAGAGCATTGAGTAACCAAGAAACGGCACAACTTTGCCTGGCCCCGACGAGCCGCGATCAGAAGCGGTGTGTCAAAGAACACATGCTGGTCCTTTTCCCGGTCATCCACACGGCCGCTCAAGTCGAGCCCAAACTCGCGCTGCAGAGCGCGCAAGGTATCGATGAGGTCGGCCTCGGCGTCGCCCATCGAGTTGAAGAGGGCTACTACAATGGGGGTATCACCTTCGTCGTTGCGTAGGTTCAGGCCCTCGGGCCAGGCGCGGTGGAGTACGCGCAGGAGGTCCAGCGCGCCGCATCCCTTGCGCGCCCACTGGTGGAAGACGGTCGCGTGCCGGGAGTTGCGATGGTACAAGTGTGGTGTGGTTGCAGGTTGCAGGTTGAGGAGGAACTGGACTACGTCGGTGTGGCCTTCCCAGGCGGCGAGGCCGATGGACTGGTGCTCAATGAAATACCCACGGGGACTGGGCGCCGCTATCTTCGTTTTCTGTTGAGTGGTGCTGCCCGCATTGGTGCCGATCGCTGGGGACAGTGTGGATCCAGGGGTCGGAATCGCGAGGAGGGCCGTCTTCAGGGCTGGGTCCTGGGCAGCCGCGCGGAAGAGCACCCGGATGAGCGGCAGACAGCCGTGGTGGGCCGCGTCGCAGAGTATGGCGTTACCCGACCGCAGCAAGACGGCGCGCTGCTGCTGGACGGTGAGCGAGAAGACGGCGTCCCAGTCGGCGACAGTTCTCTCGCGGGCCCGCCATTCCTGCCCGTAGCGGGCCACGTACGGGAGGAACGCAGAGTGGTTGAACTGGGCCGCGACCCGGGGATTGTGGAGGAAGTTGAGCAGGAGCGCCGGCTTGTTGTCAGCTGTGATTTTGATGAGTGCGTCCCAGAGCGTGTCCTCGTTGAAGTCCGGGGGCCCAAGGAAGGACGATGGGGTTAGCGGTGATGGTATGGATGACGCCGGCGATGACGACGACAATGACGGCGAGGACAACGGTGAAGACGACCAGGATGCGTCATCTTGCAACAGATCCAGGGCGGAAGCTGGGGGCCCAAACAAGACGGCCAGGGAGAGCGCGTCGAGGGTGTCGACGAGAGGCACCCGTGACGGATCCTGCTGCACCGTGCAGCCGGGACGGTTCCACTGGAAGACCCAGTTACGGAGCCGAAGCGACTCCGGACGGCACAGGGCCATCAAAGCTCGCGGGTCAGGTCGAGGACCTCTCTCTGCCGCGGTTATCGCGGGCGATGTGTTTGGCGTCTTTGCCGCGTCTGCGTCGTCTGCCCCCAGATCGGCGAAGTGGCTGGTCCAGAGGCACGCCGCATAGGCAAAAAGCGGGCCGAGCCCCAGCCCGTTCGGATCGAACGTCCGTATGGGCCCAGCCCCGGAGTCTGAACTGGTGTCTTCCTCCTCATCGTCCGGGCCGTCGTCGAACAAGTCACCTCCGAGGTGGAGTAGGCCAGGGGTAACTTCCTCGGCTCGGGCCTTCGCAGCGAGATCTATGGCACCGCAGTTGTCCAGAAGTAGGTACCGAATGCAAATATCGAGGAGGCTGGCTCGTAGGGTCGAGGGCCGCTGATGCCGTACCTGCCATGACGGGCTGATGCTGGAGCCCAGCGGGTCGAGGGATGACGACCACCGTTCAGGGGCCTCCAAGAAGAGGAGTTCTCGGAGAGACTGGTGCACGAGACGGAAGCGTACCGCATCGGCGGTTTTGTTGAAGTTATTAGGGCTACCTGTGACGATAGCACCCGGCTTTGGTGTTGGCTGCACGGCCGTGACAAACGGCTGGATCAGCCGGGCCAGCACCGTCGCATGGCGGTCGGACTGTTTGAGGAGCCCCTCCATGCCGGTCACCGCGACCGAGCTGCCATGTTCGCCGCCGGTGGCAAGGCGGAGCGTCACGGCCGCAGCGAGTTCTGAGATGTTGAGAGCCCGTTTCGCGACCGCCAGGATCTCCAGCGCAGCCTGGAGCCTTAAGCGATTGACCTTCACGCCCCTGTGGGCCTGCGCGAACAGGCCGGCGTACAGATCGGTGAGGCCCCGGGTCCCGTCGAGAAGCTCCTGGAGGGCGTCACGCACCCCCGACACAGTGGTTCCGGCTTCCTGCAGATAGGCCACCGCGATGCGAAGCCAGATAGCGGACCCCTGGGCAAGCTCGGAAACCACGGATATGACCTCTCGGCCTAGCTCGGGCGGCATGTCGCTCCGTGACACGAGATATTCCGCAACCGCCCGATCCCGCTCCACTGACGGTCGGAACGCGATTGTTGCCGCCCCGAGTCCCAAGCTGCCCAGCAGCTCGGCGCCGCTGGACTCGGGCCGTGCACTGAGGAACACTCCGATACGGCTCTTCCCCGCTTCCTCCTGTTCTCCTTGCCCCTCGCGTTCTCGTTCCCCGTCGAGCATACCCTTCAAGAATTCCAACAGCTCGTACTGGTTGGCGTACGTGCACTCGTCGAGGCCATCAATCACCAGGACCACGCGGCTGGGCGACGCACGGATCGCGATCGCCAGGAATTCCTTCAGGCTCCTATTATTCTGCATCAACGCTGCGCCGCGAGACCCCTGATTCTGGTACCATTGAAAAAACCGATACTTCAGCGTTGGTTCCTTCTCCAGCAGCTGCGACAACAAGCTCCGCAAGATGGTGGTGAGCTCGGCCTCAGGGCTTCCGTACCGACAAAAGTGCCGGCAGATACTGGTCCCCGCCTCCTGTGATAACACCTGGCTGACGTACGCCGATACCACACTTTTGCCGCAACCCATACCACCCACGACGAGCAATGCACGGGGTGACGGGGATCGGCCCCCCTCAAGGGACACAGTGTCGTCCGATGTGGCGAAGCGCGAAGCCCAGCCCTGAAACGCCGGTTCTGATCGGATCCACGAGCATGCTTCGTCCGAGTAGCTGCCATGCAACTCCGTCGAGGGCGTATAGTAGTCATTGCCGAGCTGTGCTTGAACTAATTAAGGGGAAAGGGCGAGAGGTGCTTGTCAGCAAAGTAATTCCGGAAATGACGGGATTCCTGTTTCTTTTCCCTTCTGTCCTTTTCCCTTTTTTTTTCTTTGCGGGTTTTCTTCTTTCTTCTTGCCTTTTTCTTTTCTATTTTGTCTTTTTTTTTCCCTTTCTTTTCTTTTCGGGTTTTTGTCTTTCTTCTTTCCTAGTTCTTTCTTGTTCGGGAGATGGGGTTCTGGGGGGCAGCTTACATAATTGGTTTACCTCGATCCCTTTGACCGCCGAGTACAGGTCGATCTGCAGGATGAGGTCGAGAGTATCCGCGTGGCGTTGGAACTCCGTTATATGAGATTCAAACTCGGCGTTGAGCATCCGCGCCACGACTAGGAACCCGTTCCTGGACCCAGTGACCACCTTGACGCCCTCGAGGTAACAGGATAACAGTGCTTTGTACATATTGGTTAAGACCTGTTTTGCGCCGCAGGAAGCCACATTAGCGTTGGGCTCAAGACCAGAACACAGCCAAGCGAAGTCTTGGTTGGGCCACCCATTGCCAACCGCGCAGGTCACATGAAGGGTGAGAGAGTGGAGGCAATCTTACGGTTTCAACATCGGAGGAAACGGCATTCAGCTTGTCGCAACGTCCCATGGCTGGGACGAACGCCACTAGACGTTCCATGTACTCAGGGACCTTATCACAGACACCGCTGGCGGCCACGGCAATCTGGATGTAAACTACGCTTAGTATCATTCTTCCCAGCGTCGACGGGGGCAACTGCTACTCACCGACAATACACTCTTCACGATCCCGACCGCAGTGCCCGCTGTGGGATCCATCCCGGTAAACGGGCTGGCCCAGTCGATGATGCCCACAACGTTCTTCAGATACGGCCCGGCAACATGGAGGCCCTTCAGGATGACCGAATTCTCCCGCTGCTGCTTGTCCTTTTCTAGCATTTGCTGAAACTGAACCATAAGGTTGGATCCTGGAGCCAACTGCTGTTTTTGTTTCTCATCCAACGCCTCCCACGCCCGGCGATATGCTGGCCCAGACACGACCGGTTCCGAACCCGGGAGTGGGCGGACCGGCCTTGTCGGGGTTTCACGACGCCCATGTTGCTCATCCCCGTCGCGGCGGCTGTCCCCTTCGCGGAGGCTCCCCCCCTCGCGGCGGCTCTCCCCCGCTGGCTGGTTGCCCGGACCGCCCTGAGTGATGCCGTTCTCCGCCGTGGATCCCCGGGCCGGCTGCCCGCCGTCCGAAGATACAACGGTTACATGTGAAACTGATGGCTTCGGGGACGGCCTTCCGGATGGACTTGGGGACGGCTTTCGGGACAGACTTTTCCAGAAACGGTCCCTCAGTCGACCCATTCTCGTCGTCTAGAACGAATGTCGTCTTTATTCGTCCTTGAAAAAACGGGGGAAAAAAAGAAAAAAGAAAAAAGCCGAAACTCGGAAATAGGAGACACCGGAATGAAAAGCGGACGGAAAAACAATGAAAGGATATTGAAAAAGACGAAAAGGAAGAAAACCGCTATGCTTGATGAGGGTGTGGTCGTGAAAGTCACAGAAACGGGCTGAACAACGCCATGCCAAACGGTCGTGTAGTGTGTACGAAGCGATCGCGAAGCTGCAATCACCCGCCTTCTCTGGTCCCAAGCAAAGTCGAGGAAACCAGAGAATGCAACCAAGGAGGGACGTTGAGCGGTTTTGGGCTCCCCATATTGGAGACTGGGGCACAAGGCTCTCGCTTCCAACTGCTCTTATGGTAGCTTTGTTGAACTGTTTCACGCAGCTTCGCATCCTCGAAACAGACGGGCTTCTCGTGATTCGCTCCTGCCGTTCCTTCAAACAGGCGCAGACATGCACCACCCCCTCATGGGCCATGTCGTTTTGGCCAATCGCACCTTCCCGCCCCCAGGCGTCCCGTCCCGGACCTCCCCTAAAGTAGTTCCGCCGCATGCAAAGCCGCGCACATCTGCACGACCGGCGCTTGCGCACCCACTGGTCGGCATCGGGAGCGCGCGGTTCAGGGGGCTGAAACGGGGAATAAAATGACCGTTGTGACTTGTCGCTTTCCCCTGTTGCTTTCTGCTGGTACTGCCGTTGGTTTTCGGGCGCTTCTGTAGGGGGGAGCTACTCCAGAGAGGCAAGTACGTATCTTGCGCCGAGGGACCTACTTTGCTCCGGCCAATTTCCAATTAGCCCCCAGCAATTATCCCTCCACGTCGGCTCGTTGGGCATCGACGTGCCAGTCAAGTTCCCACTCACGTACTGTGCGCGATAGGCGACCTGATACTGTGATGTGAGAGGCGGGGCAAGTCAACCCCTAACCCAGAACTGGGCGCTTTTTTTTGGCTTAATCACGAGGAAGTGACGAGCCCAGCTTGCCCAGGCGCACAGGATGCCCCGCTTTCGGGCTCTGACCTATGAGCAAGAGGTGCGTCAACAGGCAGAGTTCCCGATGAGATGAAAAGTTAAGTTGAGAGATCAGTCATCGACTTATGACAGAACAGTTCTTCAACACAAACCCCTTCTCACCACGAACCGACTATGGCCGATCTAGACGTTGCCCTCGGCAAACCCGAATACTGGGACGAACATTATTCGAAGTCCGACGGCGAACAACCGACGCACGAATGGTTCCGCTCGTTTGAGGACCTGGAAGATTTTTTCCACCAAAATCTTTTTACTGCCCCCGGCCTAACCGCCGCAGATGACCCCCTGATTCTCCATCTGGGGTCTGGAGATAGTGTGAGCTTTTTTGATGATGATTTTTTGTCCCATAAAGTCATAAAGTCCCTCCGTGTTGTTTTAGTTCTTGTGACCTTCCACCCGTTCATTTCTTTCATCTCTCGTTTCTTTGTCTTGTTATCCTCCATCTGCGCAAGGGATGTTAGTAATCACGATACCAACACAACTTCAGGTGATCCCACTAGAACTCAGCTCCAGGGGTTACAGCCACCACATCTGCGCCGACTTCGCGCCGGCGCTGGTCTCCATGATGTCGGAGCGGCACAAAGAGGTTCCCGGGATACGCTGGCTCCAAATGGACGTCCGGGACATGGTTGGGCTCGCCGATAAGTCCGTCTCGGTGGCCTTTGACAAAGGCACGCTGGACGCCATGCTTCACGGCAGCCCCTGGAGCCCGCCGGCCGATGTGTTGGAGAATACGGAAAAGTACATGCGAGAGGTACATCGGGTGTTGGCAGACGACGGCGTCTTTCTCTACATCACATTTCGACAACCACATTTCATGCGTATCCTCCTGCAACGACATGGCTTGTGGAATTTAGATTGTCAGGTTTTGGGGGGGCATGATGGTGGGTTTGAATATTTCGGGTGGGTGATCCGCAAGGCGGGGGTTAGGCAGCCAGGGACACCGGAGACAAAAGAATCGTGAATGGGAATAGAATAGACTTTGGAGTAGAAGTATCGTTTTTGAGCGAGCTGAAGGACAACGATGACCATGGGTTGTTAATGTGGCCATCATCCCTTATCATGAGTTAGCTGTGACTCCTAACAGAAATAAAAGACGACATTTTGCGGGTTCCCCATTTCCATCGCAGGCGTTCGGCACGCCTCCTGTTCGTACTGTACAGGGATTGATTACGAGCTGTCTCCAGACACATTCGTCCCAAAAGACAAGTCATACGCAACCTGCTCATACAGGGGTGGCCCCAGGGGGGGCTCGGCGGCTTGCATACACACACGGTCTTGGCCAATCGCCAGACAATTCTTTTTCGGCTAGACACACATATGATAGCGAGAAATGTTGACAACGCAGGGGGCTTTTCATGGCACTTTAGCTCGCTCAGCTCCCCAAACCAACCCTGGCCCCGTTCCTTAATGACTGGTCATTGATCAACAACCTAGGGACGGGGATGATTCTGTTCCTAAGCCGGGCGACTGTTGTGTGGTTGTGAGGATGACAAGTCCAGGGCCCAGATTACAACCTTCTTCGGGTTAGGCGTGGGGTTTGGGGAGGGTGCGTAGGGAGCTAGCAAACCCGTTCCAGAATGTTTGCTTTTTCCTAGTTCAAACCCAATCGGAGAAAACGTGTTCCCGTCACCATGTGCCAATGACGTGATGGGCTGGAAAAAGGTGGAAAACATTGCCGTTGAAGCAAGGTTGAAAGGACCTTGATCTGGTGCCTTTGAACTTGCAGTCAAACAACCGGGTCTGCGCTTGCCATGCTCTGATATTGGCACGGGATGAGCTCCCGTGATGGGCTGTAGTAGACTCAATTGATGTTCTTGCCATCTCGACGTTAGGCCTTCTGTTACCTAACGGAGATAGGAGATCGTTGGGAAGGATTCGGTAGCGACTACATGCTTGATGGAGCTTGTACACTTTGACTCAATTATCGCCAACGGAGGCTTTAGAGGTGGAATATTCTGCTTCATCAGTGTTTCCTTGTTTAATAGCAAGACCATCTGGGTTGCCCTGGGCACCATTACCTAGGTAATGTGCATAGTTCCCGGTCGGGGACATAATTCTTGCTCGGGGACTTTTGAAACATGATAATAATTGGGGAATGCAATGTGGTGCCTCACAAAACGGACCTGTCCGGCTCCTAGATTCTTCAGTGCATTAATACCGATCAAACCATAGATAATTATTCTTTTCTCCCTTTCAATCAACTTCTTGACGGGGTATATCAAGGCATTGTTACAACTTATCCTGCGTCGAACCAAGTTTGGCTCCCACCATGACTTCCACCACGAATGTTCTTCTTCGACAACCAGGGTCTGTGACGCAAGTCGCGCCCGAGCCGTACACAGCCACTATTTCTCGTGAGCAAGTCCTCGCTCTCCTTAAAACGACGGCCGTGGGTCAGCGGGATTTTATCCTAGTTGACACGAGACAAAAGGACGTGGAGGTGAGTTGTCTCTAGCTCCAAACGGCCGGGACTCTGTCTTGTTTTTTTTTCTTAAAAAAAAAAAGAAAAAGGGGAAAAAAAGGACTTCTAAATCTCTTTTTTCATTGTTTTTATTGTTAATTTTTTTTTTTTTTTGATCTCTTGTTGACGGGTTGATGTCCAAATTCATTCATGGCTCTCAAAGGCTGGCACCATCCGAGGTTCCATCAACCTCCAAGCTGAAAGTCTGCCGATCACGTTGCCGTCCGTTTATGCCCTCTTCAAGGCCGCGGGCCTCAGACTGGTGATTTTCTACTGTGGTGAGTTTATCATTATATGGCAAAGTACCACCGAGTTTACCGGCAAGAGACGAGGATGTGGAAGCTTGATCGAGCCTTGATTGTTTGAAGCTAAGGTCGCTATCTAGGAACGTCGGTTAACCGCGGAAGGAAAGCTGCAGAACACCTGACCGGCCATATTACTCGTGTGGGCGACAGAAATATGAAAAGCCTGGTTCTGGAGGGGGGCTTCAAGGGATGGGCTGCGGCCGGAGAGGAGTATGTGCGATGGGTCGATGCCGTTGATGTGTCGTCGAGCTAGAAGCAGGCGTGATATTCCAATGAGAAGCCGATTGTTGTGCAACCAATTGAACAACCCATTCGAAGGCCCGAACACTGCATTATGCCCTTGAATTATACTCTCGAATTGGCTCAACAGGATCAAGAATTAGTTATGGTCCGGATCACCCCCCCCCCTTTTTTTTTCCTGACAAACTTGGCAGGGCGAGGCTCTTCAGAGATGAAAGTTTGTGAAATGGTGGTGGAAATGTCCCTCAAGTGTGCCGCGGCGAGGTCCCATCATTGGCGTGGGGGTCCCTGGCATTCAGCGCATTGACCACCGAACAGGCGCTGGAGAAATCCACTAACGTTATGGACCTCAATTCAACAACGCGACAACGACCTACGATCTTCCTCACCACGCTCAACCCCGCGTAAAGCGCCCATCCTCTATAAATTTTGACCCAGAAACGCAGAAAAACCTCGCGACGGCCCCTAATACAAGCGAGAGAACCCCAACCAAACACCCACCATGTCCTCCCGACGCGCCCCCCGCGGCGAATACATCGAGACCGACACCGGCAACAAAGTGGCCCGCAAGGCCACGCTGGTCGGGACGCAAAACATCATGCTCGGCGGCAAGACGGTTATCCAGCCCGAGGTGATGATCCGCGGCGACCTGATCCGCACCGCCCAAGCCCCGTCACAGGCTGCGGCCGGCGCAGCTCCGAATAACACGGCAGTGTCCATTGGGCGGTACTGCTTTCTCAGTCGGGGGTGTTGTTTGCGCCCGCCGGGGCGGCCCTATAAGGGGTGCGTGTGTACCATTCTATTGTCGCGGGGCTTTTCTTTTCGTTGTAGCTTTCGCTGACGCGTACCTCTCTCAGTGCCTTCACCTTCATGCCCCTCCGCATCGGCGACCACGTCTTCGTCGGCGCGAGCACCGTCGTGCAAGCCGCTACGATCGGAAGCCACGTCCACATCGGCTCCAAGGTGGTCGTCGGCGAGTTTGCCATCATCAAAGACTACGTGCGGATCCTCGACGGCACCATCGTGCCCCCACACATGGTTATCCCTAGCTTTAGTATCGTCGCAGGCCAACCGGCACGCCTGATCGGGGAGGTGCCTGAGGGTGGAATTGATGCGTTTGAGCTGAGGGATCTGTACAAAACCGTGGGGAATAACCCGCATCCTGCGCCGGTTTGAGGTTCTATTTTGTCTGCGGAAGAAAGAACATAAATCAGGACGTGTGGTCCAAGGGTATCCACGAGGAGAAGGGCCGGTCTTGTGGTTTCAGATCACAATCATGTCCACCGCGACACAGCCGAATGGCCAAATACCATCGGCCGATGCAAAGCCCGAGCCGCGAGAATCACCGAGGGGAAGGAAGCCTGCGCGAGCATCTGGTCAACATACCCAGCCGAGAGCTCGATATGATCCCTGTCAGCGCCCACAAAAATAACGTCCGTTGTACTTTAAGTTGATGTGGCTTTCAGGGGGGCACAAGGGTGTACTAAGTCGAACGAGGATGGTGTCGGATCGGGTTGGAGGGCAGAAGTTCCAATTGGGAAGGAGAACGTCAAGTTGGAAACTGAAGAAACAGACTCAACGGCGCGCCGAAGATTCAGTCGCAACCAATCGAGAATTGGCCTGACAAGGCCAACACAATGCACACTCAAAAATTACGAACAACCATATTGTTTCAAACATTCTACCTCTCAACTTCATACCCTCATGACCCCCCCTCAGCCATCTCCTGCTCCTCCCGTATTCGCGCATCACACACCCCTGGGTACGCACACGCGCACCCAATCTCGTCCCCACGCCGGGTACTCCGCATCGTGATCGAGTACCGCCCCTGTCGAGGCACCGTCTGCCCGTCGATGATGTCTGTCTTCCGCGGACGGATCCCGTGGGTGTAGCCGTAGCGTGAGGGGCCGGTGAGGATGAGTAGGGAGCGTGCTGGGAGGTGGAGTTCCCATGTTGGTGCGGGGTCATCTTCTTGTTCTGCTTTGCCGTGTTTGGGATTGGATTGGTTCCCGTTCTGCTCAGCTCCAAGCCCAACTGTGTTCTGCCCCCTATTCCCAGATCCAGGAGAAGTACAAGTAGAAAACCCACCCACCCCTTCTTCACCCCCGTCCTTGTCCATCTCTTTGCCTGGAGCCTCATCCACTTTACCCCCCACAACAGACCTCTTCGGCAACCTCATCTTCCGCGCCTCATTCGCCCCTGCCAAACGGAACTGCATCGGCACCGCACTCCCAAACGATAAACTATACAGCGCCTCGTCAAACATCGAGTGCGTGTCCACGTGTGGTGGGATCCCAGCGCCGGGGGGGTAGTACTGCACTGTGAATTGGTCTGGTGGGCGGTGATCTGACCTTCGCATTTGATCGGGGTTGGAAGTATTGTTGTCTCGGTCTCGGGGCGTGATGGTGAGAGGTAGGCGTGGGAGAAACGAGGTAATGTAATCCGGTACGGGGGTGAATGAGGTGGTGGAAGCGCCGAAGGTGGTGTAGTCGAAGTGGTAGCCGAAGTGTTGGCTGATGCGTTTTGGGGGTTTGGGTTTGGTGGATGGGTTGGTGGTGGGGGTGATGAGCGGGTCTTGTTGGTGGAAGGCGTCAATCATGGTTGCTTCTTCGGCTTGGGTGATGAAGTTGTGGATGAGGGTTAGGCCGAGGTCGGTCCATGTTTGGATGTTGGGGTTGGTGGGGTCGGTGGTGGGTGAAGGGGGTTGTTGTGCTTGTGGAGGGGCTATCATGGTGGGTTTCAGTGAACGTTGATGATGAAAGGTTTTGGTGGTGAGATGGGAATTGCTTGTGAAAATTGCGAGGAGATCAGAGGCAACCCTAACCCTCACTCAGTGGAACTAACTTCACATTCAACTCGTAACTTTTCCCTAGGCAACATCTAGTCTCTTGTAAACCGAACTGACTCAGCTTGAGTCTGCCTATCTATGAAGTAGCAAGGCTAAATAGCAGCATACCGCCGTAGCAAAGACAACAGCCACACCCTAACTCTTAATAGATCATACTTTTCCTTTCCGACTTTTGCCTCCCAAATCTAAGAACGTAAGTTGCCACAAACAGACAAAGTAAATCAATGCTCACGATTCCTGCCGCCGCTCGACTTTTTTTCTTTCATCCCGTGCTCTTAATTAAGCTTTCACCCTCGCCACAATAACCGAATTCACCACCTGCCCATACGGATGCACCACAACACAACACTCCAACTTCTCCAACAACGCCTCCGTAGCCAGATCCACCTCCGGGTACAGACACGTCCTCAACCCCCAACTACTCCGCACCACCAGCAACGCCCCAGCTCGCATGCGGTCAACCACACGGAGGATAATGCTCTCCTTCTCAGTCTGTGTCACACCCACAAGGGCAGCCATGTACACGACGTCAAACTCGGCGAGGTCCCGCTCCGAGGGCGCAGCTGCGTCGGCGCAGATGAATTCCATGCCGCGGCCGGGTTCGCCGAGGGCGAGGGAGAGGGTGAGGGAAGCGGCGATGGCCGAGGCGTCGTAGTCGACGTTGAGGATGACGGGGTCTTTGTGGGATGGTTTGGCGTCTGATGACGATGATGGTGGGTTGGCAAGGAGGGCGTTTGTGGGGTTTTGTTTCAGGTGCTGCAGTAGGCAGAGGGATGTCAGTGGTAGAGGGCCGGAGCCGATGAAGGCTATTCGTTGCGGGGCGGTCTTGGTGGCGGAGAGGATGGCGCAGTACTCAAGTCGGGTGAGCTCTTCGTAGTTTTCGTAGTATGGGAAGGCCTTGAGCCGGTCTAGCACCTCGTCGGGTGACCCCTCGGAGGAGAGGATGTGCTCGGCCCAGTGTAGCTCGAGGCATGACTCGGCCCGGGCACATATCTGGCGGAGAGAGGGGAGGACAGCTTGGACATCCGGATTGGAAAGGACCTAGACAACGAACATGTCAGTATGGCTGGCCCCTACCATGTATGGACACTTGGCGTGCCTGGTGTGGGTAAGGGTACCTTGTCTACGAATTCCCGGTCGTGGATCTCGGAGCAGACCGAGACGAGGTTGCCAAGGAGCTGGTTGATGGCCGGAGCGGGCCGCAGGTGTGGGAGCTTGAGCAGCTCCGAGTGGGTGTGAACGATGGTCTTGGCCAATGCCCTCGCTTTCTCAGTCCGAGAGTCGAGGCGTTGTTCACGCAGCACGTCGGCTTTCTCGACAATAGCAAGAGAGTCGTGGGAGACGCAGGGGCAGTGCTGCCGTTTGGACCAAGGGCTTCCCAGCCGCAGCCATGAAGTAAGAAGAGACATCCTGGGCTGAGACAACACCATTAATGCGTCCGTATGAAGGGAGTTGATATGTGGCGTCACGGAAAGCTTGATAATTAGCTGTTGCTGGGCAAAATCCCACCTTTCAATGGAGGCCGGAGGTAGGACAAGGGAGCTAAGAGACCGGATCTATTCCCGCAGGAAAAGGAAACGCAGAAAAGTGCGAGCACCCTAGGTTATACATCAGGTAACGGTGCCGGCCCCGGACAAAGACCCCCATCTGCCTTCCAGTCACACCACCGCGGCCGCGCTTGCGGGTGGGACGGCCAAGGTCAGGTCACGCACCTCCACGGTCTAATGGGGTTTGCCGCACCTACCGCGGGAACGGCCCGACGGGATTTGCACCCCTTTTTCCAACCCTTTGCTCACACTCGCGGGGTCTTGCTTGAAGATTCCGTAATCTTTAGAATCCAGGTTGCATTTCCCACGCCATGCTTAGTGTATTTTTACGAGGTTAAAATTGAAACCCCCATAATCCACGACATATTACCGATTTGCGCGTCGTGCCTCACCACGAGGCATTTTGTGCGTCGACCCCTCATGGAGACCCAGTTGGTTTGTGCCCTACGCGTGGGAGAAATGGGGGCCTCAAATCGAGGGGAATGGGGCTGCTGCTGCAAGGCAGTGCAAGCGCCGCCCGCTACGTTTCGCCATGCCGATTGTCGTAAGTTGAGACACAGAAAACGGGGGTTGTTTGCTGTGCTTTTCCTAGATTGGGTTGAGGAAGACGGCCTGGGGAGGAACGGAGGAAGGAATTCGGCCATCAAGGTTCCCATCTGGCCGTCAAGGTTCTCTGGAATGGCGCGGCGCGGAAAATTTGGTGAATTCAAGATTTGGAAGCGGCGTCGGGGCTGGGTCTTGCTCAGGCGAGACATGGACCCCGGAACGGACAAGGGTCCTTACGCCAAGACGCCAAGGCCACCGTTATCAGATCATCTTGATGATCTGTATGGAGCCCATCAAGGTTCTCAAATCTCGGGTGCGTTCGTCACCCGTGGCTCGACCGCTCCTTCCACAACGGCCGGCTCCCTTGCTTCCTGCCGTTTCCTGCTTCGTTCCCGTTGTGGCCACAATTCTGGAACCATCTCACGCCCTGCTGTGCCCTGTACCCTGTGCTTCGGGCGCTTTGGCTTCTTTGCTTAAGGCCATGCTTGTCCTGGGGTTTTCCGTTCCATTCGTTTATCCTTCCGTGTTTGCAGATAATCTAATTCCGGAATTGGACTTCCTGATGACCGCATCTCCGCGTCCACTGTACAGCCCTCTCTAACCGTGGACGAGCGGTGAACGCCGGCATCGGGTCCTCCTGAGGGCTTTTCATAAAGCCGAGACACGGTTACCTCGTCCAACCATCTCGAGCCCACTCGCTTCGATCCGTCACACAATCGGCCACTGATTTGGTGTCACGGTTTTGTTTTCCCTGCGTGTGCCAACTTCGAGGAATTGATTTTGTGGACCACAAGTCCTCTCCTCAACACTCGAGCGCCGGAGTTGGACTTCTGTCACTTTTAACCACTCCGAGCCGGACGCTTTCTTACCTTTTCACACCTTCTTCCGCGCCCTTTTGTCTGCCAGTTTTTCTCCGACCATCGGCCTAGCAAATTCTTTCTGTTTCCCTCAACTCCTTCGATCTCCACCGGAACGATGGCTGTCGGCGTGGTACCAGCCGAGATCAATGGGTGGCCCCCAAACTGTGCCTGCGATGCGGAGACTGAATTTAGCTCCCGACCAATGTACACACCACCGTCGCCCGCCAACAGCCTAAACTGTGAGTATTGGCAACGTGTGGGGGGGAATTAGTGACTAACGAGTAACAGGCCAAAGTAGCATATCCCGCCCGCTCTTCTGGGACGTGATTCCACTCTGCGACTTGTATTCGATTGTCCATGTGGTTCTTTTACCCAGCTCTCTTCGGCTCTTGTCCAACCCCATATCACTACGCAGCAGAAATGGGGCTCCCGGTGTCGACGGACGCCAGAGCCAGAGCCAACCGCAGACTCAGTCCAGGTTTATCGACGCCCTCGCGAATCTCGGCCTCGGCCCATCCACATGGGCGCACGCCGGTGTGGCCGTGTATACCGCCATCCTTCCCACCACCGACGGCTATGTCGCCCGCTCCGACTTTTTGCGACAGCGTCTTCAGGACTTCCCCTTTTCGATTTCCAAAATCCAAGAATGCGCCAGTCCGCTGAGGAAATATGTTTCCTGCCGGGTATTGCCAGCTTCTATCAACTCGGAGGACGGGCTTGCAAACGTCGTGGAACAGGCCGCGGGTGTCATCCAATGGGGCGACTTGGAAGCGTCAGTATCTATACTCGACCTCCAGCAATATCTACTTTGTCTCACCCAGGAATTACATGACCGCCTGAACAACGCCCCTTGGACGACCCCTCATTACATCGCCCGCAAGCGCGTGGCTCTAATTCGGGGCCGGCCGAACCTGACCGCAGGCGGTCCCATCTATCGCGCTGCCCGTTCTCTGGGTTTTGATCTCGTGATTATCGACGACGAAGGCCACTGGCTACAAGCGGATACCGACGAAAACCGGATGCACCGCGAAGCGTTCCTGGCGACCGACATGACCGAGGACTCGGGGGTCGTCGACCGAATCATTGCTTCGATCACCCGGTACTCGCTCCCGATCCACGGCATATTCACGGTGTCGGACAACTTCTTTGTCACATGTGCCCGCGTCGCCGAAGCATTGGGTCTTCCGACCAACCCTGTCTCGGCTTTCCAAACATCGGTTGACAAGCACCGCTCTCGCCTTCTACAAGATGCGCCCGGTCAAACCGCCCGTGTGTCGAGTGTCGATGAGCTGAATGCTCTCTTGGCTTTGCCACCATCCCCGAACGCATTCCGACCTGTTTACCCCGTTATCGTCAAACCCACCAGGGGTTGGTCTTCGGAGTGTGTGAGCAAGGTGTCCAACCCTGAGGACCTAGCCACGGCTGTGAGCAAAGCGACAGCCCGCCATGGGAGTGCAGCTGTTATTGAGCCGTTCTTTGACGGGCCCGAAATTGACGCCAACTTTGTCCTTCTCGATGGCGATGTTTTGTTTTTCGAGGTTGCCGACGAGCCTCCCTGCAATGCCGACCGACACGACGCTAGCGTGCAAGATACTTTTAGCCCGGAGGCCCTGACTTTGCCAAGCGCCCTGCCAGACGCCGAGCAGGAAGTCGTCCGCAACACGCTCAGAGATCTCCTCGTCCGCGCCGGGTTCCGGACGGGAGTGTTCCACGTCGAAGCTCGCGTGATCCGTTCAAACTCCGAGTATCGAGAGATTGAGGGGACCGTTGATCTCGTTCGCAAAAACGACGCCCGCGAGACCACCGCCGAATGCAAGCTAATCGAAATCAACGCCCGACCACCCGGATACCGCGTGAGCGTCCCTTCCCGACACACATACGGCGTGGACTATTTCGCTGTGCACATGCTGGCAGCCGTTGGTGACTACGAGCGGCTTAAACTCGCGGCACGACCATTCGACCACATGGCCGAGGACCGGACCGCCGGAGCGCAGTACTGGTCGCGGTTGGTCTACGTACCCGCGCCCAAAGCCGGTGTGGTCCGGTGGTCGGCTTCTGGCGGCCTGTCGCCCTGTGAGTGGCTCAAGAGAAGGCGGCCGGACCTAGCGGATAAGATCGTGCTGGCGGTCGATTACTGTGTGCCGGGGGATCGGGTCGAGTTGTTTACTGACGGGGCGCGGACGTATGTGGCGCATGTGTTGGTGTGCAGCCGGGTGAGTCGGCGGGATGCGATTGAGAGGGGGGAGGAGGTTTTGAAGGCGTTTGACATTGAGGTGGAGGTCGTATGATGGGTTTTTCTTTTCTTTAGATGGCAGGGTAGAGTGTGTTGGGGTTCTCACAGGGTATATTTCATGTAATCTGGGGAATGTTAGCGTTGGTTGTTGGAGTTGGGCGCTTAAGATGGGTTTGTTTTTAACTTGTTCAGACTAGCGAAATGATAGATGTCAATTGTTTTGTGCCTTCCGGCTACAACCACTTATCATCCGTGCTGTATGAGGTCGTGGCCGTCTATCTCTTTACTCTCAGCACTTGGTATTTCCGTACATGTCTATAATTACCGTTCATCTAGTCGTCTGTCGTCTGCCATCTGTCGTCAGACCCCTAATTAACTAATAATCCAACAATCATACGCTGTCTACGATTATTACAAACAACCGCCCTTCGTCTAATAATTAGTTTATGTCCCAATCCTAAATATCCTACAACCTCTCCCTCAACACCACAAACATAGCCTCCGCCTTGGCCAACACCACCCCCCCTTCCTTCTCCAAAACCGCCTCCAGCCAATACTTCCTCCCTTCCCTCTTCAATAGCCGCCCTGTGATCAACACCACCGCCGGTCCATTTCCCTCCCCTGCAGCCCCGGCGTTCTCTTCCCCAACCCCAGCCCCTTTCACATCAATCCCCTCAGCCCCCCTAGTCCCCTCTCCGAGACCCCCCTGAAGAGCCGTGCCTGTACGAACGGGTTTTAAGAAAGTAGTATTCAAATACCCCGTCAACGCCGGCGGCCCGTCAGCCGGCAGCCTCCCCTCATTGCGATTGACAGAAAAGACTTGCCCCATGACTTCGTCGAGGAGGGTGGTCACTATCCCGCCGTGGCAGAGGCCTTCCCATCCGTTTAGGGCTGGGCCGAGGGCTAGGAGGGCGTGGATTTCTTTTATCAGGCCGTCCTTGTCTGTTTGGTGGGCTGGGGCTGGGGTTGTTGGTGTGGTTGGGGTTGTGGTGGTGGCGGTGGGTTGAGACTGAGATGGTGTGGGAGTAGCAGACCCCGTGGAGTAAAAAGTGATGTAAGCCGGGATGGCATCCGCACGGTTGAGGGTGCGTGAGATGAGGACGTCGCGAGGGGTGTGGGTCAGATAGCGGGAGACGGCTTGGTCGATGACGAGGGAAGGGTTGGATAAGAGGGCGGCGCACCACGGGATGGTGCGGAAGAAGGCGATTTGGCGGGCTGTGGCGGTTGTGTTGGCTTTTGTGAGGCCCATGGTGTCGTGACTGTTGTTGGTGTCGGCTGTTTGGGTTGTTTGGGTTTTTGTGGTCATTTTGGCGTTGGTGGACCAGACTGATTCAATTGTAGCCAATGTACGTTTTGTCGATTTCCGTGGATTCAAAAGAGTGTTCCTCCGGATTCATGAGGTTGAAAGAGTGAATGTGAGTTGAAAACCTGAAAAAGTTGTTGTTTAGGGAAGGCCGGATTTAGATCGGCTTCTGCTTACAGGGGATGCCAAGATTTCAATGCCGAGGTTGGTGGGTCGTTCTTCCGCGACTCCGAAGCTCCATTGAAGTGAGAGAATCTCAAAAGCAGGAGTGAAATAAGCTAATTCGAGTCAATCATGAAATCGGGGTGAGATTGACAGTTGTAAAGTTGTGTTTACAAAGTCTCAATCCACATGCAGGTTTGAGTGAAACGTCCATGCAGTGTAGTTCGTTCGCTTAAGCAGGTAGGTGCATCTTCACAAGTTAAATTTGCTTGTGATCGAATCGTTGACGACTGTCACCGTGTAAAACGGGCTTCTTTTTCTGGCTTGACTTTTGAAATGGCTAACTCCTGTTAAATAGAGGATCCATCATAACCTGATAAACCTACTATCAGTAGTCTAGTTTCTGTACCAAATGAAGACGCTAAAGACGTTGCATAGACAGCATCTCACCACAATACACTGATAATAATTATGTGTAAATTTAAAACCCCAACACTCACATACAGACTATCTCATCGGCACCTCTTCATACTCCCCACCCCATTTACCCATCCTCCGTCGATGCCACCCGCTCATCTCCCCACAGAAATACTCCAACAGCGGCGGCACCCACACCGTCACAGCCACGATCTGACCGAAACTCCACCCATGAATATCAACCATATCAAGCCGGATCGCCGTGGCCAGGACCGACCCTTGCATCCCGACACCAAGAACAAACACAACTGTACTCAACCAGAACACCACGCGGTGCCATGTGCGGGTTGTATCCCCCGTCGACCGAGCCGTGTTCTCATCCCCTTGTTTCCCACTCTCAGCCAACTCCCTCTCCATCTTCTTCCCCTGCCGTGATCTCCTCCCAGACCTCCTAAACACCGGCAAAAGCAACAACACCCCCAAAACCCCCGTAGCCCACGTCCAAATAATCGGCGTGACCACCCTCAACAACAATCTCGCCCCAATCCCCTCCGCAAACTCATCCCTATCCGCATCCCCCTCCGGACACACGGCCAGCCCCGAAAACTCCCCACACGCCTCCAACGACGACACACCTAGCCTATACCTCTTATACATCCCATCCCTCGTCATCCCATCGGGAAGCCTCAACCGGATATACAACACCCAGTACACCAGCGACGCTAGGACATAGACCACAGTGGTGAGGATAGCGGTGGCGGGTGTGGAAGCGCGGAAGTAGACGAGGAGTAGATAGCTGAAGATGAGGGGGAGGATGGAGTTGGTGGCGAGCGGGGTCACGAGGAAGGTGGTGACGAAGGAGGTGGAGAAGAGGTCGGAGGCGAGGACGGCGAGCATCAGGGTGCCGCCGAAGTAGCATTGGGCTTTGTGGGAGTCGAGGAGGAGGGAGATCCAGGCTTGGAAGTGGGGGCCTATCTGTTCTTGCTGCTTGGGTTTATCTGGGTGGTCGTGGGGTGGTTGGTTAGGGTGTTGTTGGTGTGGTTCTTTTGGGGGTCGATCAGGTCGGCCGCGGCGGGCGTTGTGCCAGGAGAAGCCGGCGAGACCGGCCCAGAGGACGACTACTAGGAGGCATTGCATGACGTAGGAGGTGAAGACCTGGTTTTGTTAGTGAGAATACAAAAACAGAGAGAGAGAGAGAGAGAGAGAGAGAGAGAGAGAGAGAGAGAGAGAGAGAGAGA